TGGATGGGGGTCCAACCTTGGCTGCTTTAAGACCTGTGGACTTCAACTCCCAGAATTCCCCAGCCAACCATGCTGACTGGGGGATTCTGGGAGCTAAAGTCCGCCCATCTTTAAGAAATGCTGGCTGGCGAATTCTGGGAGCTGAGGTCCACCCATCTTTTTTTTTGTAAAAAAATTTTATTTTCAATTTTACATTACATCATAAAAAATACTTCAGATAAAGAGTAAAATAAATTTATACACATAACTTTCGGTATTGCTCACCCATTTTCCCCCATACTGCATCCACCCTCTAACCCAGTGGTTCTCAACCTTTTTAATGCTGCGACCCCCAACCGGTCGTAAGTCGAGGACTACTCAACCGGTTGTAAGTCGAGGACTACTCAACTGGTGCAGCACCGTTTGCAGAATGGGACTTTTGGCGGGCTCAGTAGGGCAGAGACAGCCCGGACAATTCCTATTGGCTTTTGAAAGCCAATAGAATGAGACTCTATTCAAGAGAGTCTATTCTATTGGCTTTCAAAAGCCAATCGAGTAAAAGGGAGGAGCACAGTTAAGGAAAAGGGAGGGAAAAATGGCGGACTGCGTTGTTTGGCGACCCCCGTGAAATGGTCGTTCGACCCCAAATGGGGTCCCGACCCACAGGTGGAGAACCACTGCTCTAACCTCTTCTCTCACTTCCCTCTTTCCCTCTTCTTCCTCACTCTCCCCCTCTCTTCCTTCTCCTCAACCTTCCTACTTTCTTCTCCCCTTCCTCCTATCTTCTCATTCCGGATGCAGTCCAGGGCAAATGCCCGAGCAATTCCTCTCTCCAAAATAAAACATAATATTATAAACAATGAAACTATTTCTACTTATCTGAACTATTTAACCTTCAACCCATCCCCCCCACTTCCCAGAGCCAAGTACAGGGTTATACAAACATATTAAACATAATCTATTTAAGTTTACTAATTATACAATAACCAACATCATACTAACCCTTAACTCTCTTCAAACTTTAACATCATAATTTTTATAAACAAATCCATTACTCATAAAATAAATGAAACTTTGTAGTTCCCTATTTCTTCTGAACATATTCTATCCATCTTCTCCATACATTAACATATCTCTCTTGTGAATGGTCCTTTAAATAAGCAGAAATTTTAGCCATTTCTGCTAAATTAGAAACCTTAAATACCCATTCTTCTAAAGAAGGCAGAGAATCCTTCTTCCAATATTGACCCACCAATAATCTCAACCCATCTTTAAGTTGATCAGGTTGAGGAGCATGGGTTCAGAGCTTTCCTGTCCCCCAATAAATCATCTCCATCCCCTCCCTGCTTTTTCGACTCTTTCCAGGTCCCCAAATCCTGCCCCTAAAGCAGGGCTCCCCTGAGCAGCCCCCAGCTTCTTGGATGCTGGCGGAGGAGGCAGAGCAAAGAGTTGTACCAGGCAGGCCTGCCTATCAAACTCTTGTCGATGCAGCACTCACATTTTCCTGGCCGCAGCTCCTGCGGTTACGGGCAGCGTGCAAGGAGCCAAGATAAACTGCTTGGGTTGCTCACCACATACACAGACGCACACTCACGCACAGACACAAGACACAAAGAGTCAGGCTATGCCTACGGCTGGCTAGTCAATCAAGACCCAAGTGGTCAGATGGCGGCTGCCTCATTGCAGAGAGCCCTGGAGATGCGTGGAACAGATGCAGATTTTTTTTTTACAAACGTACAAACACACAGACACACCCCTGGCATTCCACCTTTGGCATCAAGACTGCTGGGTTATTCGCACCCGCTACCCTGGCCTGTTTGTTCAGAGGTTTAGACGCCCCCCCGTAAATCCAGATTTCAAACCAAGCGCTTCACCCTCACCGCTGCACCGCTCCACCCTAAGCCATAGGGGACATTTTTGCTAAGTTTTAGTTTTTTTGTAAAATAAATAAATAAATAAATCAAGAGTGGCCCGGACCACAAAATGGGGCAGCAAATAAATTGGATAAATAAACCAATAATGCAATAAAATTAAAAGAAAAAGGGAAAAACTCTTGTCCCACTAAAACCAGATAAGTGAGGCAGTTTGTATTTTTAATTTTTGTATAATGCTACTGCGGGTAGGTCCTTGACTTACGGCTGAAACGTGTGTGTGTGTGTGTGTGTGTGTGTGTGTGTGTGTGTATGGCTAAGCAAGGCAGTTTTATGAGAGGTTTCCCCCCCCCATGGTTAGTTAAGCGAATCAGTGCAGTTAAGTGGATCGTGCAAACCTTAAGCGAATCAGACTTGTAAACTGGTTGTAAAGCGAGGACTGCTTTTCATAATTGTGAGTTTATGTCAGGTGCCACCTCTCTGTGTCAAATGCCTCTGGCTTTGTCTGGGAAGCACCCCTGGCGAAAGGCCCCCCCCCTATTTTTCATATGGGGGGAGTTTGAGGTGTTAGGCCTCCAAGCTTTTGGGGTGGGCTCCGCTTCAGCGTCCACCAAAGTCCCATCGCAAAGAACGGCAGCCTTTTCCGTATCCAGACCCAGCCGACGTGCGCACAGGAGCATCCAGCCCCCCCCCCCCAAACCGGCCCGTGTTATATTTGGAACCGTTTTACGAGCCACGACATTTTCCAAGTGCGTCTCCCACCAAAACAACTAGCACCCTCTTGGCTAAATGATTCGCTAAATTGTCGGCGGCAAAATCAACAAATATCGCCATCCTTGACAGCCTTTTAGCGATGTGCACTAATATTTGTGTTGGGAGGCAGCTGAGCTGGGAGTAGGCCTCCCCAAGCAGGCTGTGTCGGAGGAGGTCCACGGGTGTGTCAACGTAAGAAGTGACACTACTTTGCAGTGGGGGGAGAAAAGGGACACGTAAAATAGGGCGATCTTCTTTCAGTCCTGGAGCGAAATGGGGGGGGACCCATACTGGGAGCTGACTTGAAGTCTTGAAGTCTCCTCCCTACAAACTGCTTACAATCACTTGTAGGGATCAGCATGCATGCATTTCACTCCTGCCTCAGGTAGAGCTTTTTTTATTATTATTATTATTGAAAAGTTTTATAAAAATTACAGTATATACCCCAAAACCCACACACCCCTAAACCCCCCCTCTCCCTCCCCCACTTCCCAGAGCTGAGTACAGGGTTACAAATATAATAATCAAACTCTAACTAACATTAACCAACTATATAAATAACCAAGTCCATAATGCGCTTTGACTCCCCTTTAACATAGGTATAAACAAATTAAAAATAAACATAATAATATAAACAAGTCGATATTATTAAACAATACAATATCCAAATTTTTAAACAATACTAATGCTAAAAATAATAATAAAACTAATAAAAATTCTACTATAATAAACTATTAATAATAATAATAATACTCTAAAATTATTAGAGCTTTGATCCACCCCGGGTGACTTTTTTTGAGGACATCCCTGAGAAGCTGCAATAAGCATGTTGAATGCTGAGTTTCTATTACGGCAGCGGTTCTCCACCTGTGGGTCGGGACCCCATTTGGGGTCGAACGAACATTTCACGGGGGTCGCCAAACAACGCAGTCCGCCATTTGTTTCCCCTTTTCCTTGGCTGTGCTCCTCCCTTTTATTCTATTGGCTTTTGAAAGCCAATAGAATAGACTCTCTTGAATAGAGTCTAATTCTATTGGCTTTCAAAAGCCAATAGGAATTGTCCAGGCTGTCTTTGCCCTGCTGAGCCCGCCAAAAGTCCCATTCTGCAAACGGTGCTGCACCAGTTGAGTAGTCCTCGACTTACGACCGGTTGGGGGTCGCGGCATTAAAAAGGTTGAGAACCATTGGCTTACGGCAAGCTGACTGGGTGACTTTGGGCCAATGCACCAGGAGATGGAGAGTTCTAGTCCTGCCTTTGGTATGGAATTTGACTGCATGACTTGAGTCAGTCACCAGGAGACAGTGAGTTCTAGTTCTGCCTTAGACATGAAAACCAGGTGACTGAGTTTGGGCCAATCACCAGGAGACGATGAATTCTAGTCCTATCTTAGGCATGGAAGCTGACTGGGTGACTTTGGACCAATCACCAGGAGATGGTGAGTTCTAGTCCCGCCTTAGGCATGAAAACCAGGTGGGTGACTTTGGGCCAATCACCAGGAGATGGTGAGTTCTAGTCCCGCCTTAGGCATGAAAATCAGGTGGGTGACTTTGGGCCAATCACCAGGAGATGGTGAGTTCTAGTCCCGCCTTAGGCATGAAAACCAGGTGAGTGATTTTGAGCCAATCACCAGGAGACAGTGAGTTCTAGTCCCGCCTTAGGCATGAAAGCCATTTGGGGAACTCACTTGTCTCCTGGCGATTGGCCCAAAATCACCTAGCTGGCTTTCATGCCTAAGATGAGACTAGAACTCACTGTCACCTGGTGATGGGCTCACCACCCACCCCTCCACTCCTCTGTTTTTCCTGGTCTGAATATGCAAATACTTTATTGCTGTATTAACCCCGATTTCCCTTGGGGATGATTTATGATTAGGAGTGGGGGCCAAGAAGGATCGTCCTCTTGAAAGACCCTTCACAGAAGTAGTGCCCCCCCCCTCCTGCAAACAAGGGCAGCCGAGATGTGGGAGACTCCTGGGGGGAGGGTGTCTGTGTCTACGCAGCACAGGAAGCGCTGTCAGAAGACAGGAGCCACCTGTCAAGGTGACGGGTGACATCATGTCTGCTTGATGAGGGCAGCTTTCAAAGAGCCTTTTGTAGAATCAAGCGGTGTTTCTCAAACTTGGCCACGTGAAGACGGGGGGAGGACTTCGACTCCCAGAATTCCCCAGCCAGCCAAGCTGGCTGGGGAATTCTGGGAGTCGAAGTCCTCCCCCGTCTTCGCGTGGCCAAGTTTGACAACATGGGTCTAGGGGGAGAGGAAGGCTGAAGATCTGCCTGGGGTCTGCACCGTCCCCAGGATAGACAACTCACTTAACAAACGTCTCGCTGAACAACGGACATTGATGGTCGCAGGACGAGGACTACCTGTACTTGAATGCCCCTCTGCCCTCTTTGCAGTTCCTCATCTCGGAGGGTGACCAGGAGCAGGTGCCATGCCCGGCTGAGTGCCCCCATGAGCCCGGCCGCCCCGTCTGTGCCTCTGACGGGATGTTTTACCCGTCGCCCTGCGCCTTCCAGAAAGCCCGCTGTCGCCATCCCACCCTGCAGGTTTGGCCCCGTTTCCGCTGCAGAGGAGCCGCCCAGCGCGAGAACAACCGTAAGGAGACCAGGACTGGGGGGGCTGGCAAGGGGGGAGGTGCCCCTGGGTCAAGGGGGGGACGTGGGAGAGAATTTGGGGCAAGGCTGGCTTCTCCAAGGTGTCCATAGCTGTGAAACTGGGCTGCAGCGTGGATTGATTGATTGATTGATTGACTGATTGACTGACTGATTGAGTTATTGCTTAAATAGTCCTCCAGTTACGAGCACAATTCTCCGGACCTCCAAAGAATGGGACCCAGGTGGGCTCCAGTGTGAGTAGGTGGGTGGGTGGGTGGATGGATGGATGGATGGATTGATCGATTGATCGATTGATCGATTGCTTAAAGGTAGTCCTCCAGTTACGAGCACAATTCTCGGGACCTCCAAAGGACGGGACCCAGGTGGGCTCCACGTGGGCGGGTGGATGGATGGAGGGATGGATTGATTGATTGATTGGCAGATTGCTTAAATTAAGCTGGTCCTCGAGTTACGTCCATCTATCTAAAAGTCACTGAGGTTGAGAAAGACTGTTTTAATCTTGGATCTTGACTTGTGTCTTACTCCCGTCGCTTCCCTAGGTGCCAATTTGACCCGGTGTCAAGAAGACCGAGCAGCCGCCCTGGCCAAATCCCGGCGCCAGACGCACGCCCCCTACGTGCCCGAATGTAGCGAGAACGGAGCCTTCATGGAGGTGAGGATCTTTCGGCGTCTTCCTTACTGCACTTCCCATCATGCCCTGTCTCTGGATAGTGAGATGGGGGGGGAGCATGTGAATTTAACCAATACATAAGTCTTCTGTGGGCTCATTCGGACCTCAGGGTGAAGGGCAGACAATGGGGGGGGGCTGATGATGGTCAAAAAAGGCAAGATGGTGGCCACGCCCTTGCCATCAAGCTGTGCTCTTTGGATGGTGCAATCCTCGACTTAACGACCACAAACTGAGCCCAACTTTTCTGTTGCTAAGCGAGACATTTGTTAAGTCATTTTCGCCCCATTTTACGACCTGTCTGGCCACCATTGTTCAGTGAACCCCTAGCAGTTGTTCAGTTAGTCACATTTTTGTTGAACAAATCTGACTTCCCCCGTTGACTTCGCTCATCAGAAGGTCGCAAAAAGGGGAACACGTGACACCGGGACACTGCAACCGTCGTAAAGGAGAGCCAGTTGCCAAAGGTCTGAATTTTGGTCACGTGACTACGGGGGTGCCGTGTCATAAGGGTGAAAAACGGTCCTTTTTCAGCGCCGTCGTGACTTTGGATGGTCGCTAAATGAACGGTTGTAAGTCGAGGATCAGCTGTTTCTGTTTCCTGGGCACCTCCGCTCAGCCGTCCTCTCTCCCACCTGCGCAGGTCCAGTGCCATAAACAAACCGGCTACTGCTGGTGCTCCTCGCCGGAAGGCAAGCCAATCGCGGGAACGTCCGCCCTGAACCGAGCGCCCAATTGCACAGGTAAGCGCCTCCTTGCGTTTCCCCTGGCTGGAAGCTCTCGCCTCCCTCCAGCAAAGCTTCTGGGGTGGATGCACAAGGAATGTACTCGACATTTGTTTTCCTGTTTTGGGGTCCCGGCTTGTCTTCTAAACCAGAGGTCCCCAACCTTTTGGGCACCAGGGACCTGTTCCGTGGAGAGATGTTTTTCCGTGGTTTTGTGTGCTGCCTGCATCTTGCGGATGGGGCTTTACTTATTTGTGCGGACCGGTACTGGTCCACGGCCCGGGGATTGGGGACCCCTGTTCTAAACTGAACAATTAATGCAGAGAAATTAACAAATTAACAACTTAACAAATTTAATTTAATTTAATTTAATTTAATTATTTAATTTAATTTAATTTAATAATTTAATTTAATTTAATTTAAAATTTAATTTAATTTAATTTAATTTAATTTAATTTAATTTAATTTGATTTGATTTGATCAAGAACAGCTAGAAATCCAGATTAGATGAAGAGCGCCGGCTGGGGAATTCTGGGAGTTGAAGTCCACAGGTCTTAAAAGTTGCCCACTTTGAAAAACTCTGATTCTAGGAAGGTAAAAAAGACATACAGGTAGTCCTCAGCTTACGACCATTTGTTTAGGGACCATTTGAAGTTACAGAAGTGCTGATAAAGGTGACTTATGACTGGTCCTCACACTTATGACCATTGCAGCATTCCCCAAGGCCACATGATCAGAGTTTGGGTACTTGGCAACCGGCATCCCAGGGCTACGTGATGGCCATTGGGGACGTTCCCAACCAGCTTCCGGCTGGACTCACTCAAAACAGTGGCAGAAAAGGTTGCGAAAATCAGGCACGACTCACACACATGGCTGGAAGTCCCAGTCACAATGGTGGTTAGGACTCTCTGTAAACCTTGATTGGTGACCCCTTTATTCCTTCTGCCTCTTCTGCTTCCTCCCCAACCAGGAATGGATTCAGTGGGAACTTCGTGGCAAGATGCTAATTCTTCTAAGCGAGGTACGTCGCCCCCTGCTTGCTGTTATGCCCAGGGACTAAGTGTGCATGATGTGCCTAACTTGGTTAGTGAGTTAACCCGACTTCTGGACTCACCCAATGCACTGACCGAGGTTCAAACTAACCCACTTTAGCATGTCGTGGGAATGCAGCCTCTAGGGCTTTGATTGACCTGCTAGAAAAGGGGGTGTCACAATTTCAGTTTGGGAATCCTGGGATGCAAAGGGCTCCCTCTGCTGGCATGGGTGAGTACTGCACCCCTGGACTGGTGTATGAGCGAAAGCGGCATTGGATTGATTGACACAATTTTAGTCCGATGTCAACTTGAGAGAGAGCAACTCTGAGTGATGTACAATTTAAAAAAAACCCTGTTAAAATAAAAATTACTATGACTGGAGCTCAGGAATGCGTAAATGAGCCTCGGGGAAACTGACACCCAGCCAGGGATGTCTGGAGGGGCTCAAAAAAGCCAAGAGGGAGGGCAAAAAAACCAAGAACCCTCGGCAATGAAGCCCCACCCCCTATTTTCATGCACCGGGCAGATTTTGAATTGCGTGTTTGTGGCCTCCCTCTTGTCTTTTTTGGCCCTCCGAGGATACCCCTGCATTTTCCAACCACCACCACCCCTCCTATCATCGGCAGAACAGTGGTGGTGTGTTTTCCCACCGTTTGATGATGCGGTGGAGTGTAGCCTGGATTCCCAGATGGGAGGGGCTGCCTTCCAGAGGAATAAGCGGCAGCTCAGTTCAGAGAGTTTGTGTGAGAGAATGAGGGTGAAGATGGCTCCTCCCTAGCAGTTCCCACAGCAGATATTTTGTCGACGGCAGGTTGCCAAGTTTTTGACTTGCCTTTCTTGGGTTTTGGAGCCCAACTGATAAGATATCTAAGAAATCTTACAAATATTCGTCGCATACCCCCTCCTTCATAGCAGCCCTCAGCCCCTCCCCAGAAGACACATCTAAAACATGGGTTTAGAGCCGTGCTTCTCAACCTTAGCCACTTTAAGATGAGGAGACTTCAACTCCCAGAATTCCCTAGCCAGGTTAGGGGATTCTGGGAGTTGAAGTCCACCCATCTAAAAGTGGCTAGGGAACTCTGGGAGTTGAAGTCCACCCATCTAAAAGTGGCTAGTCCACCCATCTAAAAGTGGCTAGGGAACTCTGGGAATTGAAGTCCACCTATCTAAAAGTGGCTAGGGAATTCTGGGAGTTGAAGTCCATCCATCTAAAAGTGGCTAGGGAACTCTGGGAATTGAAGCCCACCTACCTAAAAGTGGCTAGGGAATTCTGGGACTTGAAGTCCACCTATCTAAAAGTGGCTAGGGATTTCTGGGCGTTGAAGTCCACCTATCTAAAAGTGGCTAGAGAACACTGGGAGTTGAAGTCCACCCATCTAAAAGTGGCTATGGGATTCTGGGAGTTGAAGTCCACCCATCTAAAAGCTGCCCAGGTTGAGAAACACCACCTGATTTAGCGACTTGAGCTACCGAGGGGGGCATTCCTGATCAAAAACAAGCTTCTGCACTCCATCCTTTAACGCCTTGGAGGGTTGCTTAGCAGGCAGAAGTTCAACCGATCGAGCTTCTTCTGCCTCGAGAAAGCCTATCCCTTCTGGTTGGTTCGGGTTGGCTACGTCCCTGGGTTTGCGTCAGATGTGAAACCCCGATGAACTCTCGTCCCCGACTGGAGACTCCCTGTAGCTCTAAATTCTTTCACTCTTTGGACAGAGAAGATGACATTAAACCCTCTGTAATAGCTGCCTTCCACCTCTTTTCCTCTCTGAACGCAGAAGAAGGTGGTGCCAGCCCTCGGCCTACTCAGCCGAGCCCCCTGCCCCGCAGGCAGCCAGGTAGGTCTCTAGCCCGCCCGCCCTTCCTTCTCCCCCCTGGCCTGGGCCACCCATGCCACCGCCCTCAGTTGGGGTGGGGGGTGGGGGACACGAGCTGCTTGGACTTGCCAGAATCAGACCGTTGTCGCACGGGTGTGTTTGCAGTGCTAGGCAAGGATTGCACCGTGCATGCCTTGAAATGGAGAATGTGGACTTTTACACCTGCCGTGCCTGAGTCACCCTATTCTATTTAAAAAAACCATTCCCACCTTCCAAAAAGTTTTATGTTCCTTGCCAGACCTGCCCTGAGCTGCCCTGCCTGGGTTTTTGTGCAAAAAAAAAAGTATTTTTATTTCTTTCATTTATTTATATCCCTTTATTCTTATAAAGAAGCCGACAAACGTATCTAATCCTCCTTTCTCCTATTTTTCCCCACAACAACAACCCTGTGAGGTGGGCTGGAAGGAGAGCGAGAAGGACTTGCCTAAGCCAGCTTTTATGCTTAAGGCGGGACTAGAACTCCCAGCCTCCTAGCGATTGGCCCAAAACCACCTGGGACTAGAACGCCCAGCCTCCTAGCGATTGGCCCCAAATCATCCAACCAGCTATCTTGCCTAAGGCGGGACTTAGAACTCCCAGCCTCCTGGTGATTGGCCCAAAATCACCCGGGACTAGAACGCCCAGCCTCCTAGCGATTGGCCCCAAACCATCCAACCAGCTATCTTGCCTAAGGCGGGACTTAGAACTCCCAGCCTCCTGGTGATTGGCCCAAAATCACCCGGGACTAGAACGCCCAGCCTCCTAGCAATTGGCCCCAAACCATCCAACCAGCTATCTTGCCTAAGGCGGGACTTAGAACTCCCAGCCTCCTGGTGATTGGCCCAAAATCACCCAGCTGGTTTTCATGTCCAAGGCAGGATTAGAACTCACCGTCTCACTCACAAATGGATCTAAATATATATGAAAATCAATTAAATGAGTATAAAGCAGTGGCGGTCCTTGTCGGTTGAGGACAGGTGGGTGGGTGGAACAGCTGCCCTATCCTGCCCTCTTTGGTGAGAGATACCCTCTCCATGAAGCCTGGCAAGGATAAAGATGGGCTGCCCCCCCACCCTGAACAGGACTAGGAGATCCTTTGGATGGGTCAGGTGGGGGGTAAGAGAAAAACCAGAGGGGCCATTGAGGCACCAAAGAATTGGGTGGGGCAAGATGGTCTCCAGATGCCACATGGTTGCCCTAACGGCTTCTGTCGTTCTTTCCTGCCAATTATTCTGCTTCTCTGCCCGTCACGCGCTGCTCTTCCCAGAAAGTACCACTTTGCCTTTCCTGATTCCCGTCATCCTTCCGGATTTCAAGGCCAACCACACGGTCAAACCGGCTCCAGGTGAGCCCCGTTTTCTTACTGACATATTCATTGAATTTACTTGCTGCTCGTGTCGCTCTAAAAAGGAACTCTGGGTGGCCGACTATGAAAATCATAAAATTGTTTCTTTCCAGTGCCGGATCTGTCCAGAGTCCGGATCTAGGAGACCCCCCTCCCTCAAAAGCTGTTCCTTTTCACCTGTGCAAGAATGTGTTAACTACAGAAACCCACGGGAGAAAAATATTCCCCCAAACTCAGGCACCAGGAGACTTCAGAGGTCTTCTAGTCCAACCCTTTGCTCAAAGCAGGAGACCTTATACCAGTGGTGGCGAACCTATGGCACGGGTGCCAGAGGTGGCACTCAGAGCCCTCTCTGTGGGCACGCGCGCCGTCATCCCAGTCCTAGGCCTTCAGCTGGGTTTTATAAAACCTTTTCGCTTTAGGCCTCCGCCGCCATGTGCAAAAAAAAAAAAAAGGTTCAATTACTCAATCTCAACTTCTCGCGGGAAAAAAAAGATCTCGCAAAGTTGGAATTGATTGATTGAACTTTTTAGTCCCACCCAGTCTGCTGTTACCACCGCAGCCACACCCATCCAATGGGCCACACCCACCCAATGGGCCACACCCACCCGGCACCCGACGGTGCATAAGTGGGTTTGGGGTTGCAGTTTGTTCAGTCTATGCTTGTTACATGTTATGTTCTATATTAGTTCTGTATAAGTGTCTTATCGAATAGAAGTTTACTACATTTACACAACACAGAATATAAGCAACAGAGTTGGAAGGGACCTTGGAGGTCTTCTAGTCCAACCCGCTGCTCAAGGCAGGACATCTTTATACAAGTCGTTGTCAACTTTGTTTAGTGACTCTTTGAACTTACAACAGCACTAAAAAAAAGTGATTTTTCACACTTAGGACCGTTGCAAGCATCTCAATGGTCACATGATCAAAATTCGGCCTCTTGGCAATTGACTCCTATTTATGACGGCTACAGTGTCCCGGAGTCATGGGATCCCCTTTTGCGATCCTCTGACAAGCGAAGTCGATGGGGAAGTCAGAGTCAGTTTACAACTGTATTACTAATTTCACAGCTGCAGTGATTCACTGAACAACTATGACAAAAATGGAGCAAAATTCAGTTAACAACTGTTTTGCTTAGCAACAGAAATGTTGTGGTCGTGAGTTGAGGACTATCTGCACTAAGAACAGTCAGGGGGTTCTCCAGTCAGTCTAGTTTTGAAAATCATTTCAATGCTTTAGCATTTCCTACAAAAAAAAAAACACGTCTTTTTAAGAGGCTTTTGTCTGCTTCATCCTCCTTGTTAGGAGTTGAGCAGGCTGAACTGGAAGGCGGGGTCAAACGTGTCATTAGTTTAGAGTTGCAGCGTTCCCACAAGTTCAGAACCAAGTTCAGCTTCCTGTGAATTCCGTTGACTCCTCTCTGGCGCCAATTGGCCTGGACTGTTGTTAGTAGATCGGATTCTTGCGTAGAGGTAGCAGGCAAGGAACTTTTCGCCTTTTGAACTCAACTCCTGTTCCTGGGCACTTGCGCCCGTGCAGAATATCCACCGTCGTGCGAACAGGAACGGCGGGAAGCCATCCACGAGGCCCGCCAGCACCAGCAGGAGGGCACTTTCATCCCGGAGTGCGAAGGCGACGGCTCCTACAAAGAGGTGCAGTGTCACCAAGCCACAGGCTACTGTTGGTGCGTGCGAGTGGGCACCGGACGCCCCATCCCAGGGACCTCGACCCGGTCAGTTTCCGTACCTGTCTTGAATTCAGAGTTTGAATCTGATTGAGGCCCGTTTCCTCTCCTACATTCAGTGACACCCCTCCTTTAGCGTAAAGCAGGAGTCTCCAAACTTAGCAACATGGTGGACTTCAACTCCCAGAATTCCTCAGCCAGCATAGCTGGCTGAGGAATTCTGGGAGCTGAAGTCCACACGTTGTAAAGTTACCAAGGTTGGAGAGCCCTGGGTCAACCCGCTTGTCTGGATATGTCCTGGAACTGCAACTCCCAGCCTTCCCATCACCAAGAGGAATTCTGGGAGTCGCAGTCCAGTCCCAACATAGCGGACAGCCCCAAGGCTGGGGGAGGTTGTCAGAAGCAGACTGTGCAAAGAGAAAGACAGGAAAAACGGGGAGAGACCCAGATCTGGAACGGGTCTGGTTGGGGGTTTCTTTCACTTCCTAATGCCTAAAAATGGGGGGGTCCCCCAGGGAAAGCCTGGCAGACTTCCTGCCCCCCTCAAAACCTGCCTTCTCTTCATTGGTCCTTTTCCAGAAACTTTCCTCCGGACTGCGAAGCTGATGCAGCAACCAAGAGCACAGAATTAGGGTCCTTGTTCCGAGATCGAATCCTGCCAGGTAAGCAAGCAGCTGTTTCCCTCCTTTTAAAAATACAGGCGGTGGTCCTCGACCACCAACGAGCCCCAAATGTATCTGGCTCAGTGAGAAATTTGTTACGTGAGTTTTGCCCTGTTTTGCCACCGTCGTTAAGCGAGTCGTTGCGGTGGTGAAGTCAGCAACCCGGTTGTTAAATGAATCCGGCTTCTCCCTTGACTTTGCCTGTCGGAAAATTGCAAATGGGGATCCCACGACCCTGGGACACTGCAACCGTCATAAATGTGAGTCAGTTGTCAAGCATCCGAATGTAAATCGGGTGACTCGACGGTCGTTAAGTGTGAAAAGTAGTCACAAGTCCCTTTTCTCAGTGCCGCTGTAACTTCAGTCGCTAAAAGAACTGTTGTAAATCGAGGACTATCTGTAATAATAATAATAGGAAGAAATGTGTTGAAGCGACAACGAGGCTTTCAGCAGCTTTGTGTTCCTGTTTTTTGATCTTTCCAACTAGGTTGTCCTGGGTCAAAGAAGACACAATTCCTTACACAACTGATCAAAGCTTTAAGCTCCCACATGCTGCAGTCCAGGCTGATGACCATTCCCTACCGCAGGTAAATTTGGCTGACCCATCACGAAAAAGGGAGCCCCTTCGGTCTGTGAACCGCGCAATCAAAGATATTGTGCAGAGTTGTGTTTCTCAACTTTAAGGTGGGTGGATTTCAACTTCCACAATTCTCCAGCTAGCGTTTTGAACCTGAAGGTGGGTGGACTTCAACATGGTGTCTAAGGAATTCTGGGAGTTGGAGTCCACACCCCTTAAAGCTGCCAAGGTTGAGAAACACTTGAGTTAGATTGGAATATATCTAGGTCTGTCTGTCTGTCTGTCTGTCTGTCTGTCTGTCTGTCTGTCTGTCTGTCTCTCTCTCTCTCTCTCTCTATCTATCTATCTATCTATCTATCTATCTATCTATCTATCTATATATATATATATATATATATATATTTGTTTTCTGAGGTTTTCGCGGGTGTTTGTATGTAGGTCTTTGATTATTCGGGTTTTCTCCCGCGTAAAATTGGAAGTGTCTTGGCGACGTTTCGACGAAGTCCCATTCGTCATCTTCAGGCTGGTGTTTTCGGCTTCGTGCTTCTATGAGCACGAAGCCGAAAACACCAGCCTGAAGATGACGAATGGGACTTCGTCGAAATGTCGCCAAGACACTTCCAATTTTATGCGGGAGAAAACCCGAATAACCAAAGATCTGCATCTTTATCTATATAGATATATATCTCGTAAATAGATAAATGATTTATCTGGAGGGGAGAGAGAAAGGGAGGGAGGGAAGGAGAGAGAGAGAGAAAGAAAGAGAGAGAGAGAGAGAGAGAGTTTGGTGCAGTGGTAAAGATACTTGATCATGAACTGGGAAATCATGAGTTTTAATCCCACCTTAGCCATGAAAGCCGGCTGGGTGACTTTGGGCTAATCACCAGGAGACGGTGAATTCTAGTCCCGCCTTAGGCATGGAAGCCACCTGGGTGACTTTGGGCCAATCACCAGGAGATGGCAAGTTCTAATCCCACCTGGGTGATTCGGGACGAGGCGCTCTCCCTCAGCCCAACCTACCTCCCCAGGTTGTCGGGAACATTCTACTCGCCACCTTGACTTGCACCAACAATAAATCCCATAAAAATCGGACACTATCTCTGCAGGTTTCCGGATTCCTTGGCGGCCCCCAGCCTGGAGGAGCGGGCCGTGCGCTGGCAGTTCACCTATCTGGACAGGGACTTCAGCAACGGCGTGAGCGAGCGGGAGCTGCGCCCCTTCAAGCAGTACATGAAGCAGAACACCCGACCCAAACGCTGCGCCCGCAAGTTCCTGGATTACTGTGATCTCAGCGGCAACAAGCTGATCTCGCTGCCCGAATTCAGAGGCTGTTTGGGGCTCAGCTAACCTACCGGTGTGTATTTTGGGGCAGTGGGCTTTTGCAGACCTTCCCCCCTTTCTATTTGCAACTCCAGGGAAGGTGGGGGGACACGAGGTCTCCCCTAATGTAATTCCTGGGGCTCAAAGAGGTCTGGCAGAAGGTCCCTCAAAGATGGTTTGGACTCCACGTCCAACATCTGGAGAGCACTCTGCCCGCCCACCAGGAATGTGTGACAGCGAGTCCTCGACTTAACAGCAGTTCATTTACTGACCGTTCGAAGTCACAACCGCACTGAAAAAAGCAAGGGTGACCATTTTTCACACTTACAACTTGCAGCATCCCCAGGGTCACGTCATCCGAATTCAGCCGCTTAGCAACCGACTCATATCTATGACGGGTGCCGTGTTCTGGGGCCATGTGATCCCCTTTTGTGACCCACAGTTGCCAAGGGCCACAACAATGTGTCTGTGAAGGTGGAGCAACCGTCGTAAAACTGAGAATCGGTCATGTGTTACTTTTTCCGAGGCCGTTGTAAATTTAAACTGTTGTTCGACGAATCCTCACACATTGAGGACTACTTGTACTTGGTGCTACGACCAAAATTGGGAGCTGCTGGAGTTAGCAAGGCTGGGAACAAAATTAATTAGTGCTTTCTCAAGCCCCCCCCCCATCCCTTAATAAATCCATCCCAAGCCTCCTTCCCCTGCCCCCCCCCCCAATGTTATTCTGCCAATCCTTCCAACAAAAAGTTGTTTAGAGAGCAGATTAAGTCTGGATTAACTTTCTCCGCGACTTCCTTCCAAGTGGGTTAGGTTGGCATTCCTTCTTTTGTGAAAACAAGCCACCTGAAACCCTTTAAAAGAAATGGGGACAAATTGATTGTTTCTGTTTTTAACAGTTGAGGAACCCAAAACCGGCTTCCTGAATTAAAGACGTCAATTCAGAAAGCTGGAAGATGAAACACCTCTGCATCGTGGAATGCTTTTCATTGCCCAGTTGTGTTTCTTCCGTGGTTAAATTCTGTTGGGAATTTTTCTGGCTGGGTGTTTTTTGCTGATCCTTGTCTCAAGTGAAGTTTAATTCTCGATCCAGAACACCAGTGGTTGCCCCAAAGCAAATAAGAACAAGGAAAGTTTCCTTCTTGGGATGAAGACGTGGAAAAAAAGGAGGAGGAAGGATAGGAAACTTAAGATGGTATAATTGAGGGTGGAAGAAGCTGGAAGAAGACGTGTTCCAAATTATTGGCTTCCTTTGTCAAAAACAGTTTAAAGCATTAGTGCCGCTTTCTAAAGCCTTAGTAAGGCCACACCTGGAATACGGCATCCAGTTTTGGTCACCATGTTATAAAAAAGATGTTGAGACGTTGGGAAAAAAAAAGTGCAGAGAAGAGCAACTAAGATGATTAAAGGCCTGAAGACTAAAACATAGGAAGGACAGTTGCAGGAATTGGGTCTGACCAATCTAGTGAAGAAAAAAAAAAAAGACCAGGGGTGACATGATAGCAGTCTTCCACTATCTAGGGCAGGGGGTCTTCAAACATGGCCCCTTTGTGACTTGTGGACTTCAACTCCTAGAATTCCTCCGCAGCCATACTGGCTGAGGAATTCTGGGAGTTGAAGTCCACAAGTCATAAAAGGGCCAAGTTTGAAGACCCCTGATCTAGGGGCTGCCCCAAAGAAGAGGGAGTCAAGCTATTCTCCAAAGCACCTGAAGTCAGAACAAGAAACAAAGGATGGAAACTAACCAAGCAAGCAGAGAAGCAACCTGGAACTAAGGAGAAACTCCCTGACAGCGAAAACAATTAACCAGTGGAACAGCTTGCCACCAGAAGCGGTGGCCGCTCCATCACTGGAGGCTTTTAAGAAGAGACTGGACAGCCCCTTGTCTCCAATGGTACAGGGTCTCCTGCTTGAGCAGGGGGTTGGACTAGATGACCTCCGAGGTCCCTCTCAGCTCTTACTCCGATTGAGTTTCAATCAGTAACACAGTTGTTCAGTAAATCTGACTTCCTTGACTTTGCTTGTCGGAAGGTCACAAAAGAGAATCACACAACCCTGGGATGTTAAGTGCAAAGACCGGTCACTAAACAGAATGGTTGTAAGCCGAGGATTGCCTATATTGAGGGGTATTCCAACTTCCCGCTTCATTGATGTTTTTCTCCTTTCTGTTCAAAGGTTTTCTCTCCCGCAAAAGGGCGTGGAATCTCTCTCTCTCTCTTTCTCTCTCTCTCTCCCCCACGTTCCTGCCTCCCATGGCTGACGCTCTGCACTTTAAAGAAGGGGACTGGATTCTCTGCCAAGAATTACGAGGACGTTTCGGCAGCAGGGAAGAACTAGCCGGAGAATCGGTGCCCGCCAAGTCCAGCCCGCCCGTTCCCCCCTGGATTTGCTCCTTTCCGCTTTAAAAATGTCCATAGGAGACGCTGCAGTAATCCGCTGTCTTCGTAGATTTTGTAATAGTGACGGTATTTTTAATCCTCGCTTTATTTTTCACGGTGTCCTTCGAAAGGAAAAAATCTGACCGTCGGAGGAGGAGGAGGATGGCCGTCTCTGAGCGTTTTTAAAAACTTGTATTTTTTTTTTCCAAATAAAAGGGCAATTCCCCCCATCTAAGTCCCTGGGGAAAAATAAGCTGAATTTTAGAACCAACTTCTAGTCTTATCCGCAATAGGCTATTCGAACCAATAAATTATATACAAGGAAGGAAGATTTGATGCTCTTTTTTGAAATCTTGTCTTCCGCTTTTCTGGATGATTTATTCTGCCTTCCGCAGCTGTTTTCAGGGAAGTGGACTCTGTGTCATGTCTGTCTCCTTGACTTACGACCACTTTTAGGAGTGGTCCCACTTTTCAGTGCTGTTGTAACTTCGCTCACTAAATGAACTGTTTCAGGACTAGCTGCAATGTGCCAGCGAGCAAACATACAAACCAGGAAATCTTTTTTTTTTCTCCTTCCCCCCCCTTGGAAAAGGGGGCGCAAATGTCTATTTCAAGGAAGCCGAATTTGCTTAATGACCACGTGTTTCACTTAATAACCGTCGCGACTCGCTTAGCCACCACGGGCAAAAAAGGGTGTAAGATTGGGCCCAACTGACTTAACCACCTCCTCCAGCAGCCAGAGACGTTTGAAGGATCTTAGAAAAGCTGAGGAGCATTTGATCAGTTGAAGTATGGATTGAGACACCCCCCCCCCTCAGATATTCATAAGCAAATGTAATTTTTCTCAGCCTTGGCAATTTTCAGATGGCTGGACGTCAACTCCCAGAATTCCCCAGCCAGCTTGTCTAGTTTAGTGCAGAGGGCTAGGGGGGAACACGATAGCAATGTTCCAATATTTGAGGAGCTTCCACAAAAAAAGGGGGGGGGGGTCAAGCTATTCTTCAATGCAGCAGAAAGCAGGCAGGAGAAGAAGCAAAGGATGGAAACGAAGGAGAGAAGCAACCTAGAGCAGTGGTTCTCAACCTTTTTAATGCCGCGACCCCCAACCGGTCGTAAGTCGAGGACTACTCAACCGGTCATAAGTCGAGGACTACTCGACTGGTGCAGCACCGTTTGCAGAATGGGACTTTTGGCGGGCTCAGCAGGGCAGAGACAGCCTGGACCATTCCTATTGGCTTTTGAAAGCCAATAGAATGAGACTCTATTCAAGAGAGTCTATTCTGTTGGCTTTCAAAAGCCAAGAGAATAAAAGGGAGGAGCACAGCTAAGGAAAAGGGGGAAAAAAATGGCGGACTGCGTTGTTTGGCGACCCCCGTGAAATGGTCGTTCAACCCCAAATGGGGTCCCGACCCACAGGTGGAGAACCACTGACCTAGAGCTAAGGGGGGGAGAACAATTAACCAGTGGAACGGCTTGCCTGCAGAAGTTGTGGGTGCTCCACCAGCTGGAGACTGGACAGCCACTTGTCTGGAATTGTACAGGATAGGGTGTCCCCTGCTTGTGCGGGGGGGGGGGGGTTGGACTAGAAGACCTCCAAGATCCCTTCCGACTCTGTTAAGTCCACACATCTGAAAGCTGTCAAGGTTGAGAAACATTGGTCTAAAGCAGGGGTAGGCAACCTTGGCTCTTTTATGACTCGTGGACTTCAATTCCCAGCATTCCTGAGCCAGCTAGTCTATGCTGGCTCAGGAATGCTGGGAGTTGAAGTCCACGAGTCATAAAAGAGCCAAGGTTGCCTATCCCTGGTCTAAAGGCTAGACTGCAAAGGGGGGAAGTTAATTGCAAAAGATTGCCGATCGGTTAAGGAGGCAATGAGTTATCACAAATTGCGGCCGATCCAGGAATCTTTCTTTAAGCCACTGGAAATGGAACAGCCGGAGTGGATTCCCAGCAGCCTTCCAGTTCTCTGGAGCGGCCCGCCCTCTGCTGGCGGATTTCCGCATTTCAGCACGGTGAAGTTTTGCCCGTGAATTATTTTATTTCTTTCTTTAGCGAATGATATAGAGTACATGAATAACAGCAGTAAGCATATATAAAAGGAGGACTTAATACTCGGGTACACGTGATAGAAATATGCACTCAATTTGCTAGCCTTGCTGGACAAGCGTCTGGATTGCAGCTCTGTCTTGTTACACAACGCGCATAACGTTGCAAATCTTCCAGTTGAGAACAAGTTTGTAGACTTTTGCAATCTGGCTTTGCCGGGTTCCCACGCTAGTGTTGTCCTAGGTTGAAAACTGCAATGCAAGCTGGCCGCTTTACACACGTACACACACACACACACACATAACGTTGGAACCGAGAGAAACGGAAGTCACAAGTAGGAACCAGACTTGGCAATTCCAGATCCAGATTTCATTTGATCCTTCCCCCCGTCCTCCGTCTTCTCAATCTGTAATGCGAGACAGGAGCAAGAAGGAGACCGGGGGGCGGGCGGGGTGAAGCATTTTAAGCCTTTTTTCAGTTGCATTCATCTGAACGGACTTTGCATCTCTTCTTTCGCCGAGTCAGCTCTCCCAAGTCCTTTCTGCTCGGCCGTCCTACCTTGTCGGGCTGCTGTTCCCGAAGCAAAAGCCCCGTCTCCGGAGCGCCCGAGGCTTTCTCGTCCAAAGGCGTCAAAAGGCAGCTCCACCCGGATGGGAAGAGAAGGGAGGGGAGGGGAGTAGAAAGGTACCCATCGCCCACCTCTTAAGGCGCTAGCCCTTTAAGAGGAGGCGAGCATGCGCGCTGACGCCAGCCGTTGAGCGAGGCGGGGGGAGGCTCCCTTTCTGCGTCCGCGCCCTTTCCTATTCCGGGACCCACGAGCTGCGAGGGGCCGATCCCAGGCGGCCAGGGACTTCGCAGCCTCGGCCGGCCACCCGCCCGAGAAATCTCTGAAGCGGCGGCCGGGCTGCGCCGGAGCCGGGCTGGGAAAGGAGCGGGCGAGCGGGGCGAGCAATCCGCGGATGACTTTGCAGCCGGCGGAAGGGGCAGCAGCGGCTGTGGCGGCAGCGCCCTGCGGGGGGTCCGCGTGGAACGTTGAGGCCCGCTTCCCTTTGTGACGCCGCCGGGGAAAGTTTCCCAACGTTCCAAAGGCGCCTTTGATCTTCTTCCCCGCCGCGCGCGCCGGGAGAAAGTCAGCCGGACCGGGACCCCCGCCCCTTGCTCGGCCGTCGGGGCGCGCCCTCGCCGCCTCCGCCTCCTCTCTTCCCAGGTGAGTGAAGGGCGAGGGGGGTGTGCTGAGTGCCTGGCCTGCTTGGGAGGACCCTGGGAAGGAGAGAGGGGGGGTCCTTTTAAGGCGTGGCCCCTGGCTTTGCTCCCCGGCGGGTTCTTTGCCTAACCCCCCCTCCCTCCCTCCCTTCATCTCCCCAGGGGCGCGGCCTTTGAAGCCCCTACCGCTCTGCCGCTTATGGCAAGACGCGAGTCTGCCGAGTCGTGCGAACGCAGCCTTGGGTGGTGGGGCGCGGCCGGGAGGAGTGCGGGGACGGGAGAGGGAGAGAGAACGCTTTCCTTTTTGCAGACCCCCCTCCCACCTCTGCGGAGACCCCCCCCCGTCTTTCGTCCCCTCACAGCCCAAAGGGGGGGGCAGAAGAGGTTCTTGAAAAAGTTGGAGGTCAAAGGCAGGACGGGGGAGGGGGGGGAACCGAGATGGAAAGCGGGGCCCTCGCTCCGCCCTCCGCTCAGAGACGCGTCCGCAGCATTTCAGGGGGTGGGCAAACTTGAGGATGGGAAGATCCCCCCCCTCCCCTCCGACGGATGCGCGCCCGGGCGCCGCCTTCCCCGAGTGGAGCTTTGGGTGGGATCTCGGATTTGAATTAAAACTGGTCGGCGCTGGCAGGGAGGCAGGGAGGTAGGGCTGCGGCGGCGGCAGAAGACACGTGTTCGGATCCGGAAGCGCGGTGCGTTCTTGTACCGCGCGTGCAAAGTGTGTGTGTGTGGGGGGGGGGAAGCAAGCAGGCAGGCGGACGGAGAAGGGCCTTTCGGTCCGGATCGGGGAGGCTGGGCGGGGTGGGGTGGGGGGGTTGCGGTCTGCGGGGCGGAGGAGCCCCGGACTTCCTCCCCCGGACTTCCTTTCTTGGAAACAATGTTGCCGTTTCTTCTTCTTTCGCTTGTTTGACTCCTTCGGGGGGGGGGGGGGAAGAGCTAAAGTTCGTTTCGGGGCGGTTTGCGGGGTGTGTGTGTGTGTGTGTGTTTTCTCGGGTTGTGCATTGTGAACGGCCTCTGGAGCAAAAATGTCCCTTTTTTCTCTTTTTTTCCTGGAGCAAACTCTTTTTTCCCGGAGCAAAATATCTCTTTTTTTTTTTTTTGCTTGCTTTTTTTCTTCTTGAAAGCTCACCAACAAATTCCCTTCAAAGCCACTTCGGCCCCGCAGACCGCAACCTTCCCCCTCCCCTGCTTGGGGGGGTGGGGTGGGGTGGGATGGTCAGTGCCGCCCCCCCCATCCAGGGTCATTTCAGCCTGGCTCAAGGACAGGCTGGGCCCTTAAAGCCCCGGACTGAAGGTTCCTCCTCTCTCCCCCCCCCATTTGAAGAGTCTGTGGAGCTGTTTAAGTCAGCCTGGAGCTGAGCCTGCAGCGTCAAGCCAGCTTGAAAGCGAGGGGGGGGGGTGAAGGGTGCTTTTTCTCTCTCTCTCTCTCTCTCTAAACCAAAAAAAGAAAAAGTTTCCAGGCCTTTCATGTGATTCATCAAACTTCCAAGTGACAGGCTGCCGAAGAAGTGGGAGCAGGCAGGTGTGGGACACCTTGTTGAAGGCTGCTATTTGGGGAAGGTGGAGAAAGTTGGCAGCGACCTTTTTGAAGTAGGGTGTTTTCTCCTGAAAATGGTTGGGAGCTCGGATTTTCTCTCTCTGAAGAAGTGCTTGTGTGTGTGTGTGTTATAAAAGAGACTTTGCCCACCTGGCCCTCCATTTAGGGCAGTGTTTCTCAACTTTGACCATTTTAAGGCATGTGGACTTCAACTCCCAGAATTCCACAGCCAGCAATGCTGGCTGTGGAATTCTGGGAGTTGAAATCCACATGCCTTAAAATTGTCAAGGTTGAGAAACACTGGTGTAGGTAGCCCTTCCTCCCTTCCTTCTTTCTCTCCCTTCCCTTTCTCCCTCTCTTCTTTCTCCCCTCCCTCTCTCTTTCTGTCCTTCCTCCTTCTCTTCTTTCTTTTTTCCCTCCCTCTTTTTCTATCCTCCCTCCCTCTCTCTCTCTCTCTCTCTCTCTCTTTCTGCAATCTTTTAAACTTGGAGCTGAAGTAGCAAACCCTGATCCGGAAAAAAGTCTGATAAAAAGAAACGAAGGTTACTTTGGGGAGTTTTAGAACCTGTGAAACCGGGTGTGTGAGGTGGGGGGGGGCAGTTGGGACACTCCCCATGGGAAAGTCAGCGTGTCGGAAGGCTGCTGAGAACTTCAGCGATGCATAAATTTAAATTGAGGGTGGGGAACCCGTCTGAAATGAGTTTCCAGATGAAAATGAGGTCTGGAAAGTCACCTTTGAAGCTGGTTTCGTTTCACTTTGTGCCCTCCCTGTGGATTTGGGCAGAGGTCTCCAAACTTGACAGACGGTGGGACTTCATTCCCCCAGCTGGCTGAGGAATTCTGGGAGTTGAAGTCCACAAGTTTGAAGATCCCTGGATTTGGGCCTTAACAAACCCGTGATCTGGAATTGGACAAGGAAGGTCATTGAGTATCGTTGGTCTTTCTACATTGTGGCTGAAAAACTGGAGGGGGCAATTTATACCACAATTTCAAAAAGCGCTGGCCTTGCAGAGTAAGGCCCAAAGGGGATAGAAACACCAATTCCTCGCTGAGAGCTAGTAGGATGAAGAGGCAGGATTGTTTGCCGAGGTCAGCTCTTCATTCACCTGTAGAACAGGCCGGTCTTCCCCTCCCCCCTTCTCAAACTTAACCACCTTGCAAGGTGACTAAAAGTGCAGACTCTGGAAGGGAGCTGGGCTCGGCCGCGCATGTCTTTGTGGTTTGGTATCTTTGCTTCTAAAACGGTGACCTTCGGGTTTTTTTCTGAGTTGGGGAGGGGGAGGAGCCCCCAAGGTGGGTTGGGCCACCTCTTCTGAGAATCTCTGAATGTTGTTACTTCCTCTGTGTGTGTGTGTGTGTGTGAGAGAGAGAGAGAGACTTTCTCTGCACACTGAGACCGAAAGCCTGGGAACTTGGGACAGAAAAGAGGAGAAAGATTTGCGGGCCAAGGAGGCAGGGACGGGTACACAGGTGGTCCTCGGCTTACAACCGTTCATTTAGTGACCGTTCAAAGTCACAACGGCACCGGAAAAAGGGACTTATGGCCGTGTTTCACACTTACGGACCTTTGAAGCATCCCCAGGGCCAGCTTATCAACTGCAGTGATTCTCTTAACGACTGTGGCAAGACAGGTCGTAAAACGGGGCAAAAACCCAACTCAACAAAGGTCTCGCTTAACAACATAAACTTTGGGCTCCCTTGTGGCCACCCGTAGAAGCAACTTTGCAAGAACGTGCGGGTAGAGCGGTTGATAATTTGTGCCCGGTTGATAATTTGTGCCCTTTCCCGATTCCTTGTCCCGCCCAGTTGAATCACTGCACTAATTGCAGAGCGTGACTAATTGCAATGCAAATACGCAGGTGTCGCCCGGTGCACCTGGAGAGTTACAGCTTCGGGGGGGCGGGGGGAACTGGTCTGGAGACTTTGAAAAAGGGCAGAAACGGGATTGGGGTGGGACAGCCCCGTCCGTGGGGCAGCTTTGCTTTTCCTGTCTGGAGATGGAAACGTGCACGTGCCTTTTTCAACGTCCCCGAAGCTCTGTTACTAAGCAAGACGGTTGCTAAGTGAATTTTGGCCCGATTTTATGACTTTTCTCGCCATGTTTGTTAAGAAAATCACTGCAGGTGTTAAGTTCGTAACCGGCTGGGTTAAAGAGCCTGGCTTCCCGCCCCCCCCCCTTGACTTTGCTTGTCCAAAGGTCGCAAAAGAGGAATCATGCGACCTCGGGATTCTGCGGCCGTCATAAAGGTGAATCAGTTGCCCAGCGTCTGAGTTTTGGATGATGTAATGGTCGTAAGTGTGAAAAATGTGCGTAAGTCAGGGCTGTTGTAACTTTGGACGGTCACTAAATGAACTGGCAAGTCAAGGACTTTTTTCAGGTGGCTTTTATGCAGCAGGGCAGAATATTTATTCTGGCCCTGCTTTGCTGGTTGATAGTTGGATGGATGAAAAACGGGGGGTGGTCCTTGACTTACGACGATTTGCCTAGCGATCATTCAAAGTTGCAGCAGCACTGAAAGAAAGGGACTTACGGCCCGTTGCGGCCTCCCCACAGTCGCGTGATCAGAGTTCAGGCGCTCGGTAGCTGACTCATACTTGTGACGGTCGCAGTGTCCCCCCCGGGTCACGTGATCCCCTTTTGCGACCTTCGGACAAGCAAAGTGAAGGGGGAAGCCGGATTCACTTAACAACCTTGTCACTAATTGAGCAACTGCAGTGATTGGCTTAACAGCTGTGGCGAGAAAGGTCGTAAAATGGGGCGAGACTCGCTTAACAGCTGTCTCGCTTAGCAATGGAAATTTTGGGCTCCATGGTGGTCGCAAATTGAGGACTACCTGTATTCTTTTTAAAAAAAGAGTAAAAGTTGTTTTAGATCCTCAAATCCCTTCTCTCTTTGAGGTTGGGAATGGGGAGTTAGGAATTGTGGAAGAACTGTGTATATAATAAAATATAATAATAATAATTGGCCGTACCAATTTGGATCCTTGGCACCTCCACGAATGTTACGGGTTTTCATTCATTCATTCCTGATATGCTGCTTTCACTTTGGCAGCCTTAAACAGAATAACAGTGTGGGAAGGGACCTTAAAGGTCCTCTAGTCTGACCCCCTGCTCAAGCCGAACATATCGCTTCAGACAAGTGGTTGTTTGGTCTCTTTCTTCTTAAATTATCTTGCTGCATTAAGTACCTAGCTGAAGAGGACTTGAAGTTGGAAGGGAACAGACTTTTCCAGTTGACAAGAAGGGAACCTCCCTTGTTGTCTGGGAAAAAAAAATAATATTCTCGCTGTAGGAGGCCATGCTTTGCTCAGTTCTGCTTGGCAACTGCCACCCGCGTGGCTCTGCTCAGGTGAGAACAGGGAAATAGCCAGGTAAGAGGTGGGAGAGGTTTGGCCAGGGGTGGCGGAGAGGATTTAGTTAGACTTTAATAACAGAGTTGGAAGGGACCTTAGAGATCTTCTAGTCCAACCCCCTGCTCAGGTAGGAAACCTAGACTATTTCAGACAAAGGGCTGTCCAGTTTCTTTAAAAACCTCCGGTGTTGAAGCACCCACAACTTCTGGAGGCAAGTCGTTCCACTGGTTAATCATTCTAACTGCACTCCGTGGAGTGCATCAAGGCACTGGCAAGACCAGGATACGTGTAAATGGTGGTTTAGTGCTTCTGCTGTTCTTACTGTGTTTTCAACCCCCTTCTCTCCTCTTCCTTCCCCCTCCCCCTCCAGTCTTGTATGGACTGTGTGGTCCTGGCCTGCAGCCATGGGGAAGATGCTATCCAAGATCTTCGGTAACAAGGAGATGAGGATTTTGATGTTGGGCCTAGATGCCGCCGGCAAGACCACCATCCTTTACAAGCTCAAGTTGGGCCAGCCCGTCACCACCATCCCCACCGTGGGCTTCAACGTGGAGACGGTGACCTACAAGAACGTCAAGTTCAACGTCTGGGACGTGGGGGGCCAGGACAAGATCCGGCCCCTCTGGAGACACTACTACACCGGCACCCAGGGCTTGATCTTTGTGGTGGACTGCGCCGACCGGGATCGGATCGACGAAGGCCGGCAGGAGCTTCACCGCATCATCAACGACCGCGAGATGCGGGACGCCATCATCCTGGTCTTTGCCAACAAGCAGGACCTCCCAGACGCCATGAAACCTCACGAGATCCAGGAGAAATTGGGGCTCACTCGCATCAGGGACAGGAATTGGTACGTCCAGCCGTCTTGCGCCACCTCGGGGGAAGGACTCTATGAAGGCTTAATGTGGCTTACTTCTAACTACAAATCGTAATTTCGGGGGGGGGGGAGGGCCAGAGAGCTAAACGGGCGCACGCACACCTCCCTCACCGATGAGTACTTCAAACGTTCCTTCTCTTCCGTCTTTGGCCCCCCCCCCAACTCTTCCCCAACTCGTGGCAGAGGGTCTCACCGGCACAGGCAGAAGACCCTGGTTGCTTCTCTCTCTTGGAAGATGCCTTGATTTCTGCGGAGGGAAGAGTGGAGGGGAGGGGTCCTTGCCCCCCCTTTGATCCATAGCTACCTACCTGCTCCCCTTCGGGACATTCCCCCCCCCCAGCCCGCTGCTTCTCTGGACTCGGGTCGCTTCCGAATGAGTCGAGTCTAACGCCAAAGGGAAGACCCTCGTGAAGAACGTTGGCTGGGACCAATTCCAGGAGCTCTGGGTCAACTTGGGGGTGGTCGTCCCCCCCGGACCCCCTTTTAAAGGTGGGAAAGCTTGGCACCTCCAAGGAACTGAGTTTGCTCTGCCTTGGCCTCCTGAAGCCGTCCTCCTGACTGGGCATACCAGGTTGGCAGAGGAGACGCGTGAAGTTCGGAACGAAGGTGCTGCGTTGGCAGCCAAGCTTGATGGGGATGGGAACTCCTGGCGGATTGGCTTGCTTCCTCAGGTTGCCTCTTCCAGTGTCTCCGTCGGGAACGCCCTGCCCCGGCCTTGTCTGGCCTCGCCTCTCTCCTGACCTGTTCCACCTGCTTGGAGGAGACAAGGGCGGGCATGCCTAGCGCCCGACCAAACCCGTTTGCCCGCTGCGAGGAGGGAGTGGAATGGAAGCCGCCGTTCCTGGGCGGGTGTCTTCTCCACAAATTCCTGCCTACGGCTCTGTCCAGAGTTCTCTCCATCCCCCCGTATAAACATGGGACGTTCCCAACTCAAGGGGGACCACAACGGGTGTCCATCACATTCCTTGACCCGCAAATCCAGACTCGGTTCCCGTATCAAAGAGAACTGGCCATCTTCCCGTGGGACGGTCATCTACGGACCACGATTCTTATGGTGCCAACATGCCGGGCCACCCGGGCCTGGTGAATCGGAGCAAAGGGCCCATCCTTGGAAATTTACCTCTCTCTCTCTCACTCACTCTGCTTGAGGGGCGTGTGCGAGAGTGTATGTGGGGGCTACGGGTTCCCACTCCCCCAGGCGTGTGCAGGACGTTGTTTCTTGAGAACAAAAAAATGCGCTTTGATGGTTCAGTTCCAAGCGGTGGGTATAAATCGTCTTTTTTTTTTTAAAATTGTACCGATATGATCCATTATAGGGGCATAAATCTCATTTCCAGCACCTTAGATTGTGTGGCCTTCAGCACAGAGCAGTGTTTTTCAACCGTGGCCCCTTTAAGATGGGTGGACTTCAATTCCCAGAATTCCCCAGCCAGCATCTTAAAAGGGGTCACGGTTGAAAAACACTGGCATAAACCAAAGAGGAGTTTTTCACCAGGAGGCTGTGGGGTGGGGTGGGGGTTGTAAGACCCTCCTCTCTAATTTCAGCCCTTTCCAGTTGCTAAAAAAAACCCCAATTCCTCCTGTTTGCTCGCTCGCTTTTTAAATCCTGTTTTGTGGATAATAAGCAATGGCCAATTTGAAGTGCTGGAACCATTGGGCTGAATTGCTCCCATTCCTTTCCCTTAAGCAGTTTTTAATTCCTCTTTCCCTTTAAAAAAAAAACCCTCTATTTTACTAAGAGGGCTTCGGAGGAATTGGGGAGCATTGCAAGTTGGCTGCAACATGGAGAGTGTGTGGGGTGTGTGTGTGTGGACTCAGCTTCCTCCTCCCCAAGCAATTTCCAAGCATGTCTTGATGCACGGAAGGAGACTTGCAACTTCTCTTTTAATCCCACCCCTCCTTTTAATTCATGGGAGGGGGGCTTGCCACTTCTCTTTTAATCCCACGCCTCCTTTTAATTCAGATCTTCTCATCCCCGGCCTTGCAAATGGCAAAGATGCACGATTCTCACCCAAATCCTTGAAATTCGAATTCTGACCAGCTTGGAAGGAAGGCCTTGGGGTGGGGGGGGGGAGAGGAAGAAAATCTGGAATGAGAAAAAGAGGGAAGAATTTATTTTTTCTCTTCTGCTGCTGCTGCTGCTGAGAACGGTGGCTGTGCTAATCCAGAAGGGGGGGGGTGCAAAAAAAAAATCAGATTGCATTTTCTGTCCGCAGTTTTCCACTGCGGCTTGCACTCTGGGTGTGAACTCCTGGATCAGATGTGACTCACGCCTGCTCAAGGCGTGTCCTCCACCCGGGGAGGGGGGGGGGAAGGAGAGCTTCTGGGTTGCGCTGAGCCAGCTTAAAATGTTCTTTTCCAGTCGTCTTCCTGTCCCTCCACGCTCAGCTGAGCCCTTTTTGGATTTCCAAAAGCGCAGCAATAATTGTGGCAAGGGTGTCTTGTAGCTTGTGGTCAAAAAAAAAAAAAAAAAGTCAAAGTGGAGGCCGGAATAGCGTGATCGAAGCCCCATCTGTGTGTGGTTTTTTTTTTTAATATTTGAAAATGTTTAAATATTATTTTTTTTTTTAAAAAAATGTTTTTTAAAAAATTAAAAATTGATTTTAAAAAACAGGCAGAAGTTTGATCGTGCGGTTCGGGAGGTCATTTTGACTTTTTTTTTTTTCTTTGAGCCGTAGATGCGCCTGAAAGCTGGAATTCTCCCCCCACCCCTAATTTCTCCAACGTTTGCAGGGAGAGCACGTGACAGTGTTCTTTGATCTTTCTTTTCTGGTGGTTTCCTTCCAAGCTCCCGATTTCACCCGTTTGGGTGAAAAGTTATTCGGAAATATTTTCGGATTTGGAAAACTTGTGCAAGGGCGCCTGTCTAAAGTTGTGTGCATGCGATGGACATTCTCCAAAATGCTTGCAAAATGGGTTTCTTTACCATGGCGGCTTGAAGATGGGTGGACTTTGACTCCCAGAATTCCCCTGCCAACATGGTAGGAGGAGGAGGGGGGGGGAATTCTGGGAGTTGAAGTCCACTCACCTTTGAGCTGTTTTATGTCATCCAGAGAACTGGTAGGGCAGGAATTCAGCCTGGAGAGATGTATTGGGGTAGGGGGGACCCCTATTTCTGCTCTGTCCCCTTCTGATGGGGGTAGGGTCCCTCCCCACCTCTTCCCCTCCAGCTTTTCTCCAAAATAATAATATTTTTGAAAGAAATTTTTATTTGGGCCTGGGGACGTGCATCGTGTATGTTGCACTAAGACTGCAGGACCACCCTCTCCATCATTCCCCATCTAGCAGTGGAGCAGATGGGATTGTTAGTCTCCCCCCCCCAATCTGTCTGGGGTGCTCAGAAAGACGAGGCTGTGGGGAAGGGACATCCACATTTAAGGGAAGGGGCTTCATCCTGCTTGAATGGGTGGCCCCAAATCTGAGCATATACAGCCGTAGATGGGATGCAGGGAAACATCTTTGTCCTACCAAGTCCTTCCTTGGCTGGGAATGCTGGCTCTTGTAGTCCTAATCTGTCTAACAGGTTGGGAACGGTGGCGGGGTATATTCTGAAGGCACTTAAATCCTCAAAACCAGCCCTGAAATGTTTAGTGGGTTGGTTTTTTTTTTTATCATGGCTTGTAATTTTTCATGTTGGAATCATTCCGAAAAAGAAAAAAAAAATCACTCATAAAAACCCAGGCATGGGGTGATGGCTATTATTTTCCTTCCCCTGCCCCAAGCCTGGTGGTGCTCAGAGGCTGATCTGTGTGAAAATAGCTCATTTTTTTTTATTTTCCTCTTTTTTCCCCCACCCTCCCACCCCCGTGCCTTCCGTAAGGGCTGTCACTTATAAAAGGAAGAACAAGGTACTTTTTCTGTAACTTAAAACTGCAGCTGGTTAACTTGAATAAGCTGGTCTGTTTCGGGGTTTAAAATAAAATTAAGGGTGTTCTTTTTTTTTTTTTTCCTTCCATTCCCCTGAATTAAAAATGAAGGGTGTGTTTATTGGATGCTAAGCTGCACATACAAAAATGTACTGTACATTTATTGCTGGAGTTTTCTTTAGAATCTTTTTTTTTTTTTTGGCTAGGGTGCGGGAAGGGTGGCGTTCACACGTCCCTCGTGGCTATGAGTGCCTGGGGTGGGAACCCCCTTTTACAAACAAGGGCTCACTGTTTCGGTTTTTTTTTTTAAAAAAATAAATAAATGATTTTCGAGTCTTCATGAAAATGACGTGTGTCTTTTTTTTGTAGAAGCCAGGAAATCGTTGAGATCTGTCAGTGACCGGTCTGCCATTCCCAAAATAATCTGTGCTAAATAGAGATAGTGCTGGATCTACAGTAGTTCGTTTAGTGACCGTTCAGAGTTACAACGGCACCGAAAAAAGAGCGTTTTTCACAGTCACGGCCTTTGCAGCGTCCCCGTGATCACGTGATTAAAATCGAGAGGCTTGGCAAGTGGCATGTACTTATGACTGTTGCTGTGTCCCAAGGTCATGTGATCCCCTTTTGCCACCTGACAATGGGGAAGCCAGATTCACTTAAAACCAGGTTATTATCTTATCAACTGCGGTGATTTGCTTTAACGACTGTGGCCAGCAAGTGTCTCCCTTAACCACAGAAATTGTGGGCTCAGTCGTCGTAATTCGAGGACTATCTGCATTGGCGATGCCAAAGGAAAAATCATTGTGATATCTCTGCTGGTCTTCTAGAACCAGCACCAGCTCACTGTAGAGAATTAGGTTTGGGCCTAATATGTATAATTAGACCCATGACTTAATCCTCCTCACCAGGGAGAAGAGAGCTGCATTTGTGGTTTGACCAAAAATGTTTTGTTCCTCTTTTTAATTCTGGCTTAAAACGCAGCTGTGATTGATGTCAGTCAATCGTGGGGCCTGCTGGCGTTAAAAAAAGTTTCGTTTCCTTTGTTCCCTCTGTTATTACTGGGAACAGCAACTCGCATCCTTTGACGCGGTCCTCGGGACTTCTCAGTTTTAGGGAAGAGGAACGGGGAAGCCATATTTATTTTATTTAATATTCAATCAATCGGAATAGAGCTGGAAGGGACCTTGGAGGTGTTCTAATCCAGCCCCCTGTTCAAGCAAGAGACATTATGCCAAGGGTAAGCCACCTTGGCTTTTTTATGACTCGTGGACTTCAACTCCCAGAATTCCTTAGTCAGCCATGCTGAGGGAAAAGGCAGAGGTTTCCATGCTGAGCCATGCTGGCTCAGGAATTGTGGGAGTTGAAGTGCACCAGTCATGAGGGGGCCATAGTTCCCCCATGCTGGCTCAGGAATTCTGGGGGTTGAAGTCCACGAGTCATAAAGCGGCTTAGGCCTAGACCAGGGGTAGGCCACCTTGGCTCTTTTATGACTTGTGGACTTCAACTCCCAGAATTCCTGAGCCAGCCATGCTGAGGGGAAAGGGAGAGTTTCCAAGCTGAACCATGCTGGCTCAGGAATTCTGGGAGTTGAAGTCCGTGAGTCATAAAGCGGCTTAGGCCTAGACCAGGGGTAGGCCACCTTGGCTCTTTTATGACTTGTGGACTTCAACTCCCAGAATTCCTGAGCCAGCCATGCTGAGGGGAAAGGGAGAGTTTCCAAGCTGAACCATGCTGGCTCAGGAATTCTGGGAGTTGAAGTCCGTGAGTCATAAAGCGGCTTAGGCCTAGACCAGGGGTAGGCCACCTTGGCTCTTTTATGACTTGTGGACTTCAACTCCCAGAATTCCTGAGCCAGCCATGCTGAGGGGAAAGGGAGAGTTTCCAAGCTGAACCATGCTGGCTCAGGAATTCTGGGAGTTGAAGTCCGCGAGTCATGAGGGAGGCAAGGTTGCCTACCCCTGCCCTATGCTATTTCAGACTAGTGGCTGTCCAGTCTCTTCTTAAAGACCTCCAGTGATGGAGCACCTACAACTTCTGGTGGCAAGCTGTTCCACTGGTTAATTGTCCTCACTTTTAGGAAGTTTCTCCTTAGTTCCAGGTTGCTTCTCTCCTTGATGATTTTTCATCCACAGTTTCTTGTCCTGCCTTCTGGTATTGCAGTAAACGAAACCGAATGTAGTTGTGGGGCAGTCCCACAGGCGAATTTCATTTTCTGTCCTTGCCTGATGCCCATGCTTGGCACACGGGCTTCCTAAATTGTTCCCCCATCATTTCGATTCTTCCAGTTGCGTGGGTTCAGTGTGCTTTGTGGTAGAAGTGAAACACTCAACCGTCTCTTGTGGGTGCGCACACACACACACACACACACACTTCCCTCAGATTAATCTGGAACACTCTGTCCCTTAAAGCAAGACCAAGGTAATTACCAGTTGGATTTTTTTTTTTTTTCAAAAAAAGTCATTTGAGTTGTTTTTTTTTTTTAAACTTATTAAACATTACAATTACAAAGAAAAACAAAGGAGAATATTTGTGGCTCGGGAAGAGGCAGGATGCTGGAGACATCGACCAGCCAGGAGCAAGACTCCATCTTTCACATCGATGTACACTGAGGTCTGGTGTGCTGTGAAGCCTCTTGCAATTTATCGCACCCAAGCAGTAGAGAATGCCTCCTGGGGAGGGTTCACAAGCTCAACCACTGACCCCAGGCCCATCTGGAGATCCGCTGCTTCTCGGAGGCGGTGCGAACAGGTTACGGCAACGCTGGCAAGGAGGAAGGGCATGTGAGCGACAAGCAGGAAGTGGTATTGTGTAGCATGTAGTGAAGCTGGATTGCAGTTCTGCCAAACCCCGAAGGAATGTTTGCTGCTGCTGGTCACAGGAAGTGATGAGGCAATGAATCACGCTACCCATGCTCCTGGTTGCTCCCTGGCTGGATTGGGACCGAATGATGCCAAACAGGTGATGTACGGTTGGCACCATGGCACAATGCTCATTGCCACACTCGGGCAGTAAGACTAACGTGTTGCAAGAATCTAGCTTCAGAAAACGGATTAGTGTGTCCTTTTGCAATGGGGCAACTCCCAAAATTCCTCAACGGGGTTGAGGTTTAAGTTCCACGCATCTGGGAAATGCTGGGCTTGGATTGGTTTAAAACTGGCTTAGCCCATGCTGTTGTTGTCCAAAGTTCACAAATTAGAATTCTATCTGAATCCAGCCAATCTCATTTCACCCCCAAAAATCCAATTCTGTGTTACTTTGAATGGCCTAAATATTAAGTGTTAGACATATAAGGAAGGAATGTAAGGTTGGTTTACGTGATCAAGGTTAAAATAGAGTTAGTTTTGACAACCCTTACTGTGCTTTTTGCTAAAACCAGGACTGAAATGATAATGCTTTATGGATTTGTTTGTAGATGAGAGGTGAGATATGGGAAGAAGAGATTGTTTGGTGCAATTTAAAAGAAGGTGACAATTACTAAAATGGCTTACCCTGATTGCGGTGAAGGTTAGAAGTTGTTTATTTTCTTTTTCTTTACCATATCTTTCCCTCCCTCCCTCCCCCCCCCCTCTCTCTCTCTCTCATTTTTACCATTGTAATTATAATAGTTAATGACATTATTGAAAAGAAACAGGGCACCCTCCCTGCTGCTTTTGAGAAAGTGGGGTAGAGGGCCAGGCAGGCTGGTTAGTTGGCCCCCCACCTATTGACATGGGACAGGTTGAAAGCTTGTCTCTTTCCCCCTCCCCTCCCCTCCCCCCCACATGCCTGGCTGGCTTTTAAAAAACATCCAAGCAGGTTAACTGCTATATGGTTAATGTTCCACCTTTCTTCAAACTGCTATTCACTTTGCTTTGTTGGCTAACCTTGCAACTTTCAGAAGGGGCTGCCAAGTGGAGGGGCGGGAGAGATTGGCCCATGGTAGAATGCTGAAACTGGGCAAAATGAAAAACTTCTCTTCCAGAGTTTTAACAGTCATTGCACCATGAAGGACATTTTCTGCAAACAGCGGCTGCCTTGCAAAGAAAGGGTGACACCGGCCCAGCCCCGGGCTTTTCTCTATTTATCTTGACGACTTCTCTGATGTTCTGGTCTTGCCAGTCCAACGTGAAAGTTTAGCTCAGTGTTCTCAACCTCGGCCACTTTTGGAATGTGTGGACTGCCAACTCCCAGAATTCCCCAGCCAGCATGTCAGTGAACTTGAAGAAGTGGAGACTTCAACTCCCAGAATTCCCCAGCTGGCTTGCCAATGAACTTTTAAGACCTGTGAACGTCAACTTCTCCAGCATTTAGGTTTAGAACGTTTAGGTCAGCGTTTCTCAGCCTTGGCCCCCTTCAAGGAATGTGGACTTTGGTTCCCAGAATTCCCTAGCCGGAATTGCATTAAGCATGTCAGATATTTCAATCACGTTCTGTTCTGCCTGCTTGGAAGCCCATGCAGATTAATGTGACTTGAGCTGAAATGCTAAGGCTTTGCTCATCGGCCTGGGGGTAGGAGGGGAATATCCAGGAAACATTTTGGGGTCTAAAAATGGGCAGTGGCTCTCGTAATACTTCCCAAAAGGTGAGGAAGGGAGAGAAATACAGACCCAGGATCCAATCTGAGTCGGTCACTGGGACCAAAAAGTTTTTTCTTTCAAGCTTGGAAGAATAAACCTTTTTTTTCCCAACAATCTTTTTTATTAATTTTTTCCCCATCAACATATGTTAATTTTTCCAATCACACAAGTTGTCTGGTGTTTGCTAAGCTAATACATGTTCACTTCCTAATCCTTCATTCTTTTCTCTAACCAAGAATAAACTTCCAAATTTTATAATAGTCTGTATCTTCTTTGTCTTTCAGCCTCATAGTTAGTCTGTCCATCTCTGCACATTCCAATATTTTCGTGATTATTTCTTCTTCTGAGATGGCAATCCTTCATTCTTCCAGTACTGTGCAAAAATTGGGAAGAATAAACCTTTAGTCCCGGTGACCGACTCGGATTGGATCCTGCAAGATTATCCTGGGATACGTCTATTTGCCTTCGTTCGCAAATACAGTTTGCTTTTCCAAATGTATTCCTTAACCAGCCCAGGATGCTGGGATTCTGAAGAAAATTCAGACAACCACCAAGATCTTCTGTTCCAGCTCTAGAAGAGAGGAGCAGGAACCCAGCACGTCCTAAATCCTGCGCTAGAGAAAAAAAGCAAGTGGAAAATTTGACGCAAAAGTCCTTCCAGTTATTGGATTCCCTCCCCGTTAAACCACGAGGCCAGCAGGATACGGCTTTTAACAGCCAACCAGCCCCAGCTGTCTGCAGCTTGGGGGGGGGGGGGAGGCTTTTTTAGCCAAGACCGAATTTTGAATCAGCTGCCAGGGGTGCAGCTGTTTTCCTGTTCCCACAGCTTCCCTCCAAAATCAGAGGACTTCCCTGCCCCAGATAATATTTTTTATTTTATTTTATTTTGCAGAGTCTGAACTTGCAGTCACCCATAAAAAGGAGAGTGTCAAGAGGATTGAAATGGAGAAAAGCCAGATTCTTTTGACTTCCTACTGCCTGGGTGTCCCTAAAGAAAATATGCATTTTCAGGTTAGGGACATAGAATAGTCGGGAGTACAGTCTAGTGCAGGGGTAGGCAACCTTGGCTCTTTTATGACTCGTGGACTTCAACTCCCAGAATTCCTGAGCCAGCATGGCTCAGCATGGCAACCTCTCCCTTTCCCCTCAGCATAGCTGGCTCAGGAATTCTGGGAATTGAAGTCCACGAGTCATAAAAGAGCCAAGGTTGACTACCCCTAGTCTAGTGCATGGTAAGTCCTCGACTTACAACAGTTCATTGAGTGACTTGTTTGACGTTACACCACCGCTGAAAAAAGTGACTCCACACTTCTGACCGTTGCAGCCTCCCAGGGTCACGTGATCAAAATTCAGACGCTTGGCAACTGGTTCATATTTACGACGGTCGCAGCGTCCCGGGGACAAAGTCAATGGGGAAGCCAGATTCACTTCACAACCTTGTTCTGAACTTCACAACTGCGGCGATTCGCTTAACGAAACGTTGCAGGAAAAGTCATCAAAACGGGGCAAAACTCCCTGAACAAATGTCTCACTTAGCAACGTAAAATCTCGGCTCAATTGCGGTCGCGAGGTGAGGGCTACCTATGCCCGCCTGCCTAAAACCGATACCCCTTCCAGCCATTGCTTCTTAAAGACGACTAGAACTGCGCGAATAATATTATTTATCTGCGCAAACCAGAGCATTAAAAAAAAGCAACAGCAGAAATTGGGACTTCGATTTGGATTGCTAAGTATTCTTGCCACCCAACTTTGACTCTAACTGGGTAATGCTTTAGGCCGCAGGGGTCCTCAACCTTGGCGACCTTAAGACTTGTGGACTTCAACTCCCAGAATTCTGGCTGAGGAATTTTGGGAGTTGAAGTCCACAAGTCTTAAATTTGCCAAGGTTGAGGATCCCTGCTGGGGGGGGGAGGAGGAAGGGAGGGATCAAAGTAATAAGCTCAGTTGAAGAGCAAGCTTGCTTCCTTTCTTTTGTTAAGCAAAGGTTTGACTATGCAAGCATCTCAGGTTATTAATTGCTGAGCAATCATAAATTCTGATCTGAGACGCAGGAATGTTGCTGACAGCTGTGGGTGCAAATGAAGACTTTGTCCTTCCCCCCCCCCCTCTTCCCTGCCTCATTAAGGAGCAAGGTCCTTTTTAATAGCCTTCACTGTGTTCCTTTCTGCTTTTCCACCCCACTAGCTGTTACAAATGGGCCTCCTTCCAAGTAGAGTAGATGGGAGAATAGGAATACAGGTAACGCTTGACTTAGCACGGCAACTGGGACCAGTTTCCGTTGCTAAGCAAGATGAATGTTGAGTGAGTTGCGCCTGATTTTATGACCTGATTTCGCAATGGTTGTAAGCAAAGCATTGCAGCTGTTAAGCAAATCACGTGGCCGTTAAGCGAATTTGGCTTCTCCAACTGCTTTTCGGAAGCTGGCTGGAAAGGTCGCACATGGGGATCATGTGAGGCCAGGAGGCAACAAAAACCATGAATACATGCTGGTTGTGGGCACCTTCATGGGGATGCTGTGACGGTTGTTAAGTACAAGGACCAGTTGTAAGTCACTTTTTCAGCGCCGTTGTAATTTTGAATAATCAGTAAACAAATGGTCGTTAAGTCTGGGACTATTTGTAGAGGCACAATTATAGGTAATAAATATGGTTTATTTGCAGTTTTGTGATTTCCTGGCTGTGTGTCTCGGTGGGCCAAAAGAAGTACTTTATTATGAACTTAAAGTTTCAATATTTTGCAGGCTCCATAAGTTTGGTGTCACGAGAAATGGGGAACCAATTTATAAAAAAAATCAATTTTGGGGGGCTTCCCACGGGCTTTCTAAGAAAGACTATAGGAAGCCCACTCAAATTCCCAAAATGTTCACAGTCTTCTTTTTATTTGACACAACTCTTTGCTGGGCCTTGATTGAGGGACCGTGAGACTTCGGAGTGACTCTTCCACAACATGCAACATGCAAACCAGCTTCTTGAGTTGCTTCCTTTCCCAGCCTCGGTCCAAAAGCTGGCATCGAGCCCAGCACATCCAACAGCAGCCCTAAGCCAGGGAAAGCTGTCGGGGAGCTGAAACAGGCCCTGGGGCACATCTCTCCCTGCTTGGATCTGTGGCAGCTGCTCCTGAACCTGTGAAGCAATTGAGAGGAAGCAGGGTTCCCACAACCTCTGGGCTAGCTTTGGGTTAACTGGCTGATTCTAGTGTGTTGCATTGACCCAGTTCACATGGCTAGATTAGGGTTAGTATGTTGCATGGACTCAATAAGACATCTCTTAGCCAGCATGCATGAACTCAATAAGCCATCTCTCAGCCAGCATGCATGAACTCAATAAGCCATCTCTTAGCCAGCATGCATGAACTCAATAAGCCATCTCTTAGCCAGCATGCTTTGCAGGCCTCTTCTTGGCCAAGGTTCAAGACAGCTCCCATGATGCTTTGCGGCCGAGATGTTCTTTGACCAATCCCCAGGCAGCGTTGGCTCAGAACCAGGCTTTTCCCATCAGCCTTTGCTTCTCCGCCGTCTCGACGTTAAAGGAGGGAGGGCGGGGCTTCTCTTGGTTAAGCGATCAAGACGACCGTTGGAAAATCCCCCCCCCGTTTCTTTTCTGGAACTGAAATCTTATTGGTTCACCAGAAGAAGAAGGGCAGGGTTGGGACTGAAGTCACGTCTACCAATTAAAATAAAGATCGAGGGTTGCCGGCCCAATGGGTTTCCAGAGAGCAGAATGATGGGCACAAAATCTGCCAATAAATTTTAACTCCTTGGAGCGAATGGGTATCCTTATAGGGCCCAATCAGGGCGCCCGTTTGAGATTTGGCGCAATCCGGTTTCGAACGGCTGAGATTGACCCTTCCTTGAGCCAATGGGATTTCAGGGTCAAACCGTGGCTTTTCAGGGGACCCGACGGTTTTATGAAGAAGAAGGAGGGAAGTTCACGAGGAGCAATGTGGTGGGGCGGGATGCCGCGCCGAGAGACGTCGCCTTGATCCAATGAGTTTGTAGGAAGAGGGGACGGATGTTCCTGCTGGCCAACGGAAAAGGCCAGGACCTTTGATAAACGGATGCAAGAACGAATCATATCGGCAGGCGGGAGACGGTCGACCCTATGGCGGCGGAGGGCGGGACAAGGGTAGGTAAGGCACCGCCTCAACCCAATGAGAGCCCCGACAGCCGTGAGCGACGGCGGGCCAGCCCAATAGAGGCGGGCCTCAGGTGGGAGCGAGGGTGGGCTGGGGTAGTGTGGGCGCCATGTCGCGGCGGAGGTGGCGAGGTTCGCAGAGCGGCGAAGGTGGCGGCGGCTCGGGACGCGGAGGGGACATGGTGAAGATGGCTGGCGGAGGAGGAGGAGGCGGCGGCGGCTCCGGCCGTTACTACGGGGGCGGCCCTGAAGGCGGGCGCGCCCCGAAGCGCCAGAAAACGGAGAACGCGGACCACGGGCCGGGGGGAGCGGCCGGTGGCGGGGTGAGGAAGGAAGGCCTTTAAAGCGCCGGACTACAACTCCCATCATCCCTCACAACGAGCGGAGGGGGGGAAGGTTTGCAGCTCCAGGAGGTGCGTGGCGGCTTGGAAAGATGGGAGTTGTAGTCCTGCCGCGTGGGGGCGGCGAGGGGGGCCGGCGTGGAGCCTCCAGGGGCAGGCGCAGTCTACCGTCAGCATCCCGCCTCCTTTGCCCGCCTGGGTGGGAGGGGCGAGAGGAGAGACGCCCCCCTCCCTCCCTCCTTCCATCCCAAGCAGGCCTTTGAGCGCTGAAAAGTCGGGCCTTTAAAAGGGGGGGGGGAAAGGTTGGTAAGTAGAGCTTCCCTTGACGGGAGCAGTCTACCCTCCTAGCAGGGAGGCGGACTGCCTGCTTAGCTGAGGCCTCGCTGGGATGCCTTGACACCGCTATGGTCCCTTGACGACCTGGGGGACTACAATTCCCAGACTTCCTGAGCCAGCCAGTCATCAAAACGGGGCAAAACTCCCTGAACAAATGTCTTCTCACTTAGCAACGTAAAATCTCGGCTCAGTTGTGGTCGCGAGGTGAGGGCTACCGATGCCCGCCTGCCTAAATCCGATACCCCTTCCAGCCATTGCTTCTTGAAGACGACTAGAACTGCGCAAATAATATTATTTATCTGCGCAAACCAGAGCATTAAAAAAAAAAGCAACAGCAGAAATTGGGACTTCGATTTGGATTGCTAAGTATTCTTGCCATCCAACTTTGACTCTAACTGGGTAATGCTTTAGGGCAGTGTTTCCCAAACTTGACAATTTTAAGGCATGAGGACTTCAACTCCCAGAATTCCGTTGCTGGCTGTGGAATTCTGGGAGTTGAAGTCCACATGCCTTAAAATTGTCAAGTTTGGGAAACACTGCTTTAGGGCAGGGGTCCTCAACCCTGGTGACTTTAAGACTTGTGGACTTCAACTCCCAGAATTCCTTAGCTTTGCTGGCTCAGGAACTCTGGGAATTGTAGTCCCCCAGGTCGTCAAGGGACCATAGCGGCCCATCCCTGCCTTAACATGACAGCTTTGAGCAGCCCTTTGAAAGAGGGACAGACTTGGGTTCGCCCCGGGTTCAAGTCAGGATGGGAAAGCCCTTAAGGAAGGCTTGGCCTTGACTAGCACAGCCTTATGGATCCACCAAAGGCGGCTTAGACCCCGGGCAAACCATCGCTTTCGCAATTCCACCGCTGCAAATGTGAATTAAAAGGCGGGTGTCCTTGTGAGCAAAGCTCTTTAGATTGGGAAAGAGTGGCTTGTGTGCCTGCTTAATTAGGATTTATTGCATGCTGGTTCTGCTGCTCAGCCAGGGCCTAGTGTGGAAGGAAGGTGGTGATCGGGACCAGGGTAGCTCATCCTGCAGCGTCCAATTGCATCCACTGTGCAGGTTCTGCAGGCAAAGTAATTTCATCCTGTTTTAAGACTCGGGACGTGTGGCTGGAGGCTTTTTCCTTTTGTAGAGAGAAAGTCACGCTTAACTGCCTTGGGAGTGTTTTCAGTTTGGGTGTGTGCATTTTGCAGAGGTTTTTCTAGCCATTGGCTGGGCAGGGTGGTTAACTGTGAAGTATGAGTGGCTTTGGATAATGAGATGGGCTTCGTATAAATTGTAAAACACGTTAAGCATGTAAAACAGTTAACCAGTGGAACAACCTGCCTCCAGAAGCGGTGGATGCTCCAACACTGGAAGTTTTTAAGAAGAGACTGGACAGCCATTTGTCTGAAATGGTATAGGGTTTCCTGCCTGAGCAGGGGGTTGGACTAGATGACCTCCAAGATCCCTTCCAACTTTATTATTATTAAATTTAATAAATTACTGCATTTAACTGTCGGTCCCAGAACATGTAGACGGTGGGTTTAAATTTACTAGAATGGCCAAAGGGTATGTGGGATATATTTCTCTCTTAAACAGGAAGCATTTGCATTTTTGTATACCTCGCACACCTTAACAAAAGTTTGAAACGATGGCAACAAATTATGCATATACGCTATAATTTTGAAAGCCCAACTTTTCGCACCCCCTGGAATATTGTCTCGCACCCCTAGTTGGGAACCCCTGGCCTAGAGCAGGGAAGGGGCTTTGAGCGTGAATTGGCCAAAGAAATGTAACTGTTGCTCTTTTAACGTAAGCTGGGACCAGAGGAGGTGTGCTGGATCCCGCCAACAGCCTTTTCTGTTGCTTCCCATCAATATATAAAGTAGCTGTAATCAAGAATGATTTTTCTTCCTGGTTAATTTTCTCAGTCCCACTTAAAAAAAAAAAAACAATAACTTAACTATCTCTGATGACAGGGAATTCCATTTGAACTGCTACGTTTTCCTCTGCCTAAGGAATCCTTTTGAGCTACATAGCATTGCTTCAGCTGTTCCAAGATGCCCTCTCCCAGAAACGCTTCTTTGTGCGAGAGTCGCCTCTTCCTTGTGCGCTAGAATTTTACAAGTGTTCAATGACCTCATCTTCTCTCGCAGGAGAACTATGATGATCCTCACAAGCCAGCTGCATCTCCTGTGGTCCACATCAGGGGTCTGATTGATGGCGTGGTGGAAGCTGATCTGGTGGAGGCCTTGCAAGAATTTGGCCCAATCAGGTGAGGGACGGGCTGCCAGAACACCCAGGGGGATAGCTTGACAGATGGCGCATGTTCAGTGACCGAGAGTCCTTCTCTCTCTCTCTCTCTCTCTCTCTCTCTCTCTCTCTCTCCTCTCTCTCTCCCTCTCCCTCTCCCTCCCTCCCTCCTTCCTTCCCTCCTTCCCTCCCCAGCTATGTGGTGGTGATGCCCAAAAAGAGACAGGCTCTAGTAGAGTTTGAGGACATACTCGGAGCGTGCAATGCTGTGAATTACGCAGCGGACAATCAGATCTACATTGCTGGGCATCCGGCCTTTGTCAACTATTCTACCAGCCAGAAGATCTCACGGCCCGGTGACTCGGATGATTCTCGAGGAGTAAACAACGTCTTGCTCTTCACCATTCTGAACCCCATCTACTCCATTACCACGGTGCGTTATGAGGCTGCTTTTTGTGGGGGACCCCCCAATCTAGGACGTGTGGCAGTCCTGGCTTTCGTGGGGCCTCCAAGCCTGCTTTGGACCCAGTCAGGGAGAGCAGACTGAGGGTTAAGTTGATGTCTGGATGGTTTGTGGGCCCGTCTCCTTGTTTCAACAAATGGAGTCTTGACGTCTCTGGTAGGCAGAGATCTTGTGAGATCTTGTTGACTTTTATGGTCTTTCTCTTGCAGGATGTCCTGTATACCATTTGCAATCCGTGTGGTCCAGTTCAGCGCATCGTTATCTTTAGAAAAAATGGGGTCCAAGCTATGGTGGAATATCCTTTCTTTTCTTTTTTGATAGCTGAGGTGAAGCAGAACTGTCTTTCAAGTGGGCTGGAGGAGATGCAGCACTTTTCTGGCTAGTGTCAACCGTCCCGTTGGCCCATGCAGCAAAAGAAAAACTCCTGGGACATGGTTTACCAAGAGTTTAACTTTACTGATAGGTCCATACAGGCACAGAAGAAGCGAAGCTACCTCTGAGGTTTTTGCGCGAAAAACAGCACAATTAACTTCCCCTTCCTTTTCCCCATTTGGGCCACCCTTTGTCCGTTGTCTGCCAGTCCAGTGTGTTCGTTTTGTTTTGGGAAAACACACGGCGCCTTCGGAAGGTCCCTGTCGAGTGGCCTTGGCGTCTCCCCCGGACTGTCTCAGGCTGCAAAGCGCTGTCATAAATTCCTCCCTCCAAGCTCCCAATACATTCCCAGCATTCCCCCTCCCGTTGTCAATCTGTGGGCAGAGGTGCGTTACAGTCAACCTTGACAGCCAGAACGCTGCTGGGTAAACAAGAAAGGCTAGCAGCTTAAAAGAAAGTTGACGAGGGAGCATCCAGTTAAGATTTCCTTAATTCTGCACACATTTGACTCTGTGCAAAGCGCTCAGAGAGCAAAAGCTTCTTTGAACGGGGCCGACATTTACTCCGGCTGCTGTACTCTGAAGATTGAATACGCCAAGGTGAGCGGCGGGGGGAGGGTGGCACAAGAGGGGACTGGCTCCTGTGTTGCCCAGGAGAGTCTGCAGCACCTCGGCCCCAAATCCGCCAGGACTTGTTTTCTGAATCGGATGGCATTTGCTAACCTTCCAAAATGGTGCAGTTGTGATTGTGACTTTGCAATAAAATATCTGGCGAGTAGGGAAAGGCAACGAAAGTTGAAAAATTGGGGAAACCGGCCTGGTGTTTCTTGTCTGTCGCAGAATGGCAGGAATTCCTACCCAGTTTTGTAAAATGCAGGTAGTCCTCAAACCTACGGGCATAGTTAAGCCGGCCAATTAACGCTTGTAAGTCTTGATAGTTGTCAAGTGGCTCGTTCTGTGACTAACCCGATTTTCGGATCTTTAATGCAGCAGTCCTTAACAAATTCAGGGGCTGATTTTTGCGGGAAACCAGGAGGGAAAGCTTTCTGGCCAAAATGTGAATTACGGCCACAGAATTATGGCTGTAAACGCAGGCCGGGTTGTCGGGGGTCCAAAATGCACACGGGACTATGGGGCAGGGGCGGCGGTTGGAACCTGGGAATCAGATTGTAAGTAGCTTTTGGGGACTCCATCAGGACTTTGAAGGGTCACTAAGCAGCCAGTCATAAGTCGAGGATTACCTCTAGGTTAAAGTAACACCTGCAGTGGCTGGCAGGAACAAGGACTCTTAACCTGGCCCTTGGCAGCCAGATGTTTGACGTTAAATTTCACCTCTCCCCTCCCCCCCCCCCATAATAGGAAAAATCTATAGGTCCGGCATTCTTAATAGGAAGCCGGTCAAGACCGAGCATGTAGCAAACATTACATCTGTTTTTATAACAAACAGTTGTGCTAATTGTCACATATTACAGGCTAAAGTGGAATAGATAGATACTTAATGGCTATAAGCCAGTTAGGTCACTGTTTTGTGACAGCTCAGCGGCCAGTGTGATCACTTGGTGGCTCCCTTTCTCGAGCTCCCTCTCTTGAATCCCCCTGGGTTAGTTTTGAACATTTGTGCTTCGTTGTTTTTTTTTTTAGCCCACGCGCTTGAACGTCTTCAAGAATGACCAGGACACCTGGGATTACACCAACCCGAACCTCAGCGGGCAAGGTAACCTTGATAGCCTGCTCTCAAGCTACACACGAGACCCTTCCTTGTCCTCTTGAAGAGCACACTTCCTCCAGATGAATTGTGTGATGTAATGCCATTTGCCTGCTGTCCAACACGGGGCCCAATTTGGGAAGCCTGGAGGGGAGGCTTTAGCCCCAGGAGGCTTCTCCAGACGCAGTGGGGAGGGCGGGGGGCGTGAGGGTGTGTATGTGCCAAGAATAGCCACAAGGAAATTGGGGCGGCTTTGTCTCCCTGATTGCGTCTGGCCAGGTATCCTTCCCCCTTGGTGTTGCGTCTCCGTGTGTGGATTGCAGCTACTAGGAAGAGGGCGATGTAGTAACACAGGAGTCTAAAAGCAGGCTGGGCTCAGATTTCCTTTACGCTCTGGGGCATCCCAGAATGGACGCTAGGGAGCTTTTAACTCCTGGAGGGTCCGGAAATGGCTGTCCCCCTCTGTTTGAAAGTCTCGGGCCGCACCCAGCCTTTGGCCCTGCTGCTGGCCTAGCCACCTCCTTTGTGGATCTGGGGGCATATATTGCATTTCTGCCATTCCACGGGTGGAGGGCGGGCAGAGGGGAAAAACACTTCTCTTGTGTTCAAGGAAACCTGCATGCAGACTCTGGGACTTGGGAGGGTGGCGTACGCTTTGGGGGCTGAAGGGGTCTCCAGTGCCATTTCCTTGAGAGGGACTGAGAGGAGGAGGAGGGGGTCACCATCTGCGTCAGCTCAGTCTAAAGCAGTGTTTCTCGACCTTGACCATTTTAAGGCATGTGGACTTCAACTTCCAGAATTCCACAGCCAGCAATGCTGGCTGTGGAATTCTGGGAGTTGAAGTCCACATGCCTTAAAATGGTCAAGGTTGAAAAACATTGGTCTAAAGCTAGTGGGAAGCCCTGCCTTGGCCTTGCTGCACACGGGCAGAAAGCAGCGTGTTCCCTCTGTGAGGTGGGCAGCGTTGGTTGGCTCCACGGACCAAACAAGCCTGGGGAGGCTGTTGGATGGCGGGGTTGGGCAGGGGGTGGGGGCTCTGGCAGAGGTCACCTTTGACCCCGCCCTCCCGGTGAAGCAAGCAATGGCATTACATGACTTGACATGAACATGACTCACTTTCTCCTCCAAGGTACATACTGAGGCGCTGTGCAGATGGGCAGTGGCTTAAGTTGGCAGGGCTGGGCAGTTCAGAAGCTGCCTCCCGCCTCTCTGCCCTCCCTCAGGCTGGGCACCAAGGAGGTGTGATATATCTGGCCTTTCCCCAGCTCTGAACAGATTTCCCACATGGCCCTGGGGGACCCGTGCGCAGCTGCCGTGGAAGTTCTGAATTGTCTGTGATCTGCCTTCTGCTAGACACTCTCTAACACTACACAGTGTAGGAAAAAAAAAAGCAAACTCAACCTTGCACTAGCTCTGCCTGGAGAAAACATGCAGCATCTTAAGTGTACCTGAAAGGCAACAGATTTGAGTTCATTTCCTCACATCAAGGACACAACACCGCGATCTGAGAGACATCTACAAGCACAGAGGGAGACAGAGAAAAAAGAGAGAGAGAGAGACAGAGAGAGAGAGAGACTGACTCACCAGGCCACGACATGCTTACAAAACAAAACAAAAAGTCAAAAACAAAAACTTTGAACCCAAGAAGGGAAACACAGAAACTAGGAAAACACCCAGAGGGGTCTCAGACAAAGTGCACCAACGGTCTTAAACGGAGAACGGAGTAGATCCCCGAGACCCTTCAAGATATAAGATGCTCTCCATATCAACTTGGTTTGGTTTGGGAGGGCCTTTTAATCACTCTTTTCTTGCAGTCCTCGGCTGCCGACATTTGATCAGCGCCAAGTGGAGACAGACAAAAAAAACCAAAACCCCAAACAGACACCAAGTCCCCGGGAGCCCCCAGTTCCCTAGAGACTGGGGGGGTCTCGTCCGCTTCAGGGGCACTTGAGATCCAAGGCACACTCCATTAACAGAGGAGAGACACGCACACGGGAGACCTACACAGCCAGAAGCACCAAAACCTGATTTAACAGCACATGACAAAAAAACAAAAAAACATCAGGAGATGCAACATGGAAGGAACACTCACTACACCTTGGTTATGTCCTTTTTTTTTTCCTTGATACCATCTGAAGACAAAACAAACAAAAACAAAACAAAACATCTGTGAGCCCTTTTTCATTTAATTTTTTTTTTTTTTAAATTTAATTGTGTCAGTTTTGGTGCCTTTTGACGTGAATTTGACTCTGGAACCATGTAACGCAGGGTCGCAGTGTATGTTTGATGGGACGCCATCTTTCAGAACTGTGCTTACACTGTTGAAGCGTCCAATGGTAAGAGAAATGCAGAATATATATGTGACAAGGGACATTGTACTTTAAACTCCTGCTGTAAGTAGCCTTTTTCAATCTTTGTAATGACTATTGAAATAAACTGCGAAACTCTTACTTTTTTTAAAAAAACAAAAACCAAAACGAGAATTGTATGACTTGCTTAAAATTCTTCTGTCTTGTATTTCGATTTGTGTTTAAACTGGACAATTGCTACTTTTGCTTTGCTTTGCCGTCTTCTTCTTGGTCTTGTTTTAATCCTTTTAGCTCTGCTAGAGGTGGGGAGTGGGCTGGCAAAAAGAGTTTTGTTTCATCTTCCCCCCCCCCCTGCTGTCCTAATGTTCGAATTGGTGGTGAAATTAGCTTCTGTTGATCCTTTTTGCTTTTTTTATTATTATTTTTAAAAAATCCTCCCCTGCCACAAGGTTAAATTTTCAGGAGAAAAGTGAACAGACTTTAAGAGAACCTTTGTCAGGCCAGCTAGATTGTTGAGACTTAACGCTTTGGCGTCCCAACAGAGCCCTAGTTCATCGGCTGCTTAAATAAAAGCCCGGAAGACACATCGGAGCTTTTATGTTCGAGGTAGCCTCAGGATCTGTCCCAAATGGCCCCTTCCAGCCTCCTCTTAACCGTAGAAGGGACAGCCAGGGTGGATTGGGGGGGGGAGACGGTTGTGCAGGTGCCCCTGAAAAGCAGGTGCCATTTTTAACACCCTCCCCAGCCCCCAGGTGGAAAAGAGACCTATTCTGAGGAAACTGGAAGTTGTAATATGGAGAATGCCGCAGGCCGGCCTGGTGGCCTCACCCAAGGTCTGCCCCAGAAATCGAGCCGACTGAACGGTTTGGAGATGTTTCTAATGTTCCTCTCCTTTCGACAGGGGAGCCGGGCGGGAATCCGAACAAGCGCCAGAGGCAGCCTCCTCTCCTTGGAGACCACCCTGCTGAATACGGTGAGGCTTGGTCCGTGGGACGGGCAGCGTCCCTGGCCCTCCTCCAACTTGGCCCCGGCGTTGGCTGACCTTTGCTTCCTCCTCCAGGAGGGCCTCACGGGGGCTACCACAGCCACTACCACGACGAAGGCTACGGCCCTCCTCCTCCTCATTACGAAGGGAGGCGGATGGGTCCGCCCGTGGGAGGCCGTCACCGAGGACCCAGCCGCTACGGGCCTCAGTACGGGCACCCCCCGCCACCGCCGCCCCCTCCGGAGTACGGCCCCCACGCCGACAGCCCCGTGTTGATGGTCTACGGCCTGGACCAGTCTAAGATGAACTGCGACCGTGTTTTCAACGTCTTCTGCCTCTACGGAAACGTGGAGAAGGTGAGCTGCCGAGGGAGAGGGCGGATCCGGGGTGGCAGGGCTTCCGGTGGGCCGGAACGGCCTAGTGGGGGCTAGGTTTGGCCTCTATAGGATTCCGGCCTCGAGCCCCTTCCTGCTAGCAGTCAGATCCCCCCCCCATAGTTTTTGCTTCCTTCGGAGGTCTTCGGGCACAGTGCTGTTGAGATCCTCCTGTCCGTGGCTCGGAAAACCCAAGTACAATCTCTGTATACCAGGGGTAGGCCACCTTGGCTCTTTTGTGACTCGTGGACTTCAACTCCCAGAATTCCTGAGCCAGCCGTGCTGAGGGGAAAGGGAGAGTTTCCCAGCTGAGCCATGCTGGCTGAGGAATTCTGGGAGTTGAAGTCCACCAGTCATAAAAGGGCCAAGTTTGAAGACCCCTACCCTAGGCCTAGAGTCTAGAGCAGGGGTAGGCAACCTTGGCTCTTTTATGACTCGTGGACGCCAACTCCCAGAATTCCTGAGCCAGCCATGCTGAGGGGAAAGGGAGAGGTTTCCAGGCTGATCCATGCTGGCTCAGGAATTCTGAGAGTTGAAGTCCACTAGTCACAAAAGAGCCAAAGTTGCCTAGCCCTGGCCTAGGCCTGTATTTCTCAACCATGGCCACTTGGAGATGGGTGGACTTCAACTCCCAGAATTCCTGAGCCAGCATGGCTCAGCTTGGAAACCTCTCCCTTTCCCCTCAGCTTGGCTGGCTGAGGAATTCTGGGAGTTGAAGTCCACTGGTCATAAAAGAGCCCAGCTTGCCCACCCCTGCTCTATACCTACCTGCTCGCTTTGTCTTGAGCCGCGTCCCGATTGGCCAGTTGCCCATCCTGAAACCAGGTGTAAGATTTGGGCCTGACGACGTTGGAGGTGGAGAGGCTTCCTTCCACCTGGTCACAAGAGCTGCTCCCTGGGCGACAAGGGTGAACAGCCTCCCTCCCGAGGGAAGGCGTAGAATTCAGTCAAAGTCAGGGAACCTTCTGCACTCCGGCGATGGCTCCTTCCAGCCCGTGGGAATGGCAGGGAGGGCGGGAGAGTTTGAGCCCTCAGGCTGCAGAGAGTCTGGAGCCTTCACTGCTTTGGAAACAGGTTTGAGTTAAAAACGGCAAGCAGCCTGGTGCTACACCGGTAAAGCTTGTGTGGGCTTTGAGTACCAGCTGGGAAAGGCAAGCCGGCCTTGAGACTATTGCCTGAAGGCTACAGGTAATCCTCGAATTAGGACCACAAAATGGAGCCCAACATTTTAGTTGCTAAGCAAGACCAGCGTTAAATGGGTTTTGCCCCATTTTACGACCTTTCCCGCTATAGTTGTGAGATGAACCACTGCAGTGTCGAGTTAGTAGCGCCGTTGTAAAGCGAATCTAGCTTCCCTATTGACTTTGCTTGTCAAAAGGTCGTAAAAAGGGGATCGCGTGATCCCGAGAACACTGCAACTGTCGTAAATACGAGTTCAGTTGCCAAGCCTCTGAATTTCGATCGCCCGACAGCAGGGATGGTTGCAAGGGACGTGTGAACAACGCAGCGCTGTTGTGACTTCAAACCAAGGGATGGTTATAAGTTGAGTGTGATTGGGAGGGTGTACACGGGGAAGCCATTTTGAATGCAGAGGCTGGTTGAGGTTTGGATCTACTGTTTAGGAAACAATTCCTATTAAAATGGAGACAGGTTTGTACCCGTGCTGGCTGGGTGGGTGGCTGCCTTGGAGAACACTCTGCTTTTGTCCTCTCTCGCACTTTGAACCAAGAAATGCTTTTTTTTTTAGGTGAAGTTCATGAAAAGCAAGCCTGGGGCAGCCATGGTGGAGATGGCAGACGGCTACGCGGTGGACCGAGCCATCACCCACCTCAACAACAACTTCATGTTTGACCAGAAGCTGAATGTGTGGTGAGTTTCGCCTGCTTTGTTCCCGAGACCTCCTTTGAGGAATCTGGGTCAAAATCAAGAGGGCAGAACATGAACAGCCGAGGTGGCGCAGCAGTTAGGGTGCAGTACTGCAGGCCACTTTAGCTGACTGTGTTCAGCAGGTCAGCGGTTCAAATCTCACCGGCTGAAGGTTGACTCAGCCTTCCATCCTTCCGGGGTAGGTAAAATGAGGACCCAGATTGTTGGGGGCAATGTAAACACACACACACACACACTCTGCTTACTGGTGTACACCGCTTAGAGAGTGCACGCACTTAAAGCGGTATATCAGTCTCATAAAATAAATAAATAAACAGCCTGTCTTGGTTTGTCCGCAGCGTGTCAAAGCAACAGGCCATCATGCCTGGCCAGTCCTACGGTCTTGAGGACGGTTCCTGCAGCTACAAAGATTTCAGCGGCTCCCGGAACAATCGGTTCTCCACCCCGGAGCAAGCCGCCAAGAACCGTATCCAGCATCCCAGCAACGTGCTCCATTTCTTCAACGCACCTCTGGAAGTGACGGAAGATAACTTCTACGAGGTAAAGGTTTTGACCGGGGGCAGCTTCGGCCACCTTGGCCACAACGGGGGGAACTAAGGCAGCCGTTGGTTTATTGATTGATACTTTGTGTTTCTTACCCACCCACCTTCCCTTAGAGAGTTTAGGAAGAATCAAAACTTGCTGCCTTTAGTGTGTGACAGGATGACGACTTTAATGGATCTGGACAGCATCTGACTCCCAAACGTAGCTTATATTCCCAAAGGCAGGAAGCAGTAATCCTAAAGGGGAAAAAAGGGGCTTGATATGATACTAGCAGAGCCTAGACCAGGGGTAGGCAACCTTGGCTCTTTTATGACTTGTGGACTTCAACTCCCAGAATTCCTGAGCCAGCCATGCTGAGGGGAAAGGGAGATGTTTCCATGCTGAGCTATGCTGGCTCAGGAATTCTGGGAGTTGAAGTCCATGAGTCATAAAAGAGCCGAGGTTGTCTACCCCTGGCCTAGAAGTAGCAACTGCAATGGACCCAGTTCGGCCCCCTTGCTGGTTCATCTCGGTGGCAACTCCGTTAGGTTCTGAGCCTGGATGTGAGCTTGGTCTTTATTTGGCCTCACAAGAGGAGAACGGATTAATGCTCATTTTTTGACAGAAGCAATAGCAAGAAGAGGCTGTGAAGTGGTTCTAAAAAACATTTGACCCAAAACAATAGTGACTTGTTCAGTAGTTGTTCAGCCCAAACATTTAAATGAGCTGTTTTTTGCTGTAAGACAGCGGTTCTCAACCTGTGGGTCAGGACCTCACTTGGGGTCAAACGACCATTTCACGGGGGTCGCCAAACAACGCAGTCCACCATTTTTTTCCCCTTAGCTGCACTACTCCCTTTGATTCTATTGGCTTCTGAAAGCCAACAGAATAGACTCTCTTGAATAGAGTCTACTTCTATTGGCTTTCAAAGGCCAATAGGAATGGTCCAGGCTGTCTCTGCCCTGCTGAGCCCGCCAAAAGTCCCATTCTGCAAACGGTGCTGCACCAGTTGAGTAGTCCTCGACTTACGACCGGTGGGGGTTGCGGCATTAAAAAGGTTGAGAACCACTACTGTAAGATGATGTTTAAAAGCCTCTTTTCTTTGGGCTCCTACCAATACATGTTCAACACAGCACAGAAAAATAGGTAAAACGCAGTTCTACGATGGCTGAAACCTGCAAGCGCCCCTGGGAATAGGACTTCAGCGAAGAGGAGATTCCTAAAATATACATTGGTGCGATCGGGGTAGTGGCTTAATGCTCCTGTTACATACGTGGCATTTTTCCCCCCCTCCTCAGATTTGCGATGAGCTGGGCGTAAAGAGACCGGCTTCTGTCAAGGTGTTTTCAGGAAAGAGTAAGTATCCCTGCGCAGAGACTGGCCTTGGGAACGCCGCTGCTTGGGAAGAAGGGAGCGAGGGCCACGCTGTTGTAGGACAACAGAGTGGGTCTGGGCGATGGGACCTGTAGTCCAGCCCTCAAGCGTTTGCCCGCCTCTGTTTCAGAGGAGGTGGGCCTGCAGCAGCTTAACCCACCCCTCGCTTGAAACGCCCGCAGGTGAACGGAGCTCGTCGGGACTGCTGGAGTGGGAAACCAAAGGGGACGCGCTGGAGACGCTGGCTTTCCTCAACCATTATCAGATGAAAAACCCAAGTGAGACCCTCTTGCGTTTGTTTTAGATGCTGAAGTGTGGGGGGGGGGGGGCTTGATTCCCTAATAGGATTTGGGAATCTCCCTGCTCTTTTTCCCTCCCCCTGTTCAATTCTGCTGCCGGTAGGAAAGGAAAGCCAGTAGGTCTTCAAACACCAACAGACTGGAGACCTGGCCAAATTAATCGGCTGGAAGGTGGGGGGAAAAAAAGCAGCCGCTGGCCCATTCTGAACTGTGCTTCAGTGTTTAGAACAGAAATGTCTGACCTGGGTAACGTTAAGACCTGTGGACTTCCTCTCCCAAGTCCACTCAACAACGGTGTTACTAACTTTAACCCTTGCCGTGGTTCACTTAAGAATTGTGCGCAAAAATGGTTGTAAAACGGAGCAAAACTCAGTTGTCTGGCTTAGCCACCGAAATTTGCGGGGTCAGTTGTGGTCATAAGATGAGGACTACCTGCAGTCACTAGGTGCAAATAATCTCTCAAGTGTTTTTTGCTGAAATCTGATTCCAGTAAGAGGTTTATTTGTTTAGACACATTTTCTTGACTTCAGCCCAAAATGGATCACAATGGGAGATGTTGGGAATGCTTGAGAAATGTCTGTGTATTGGGGGGGGTCCTCCCTCTCTCTCTCTCTCTCTCTCTCTCTCTCTCTCTCTCTCTCTCTCTCTCTCATCTTCCAGTTTCTTTTACTCTTTCCAACACTTTACTTGCCTCAACCCTGCCCCTTCCTTGCCTCTTCTCCTCTGCCCCTCCCTGCCCCCCCTCTTTCTCTTCCCCATGCCTTTCCCCCCCTTCCTCCTCCGTCCTCTTCTCTCTCTTTCCTTCCTTCCTTCCTTCCCTCCCTCCCTCCCTCCTTCCTTCCTTCTCTCTATCTCTGTTTCTTCCTTTTCTTCTTTTCTATCTGTCTCTTTCTTTCTTTCTTTTTCTATCTGTCTCTTCCTTTTCTTTTCTTTCTTTCTCTATCTCTGTCTCTCCTGCCTTTTCTTTCTTTTTCTTTCTTTCCTTCTCTTTTCTTTTTGTTCTCTCTATCACTGTCTCTCCTTCCTTTTCTTTCTTTCCTTCCTTTCTATCTCTTTTTTTTATCTCTATCCTTCCTTTTCTTTCTTTCTTTCTTTCTTTCTTTCTTTCTTTCTTTCTTTCTTTCTTTCTTTCTTTCTTTCTTCCTTCCTTCCTTCCTTCCTTCCTTCCTTCCTTCCTTCCTTTCTTCTTTCTGCGGCTGTTGATGATGACACTGTTTTTATTTTCGAGTAAATAAAATTTGAGGGGGCTCATGAATTATGTCTGGCTTTCTCCTAGATGGGCCATACCCCTACACACTCAAACTCTGCTTCTCAACCGCCCAGCACGCTTCCTAATTGCTCTTCGGTTCCCGACCAAGAAGACTGCTCCGTTATCTTTCTTGTGTGTGGATTTTTTTTTTTTTTTTGGGCAAAGCTCCCGTGTCCCCCTCCTTTTTTTTTTTTTAAACAATAAAAAAAAGCTTAATTAGAGGCTGCCTGCAGCTAGGTCAGCTGGGAAGAGAAGCCCCGTGGCATTCTGATGACATCGAATTTTAAAACGATCATACATGTTGACATGTTTTTTGCCCCCCATTCATACAATGTGTGCTGCCTGTGCTAGTTGGCACATTTAATAAAGCTGTTTGGAAAATAAATTGTTGTAAAAACTGATCTGGTAATGCCGCCTCTGGAAGTTTTTGTAGAAGGGGGCAGGCAGGTATGTCCAGTGTGTCATTTTTTATTTATTTATTTATTTTTTTAACGGAATTAAGTTGGTCTGTGTCGGGTAGGCAACCTTGGCTCTTTTATACTGGTGGATTTCAACTCCCAGATTTCCTGAGCCAGCCATTTTGGCTCAGGAATTCTGGGAGTTGAAGTCCACGAGTCATAAAAGAGCCAAGGTTGCCTACCCCTGGTCTGGATGTCTCTTAACCTTGTTTCCATGGAAGACCGGGCTAAATTTTAAAAAGGCAGATAACCATTTAGCAGTTGTTTTGTGCAAACCTTTTATTCTTTCCCCTTGCTTTCTTGTATGCTGGGGCCTTATAATTTAAAAAAGGGAGCAGGGAGAGTTTAACTAAGTCTGCGCTGCACTATGTAATACAGTGTTCCAACACTACTACAGTCTCTCTGCTTATTTTTTTTTTTTTTTAGCTTTCCTGGGTTTCTAAGAACATTTAAGGCCAACCATTTCTCCCCCTTTAATTTTTTAAAAAAATCCTGCACTGGCTTCCTTCCACAACAATTTTTTTAAAAAAAATTGGAAATTGCAATTGCTTGAATGTGAATGAGAGCTGCCAATACTCAGGCCAAAGGGGGGTGGGGGAGAAGGTAACAATGCTTCCAAGGGGGAAGTGTATGTTTGTGTGTTCCTGGCTGCCTGACTTGTCGAAATGTTTTTGCATAAACTTGTTGAAAGATCGGGGTCTCCCTCCCCTTGGGGACACAGCCCTGCTGTCGCTTCCACTGACCTTCCAGTACTGGGTTAGATTTACAGTGTTTCTCAACCTTGACCGTTTTAAGGCATGTGGACTTCAACTCCCAGAATTCCACAGCCAGCATTGCTGGCTGTGGAATTCTGGGAGTTGAAGTCCACATGCCTTAAAACGGTCAAGGTTGAGAAACACTGGGTTAGAAGTAGCCATTTATAGATAGAAAAGAATTCCCAGAATTGCCCAACCAACCTTCCGGTGGGCTAGGGAATTCTGGGAGTTGACCATGCTCCTTAATAAAATCGCTGAAGGTTAGAAGGGGGGGTCTGTGCCCCTTTTTTCCTTTCCCCCCCCCCGAGATGGACTACAACTCCCAGCGGCCCCCTTACCAGCCACGCTGGGCCAAGTCTGCGTCGGGAGGTTCCTTCGCACGTGGTCAATCCCGGCTTTCCCATTTCGGCCAGGAGGGGGCGGCCGAGCGCGGCGCCTTGCTTGTCCGGCTAGAGAGGCGGAGAGCGGAAGTTGCGTCTCCCTCCGGAGAGGCGGTGGATGGAGCGAGGGGCGGGACCCGTCTAGCCCAGCCACTCACTGGTAGGTCTGCAGTTTTGCCCTCGACTGCGGGAGGAGAGCGGGGCGTCGATGGCGGCGGTGTCGGGGGTCCTCGGGGGGCTGCTTCGGAGGCGTGAGTGGGCTCTCTCCCCAGTCCCTCCCCGCCCGTTCCCTCCGCTTTCAGCCCCCTGCTTCTCTTCCTGACCCCTCCCTGCAGCTCCCCCTCCTAACCTCTCCCTCGGACCTCAGTGCCCATCATCCTCAGCCGGCTGGGGAGAAGCGAGCTTGCTCTGGACGAGGCAGGGGGCCCTGCACAGCTGGCCAGCGGTTGGGGGAGGGGAAGCAGATTGCCCCCCTCCCTCCTCGCCTCGCAGACCTTCAAGCTTTTGGAGGGGGGGCAGTGGGGGGGGGTCTCTCCCCGTCCATTGCTTTTTATGCAGGCTATCTTGGCTTGCTCGCTTTTGTCCCCCCCGCCCCCCCAAATCCCCAGCAGGGGTCTTTGAGCCCCCCACGAAGTCCTCCTCTCTGCTTGCTGTTTGCCTCGCCTCTGAAGTGCAGGTTGCCTGGAGCTGCTGCCCCATCTTGCTTTCCCTGTTTTCCCTGCTGGCTGCTTCCATTCCTGCCCTGTCCTGTTCTTCCCACCTGCATTTCTCTCTCTCTCTCTCTCTCTCTCTCCTTAAACCTCTGCCTTTATTAAACATCTGGGCCCCAGGGTCAAAATATTATTCCTATCTGTTGATGAATTAAGCATTCTTCTGGTGCCCTCCACGGAATCTATCCACAGTCCTTTTATCCCGATTATTGGAAGGGGGTCTCTCTCTCTCTCCCTCCCTCCCTCCCTCCCTCTCTCTTTCTCTCTCTCTCTCCCTCCCTCCCTCTCTCTCTCTCTCTCTCTCTCTCTCTGCATTCGGTGCATGCAACCTGCAGCCTTCTCCCATTAACGATCAAGCTGCTGACAGTCAGTTGACAGTCATCTGCTAATCTCTTTGCCTGGGGGTGGAATTGCAAAACTGGGACAGGCCAGGCGGGATGTTTTCCCAGGAATGCGCAACCTTTGGAAGTCTGGTGCCTGTGAACAGGAGGGGGGCAGGGAATGCAAGTAGGTAGGCTCAGCAGCGGTGAGGATCTCCCTTCCCTGGATCTCGTCCTTGGCCAGAATCTCTATTGTTCGGTAGAGAGAAGCCATTTTGTTCTCAGCAAGGGAGCAAAACCATCTCTTGTGCAGGAACTTTGGGGTTAAGCTGAAGAAATCTTTGTTTTCTAGGCATGAAGTTGGCCCACCTCTCCTTTGGGGTGTTTCGAGCACAGCCATACAGTTTCCCCTCATTTGAGGTAGATCTAGCTACTGGAAGGAAAAGGAGGGGTGACTTAAGGAGCAGGAAGGTATGGAGGTCCCTCATGCTCCTGGTGAGAGAAGCCAAAACTTTGGGATTGTTGAAATCTCCCAGGGATTTTCTGTGGCTGAGCAGAGGGAAGAGGTTCCTGGCTAAAACCAAGACGTAGGGGGAGGAAGTGGGCTTTGTATGACCATGACATAAGTCAGGCCTCCAACTCTTCAGAGGTTCAGCCCCACTTGAGTCACCAAGGAGTTAGTTTATTGGTTTGTTATACCATTAGAGCAGTGGTTCTCAACCTTTTTAATGCCGCGACCCCCCAACCGGTCGTAAGTCGAGGACTACTCAACCGGTCGTAAGTCGAGGACTACTCAACTGGTGCACCACCGTTTTGCAGAATGGGACTTTTGGCGGGCTCAGCAAGGCAGAGACAGCCTGGACAATTCCTATTGGCTTTTGAAAGCCAATAGAATTAGACTCTATTCAAGAGAGTCTATTCTATTGGCTTTCAAAAGCCAATAGAATAAAAGGGAGGAGCACAGCTAAGGAAAAGGGGGGGAAAATGGCGGACTGCGTTGTTTGGGGACCCCCGTGAAATGGTCGTTCGACCCCAAATGGGGTCCCGACCCACAGGTGGAGAACCACTGCATTAGAGCATTGCTTCTCACCTTTGGCAGCTATAAGATGCCAAACCTCTAAATCCGTGTTTCTCAACGTTGGCAATCTTAAAGTTGCTAAGGTTGAGAAACAGAGTTTTAGAGGTTGCCCAAGTCCTAATGATCCCAAGTGGTGAATAATAACCAGTGGGAAAGAAGTCACGAGTCTCCCAGGGACAAATATATAAAGGAAACACTTGTCCATTCGAGGGTCAACCATCATCCTGCCCCAGAGCCTGGGAGCAGAGTCGTGAAGGACATCGGGTTTGAGCCTTCTGGATCCCTGGGAGAGGCCTTTCGGCGGTCCCACTAGATCAGAGGTGGGGAACCACGGCCCTTTTATGACTTGTGGACTTCAACTCCCAGAATTCATGGCTCAGCCAGGAAACCTCTCCCTTTCCCCTCAGCATGGCTGGCTCAGGAATTCTGGGAGTTGAAGTCCCCCAGTCATAAAAGGGCCATGATTTCCCCACTTCTGCAGTTGATGATACTGTTAAGTGGGCAGCCAAAACTGCCTGACCCCCCCCCCCCACCCACCTTTCTGCCTGCATGCATGGAGTTTGCCCCTGAGCACAGATGGCTACTTTCTTTCAGGACAGAGCTTTGCCCACTGCTGCTAACCGTCCCGTTTTTCCTCCCAGATCTCTCCGTTCGTCTTGTTTCCTGTCGCGGCTTCAGGATCATGGCGTCCAAGCAACAGCAGTCATCACAGCAGCAGCCCAATGCCTTGCCCACCTACGAGACCTTGAAGTTGGAACGGGTGCGCGAGAAAGTGCTACACGTGGAGCTCAACCGTCCTGAGAAAAGGAACGCCATGAATATCGCCTTTTGGAGGTAACAGGAAATCAGATTTCTTTTCCGCTAGCGATGGAAGTCGCACGTCGGAGGGAGGGCGGAGATGCACGGTAGGAGATGCCTCGGGACATCTGGCTGGGCTTTTAACCTGCAATCCTTATCATGTGGACAATCCTTTAGATATGAGTCCGCCGTGTGCTGCAGCTGCCAAAAAGGCCAACGCAGTGCTAGGCTGCATTAACTGAGGGATAGAATCAAGATCACGTGAAGTGTTAATACCACTCTACAAGGCCTTGGTAAGGCCACATTTGGAATACTGCATCCAGTTTTGGTCCCCACAATGTGAAAAAGATGTTGAGACTCTAGAAAGAGTGCAGAGAAGAGCAACAAAGATGATTAGGGGACTGGAGGCTAAAAGGAATGGTTGCTGGAATTGGGTATGTCTAGTTTAATGAAGAGAAGGACGAGGGGGGACATGATAGCCGCGTTCCAATATCTCAGGGGCTGCCCCAAAGAAGAGGGAGTCAAGCTATTCCCCAAAGTGCTGAAGGCAGGACAAGAAGCAACGGATGGAAATCAATCAAGGAGAGAAGCAACCTGGAACTAAGGAGAAACTTCCTGATAGTGAGAATAATTAACCAGTGGAACCACCTGCCTCCAGAAGCGGTGAATGCTCCAACACTGGAAGTTTTTAAGAAGAGACTGGACGGCCATTTGTCCGAAATGGTATAGGACAGGGGTAGGCCACCTTGGCTCTTTTATGACTCGTGGACTTCAACTCCCAGAATTCCTGAGCCAGCCATGCTGAGGAGAAAGGTTTCCATGCTGAGCCATGCTGGCTCAGGAATTCTGGGAGTTGAAGTCCACGAGTCATAAAAGAGCCAAGGTTGCCTGGTATTAGGGTTTCCTGCCTGAGCAGGGGATTGGACTAGATGTCCTCCAAGGTCCCTTCCAACGATATGATGATGATGATGATGATCCGAATAAGCAAACTGAAAATGAGTTGCTTCTTTTTTATGAGGCTTAATCGGGGCAGACTAAGGTAGGCTTCCTCTGCCCCATCGGTCCTGGGCCTTCCACTCCCAGGAAAATGCCTTCAGTCATTACACTGTTTCAAGTGTACAGGTAGTCCTCAACTTACAACAGTTTATTTAGCGACCAAAGTTACAAGGACACTCAAAAAAGTGGCTTACGGCCATTTTTCACCCTTGTGGTCGTTGCAACATCCCCCCACAGTCAACGTGATTTACACTTGGATGTTTGCAACTGGTTCACGTTTATGACGGTCACAGTGTCCCCGGGGTTCTGGGGTCCCCTTTGGTGACCTGAAAAAGCAAAGTCAACGGGGGGAAGCCAGATTCACTTAGCGACGGTGTTTCCCATTTAACAACTGCAGCGATTCCCTTAACAAATGTGGCCAGAAAAACCTAAGATGGGGCAAAGCTCACTTAACAGATTTCTCACGTAGCAACATTGACGTTGTGGTCGTAAGTCGAGGACTGCCTGTATTGGTGAAAAATCTAAGCCTAGCAGAGCAGGTCTCTAGCGTGGTCTTCTCTTGTCATAGGGAGATGGTCGAGTGCTTCAACAAGATTGCCGAGGATTCCGAATGTCACGCAGTGGTGATCTCGGGTGCTGGGAAAATGTTCACTGCAGGTAGGGAGGACAGAGGCATCGTGGCCGAGAGAGTACTTCTCCCCTCTAGATCGAAAAAATCTAACAAGGAGCCACCTGGGAATGCACCTCTTGGGATCTTAGGTGGGAGTTCAGATCAAACTGTCAATGCTGTCAGAATTCAGTGTATACAATTTTATGCAATCACGCCAAGCCTCCTTTGGCTTAGTTCAGTGGTGGCAAACCTATATGGCACAGGTGCCAGAGGCGGCACTCAGAGCCCTCTCTGTGGGCACGCGAACCGTCGCCCCAGTCCTAGGCCTTCAGCTGGCTTTTATAAAACCTTTTCGCTTTAGGCCTCCACTGCCGGGTACAAAAAAAAAAAAAAAAAGGTTCAATCCATCAGTCAATTTCAACTTCTCGTGGGAAAAAAAAGATTGCAAAGTTGGAATTGATTGATTGAACTTTTTAGTCCCACCCAGTCTGCTGTTATCACCGCAGCCATGCCCACCCAATGGGCCACACCCACCCAATGGGCCACACCCACCCGGCACCCGCCGATGCATAAGTGGGTTTTGGGTTGCAGTTTGGGCACTCGGTCTCTAAAAGGTTCGCCATCACTGGCTTAGTTTGTACCACAAATCGTGCTTCGGGCGGGTTTGCAGGGGCGCTTTTCAAAGTTTAAAGAGTAAATGTGGGGGAGGGAGCCCTGAGTTTTAAGGAGAAATATGAGTACCTTAATACAGTCACAAGCTACAAGATACAGTCACAGTTTTGCTTTGCTGCTGAGAGGGAACCAATAAGATGCAAAATTTGGTCCCCACAGTTTTGGAGAAACCTCCAGGTCCCAGGGTTTACAGCCTTGCTTTCAGGAGTGGCAGCGTGCATTTAACAGTTAAATAAAGTAACCCATTGCTTAGAGTGACTGGGTGGGTGTTAAATGGCTGAGCTGGAGGGCCAGAATCACTCCTGCCGTTCTCCATTCCTGACCTCCTATAGCAGGGGTGTCAAACTGCCGGCCTGCAAGCTGGACGCGTCATCCAAAAGCTGCGCCCACCCCATTGCCAGCAATGGCAAAACCGTCCCAACACGTTGCACGACATCACGTGACGTTGCGGGTTTGACATGTCTGTCCTACAGGCATTGACCTCATGGAGCTGGGCAGCGTTTTCATGATGGCACAAGGTGATGACGTGGCTCGGAGGGCTTGGAACATCCGCAAGAAGATCCAGGAATACCAAGAGTCCTTCACGGTCCTGGAGAAGGTGCCTGAGCCGAGGGACTGGGGTTGGCAGGTGTGCCAGGAAACCACTTCCTCCCACTTAACAGGATCTCTGCTTTTCAGTGTCCCAAACCCGTCATTGTGGCCGTTCATGGGGCCTGCATCGGAGGAGGTAAGCCCCCACAAGTCATGCGTGTCTGAACCTGTAACTTCACGTGCCTCCAGTTCCTGGAACTGGTTGCACGATGGGGCTGTGGAAACGGCAAAACTCCAAATTCTGTACCTGTTGAATTACAGAAGCTAACCAGTACGATCTTGCTTTGCATAAGGCTCCAAGTCTTTTGGATTTAACTGGCTCCATAACTCAAGTGTTTCTTAACCTTGGCAATTTAAAGAGGTGTGGATTCAAATTCTGGGACTTGAAGCCCACGTATCTTCAAAGTTGCCAAGATTGAGAAACGCTGCTAGAACTGCTTTACTTAATTTATAAAGCTGCATCTCATGATCTCTTTGCTGAGGGGCCAGGCCGACACTAGGAGTGCTGTATGATTTTGGTATCAGCCTGACTGGAAATCTGCTCTCATCTAGTCTATGAGTAAAAATGGAATTCTGGAAGGAAAAGGGTTTTTTTCCCCCCTGGCTGATGTACCAATGTTGTTGATTTTTGAGAGGCATTTTTTTTCTGCTCATGGAAGGAACACTGTCTCTTAAGATACCCCCTACCTAGTCATGGATCTCGGCTGTTTAAAAGCCGTTTTCAAAAAGGCGAATGCTCTGCAACTTGGGCCCGTTTGATGCTGCAGCACTATGGGCTATTGAGTCTTCTTCCAGGCTGTTGCCACCCCTGACTCGCTGGGGGTGGCCAGAGGATGGGTGACACAGGGCCTTCCTTGGAACTGGACTGGGTGGGCTCTGAGATAGGAGCTTGGCCACTTTAGGCTGCTGTGGTGGAAGAAAGTTGGGATAGAAGGGTGGAAAGCAGACCGTGGATCTTGTCTCTTTGCAGGTGTGAATCTCATTACGGCCTGCGATATTCGCTACTGCACGCAGGACGCTTGGTTCCAGGTGAAGGTGAGTTTGCCGTGACACAGTTTTACCCTAAAAAATGTCTACTTAATAAGCATCGGTGACGCTAACAAGGCACAGATATATTTCCTTCCTTGCTCTCTCGTGCTGCTCATTTCTCACACACACACCCACAAATGCACGTGTGTTTATTCCAGGCCATAGGCTTGCCAGAGACGGGTTTGTACAAGTGGGGAAAGAAAAAAACAACAGCCAATTTTATCCCTTTGGGCTGGCATTGCAAATTGCATCCCAGTATTTCAGGCCCAGGGTGGGTGTCCTGATATCCCAGCACCCACTTTGCCCTTTGGAATAAACCTCAGTGGGTGCCCCTGCCCGAACCCCCGTCTCCTTGCTCTCATTTCTTAAGGAAGTGGACGTTGGACTGGCCGCCGACGTCGGCGCATTGCAGCGTTTGCCACGCGTCATTGGGAATCGGAGGTGAGGGATTCGCTTCCTTTTGGCTCGGCGTCCTTCCTGGTCTTGCCCGAAAGGAACTGCGCGGCTTCCACTACTTTGCAAAGTGGCAGCTTTCCACTACTTTGCAAAGTGGCAGCTCAGACGTGGTTTGCTCAGACGAGCTGCATCTGAGACGTGGGCTGGCTCAGGAATTCTGGGAGCTGGAGTCCACAAGTCTTAAAAGTTGTCGAGGTTGCAGAGCCCTGATCTTGGGGATGGGCAAACAGTCAGCCCTCCCCCCCCCAGTTCCTTCTGCCCACAAAAAACTGCCTGCTTGTGACTCGGGTCTCTCTTAACCCCCTCTTGATGTTCTCTCTCCAGCCTAGTGAACGAGCTGGCTTTCACGGGCAGAAAGCTCATGGCCCCGGAGGCAGAGAGCTGCGGCCTTGTCAGGTGGGTCTCCCTTGAAGCCGAAGGCTGGGGGCTTGCGGGAGCTTCTCAGTGTTGTGTTTTTGCTCGGAGAGCCCCCTTGTCAAAACCAGTCCCCGATTTCACGTCTCGCTGGGGCAGGCAACTGGAAAACGTTATCCTCAAATGGAAGGCCATTGGTTCGCCTCCATCTTTTAAAAAAATGGAGATCCTAAATATTATCTGAGTCTTCCCGCCCAGTTGCAAAAGACCCTCACCTCCTCCCATTGAGCTCAATCCAGATGTTTCCATGGAGGCGTCCCCAGGACTGTTTGCCTGGCATTCTCCACCCACGGTTGTCTTGCATTTAGTCCCACGGGATTTCCTGGCTGGTTTCCCCCCCCCCAATCCAGGAACTAAGCAGGCTTAGCTTTCAAGATAGGGCAAAGTTGAGTGAAGGCTGTCTTCTTCTGAAACAACTGCAACCGGGGGATGTGTATTAATCCCATCAGGCTTTGCTGGCTGGGGAATTCTGGGAGTTGATGTCCACAGCTCTTAAAAGTTGCAAAGGTTGAGAAACGCTGAATTAAAGTAGATTGAGCAAGACTGTAAGGTTTTTTTCCAACTTCCCCTGGGCCAGGGGTAGGCAACCTTGGCTCTTTTATGACTGGTGGACTTCAACTCCCAGAATTCCTGAGCCAGCATGGCTTAGCTTGGAAACCTCTCTCTTTCCCCTCAGCACGGCTGGCTCAGGAATTCTGGGAGTTGAAGTCCCCCAGTCATAAAAGAGCCAAGGTTGAGAAATACAGGCCTAGGCCAGGGGTAGGCAACCTTGGCTCTTTTATGACTGGTGCACTTCAACTCCCAGAATTCCTGAGCCAGCTGTGTTGAGGGGAGAGGGAGAGGTTGCCATGGTGAGCCATGCTGGCTCAGGAATTCTGGGAATTGAAGTCCATGAGTCATAAAAGAGCCAAGGTTGCCTACCCCTGGCCTTGGGCTGAAAAAGAGAAGAAGGCCTAGCTGGTGTGTAATCTGGGGCCTTGAAAGTTCCTTAGAATGTCATTCCTTTGAACTCCCAAATCCAAGACTTGCATTCTCGGGCTGGAAAAAGCTGCCACAACCTCAACAATTCCTCTGGCTTCCTTTCCCCAGCCGCGTGTTCCGAGATCACGAGTCAGTGCTGCAGGGTGCCTTTGATTTGGCCACCGAAATCGCCTGCCGGAGTCCAGTCGCGGTGCAGGGCACGAAAATTAACCTCGTTTACTCCAGAGACCATTCCGTGCCCGACGGCTTGAAATACATGGTGAGCGGTTAGGGTTGGGGTTTTCCGAATACGTGCCGCTTGCGGTTTGTACGTTGGGAGGTCATGGCCTTGGTGCCAGATAACGGAGAACAGAATGATAAACCGGGAAGGGACCTCGGAGGTCTTCTAGTCCAACCCCCCTGCTCAGGCAGGAAGCCCTATTTTATTTGGAAAATGCATACAGCCACCTTTCCTAAACCAATAACTCTGGGCCCACAGCCAGTTTGTAAGAGGGAGGGGGAAAATCCCCAGCATAATAAAGCTTCTGTAACAGTGATACTAAAAAGCAGAGACATCACCCTGCCAACAAAAGTGCGTATAGTCCAGGCCATGGTTTTCCCAGTTGCAATGTATGGCTGTGAAAGTTGGACCATAAGAAAGGCTGAGCGCCAAAGAATGGAGGCCTTTGAACTATGGTGCTGGAGAAGACTCCTGCGAGGCCCTTGGACTGCAAGGCGTTCAAACCGGTCAGTCCTAGAAGAGATCAACCCCGACTGCTCTTTAGAAGGCCAGATCCTGAAGTTGAAACTCAAATACTTTGGCCACCTAATGAGAAGGAAGGACCCACTGGAGAAGGGCCTAATGCTGGGAAAGATTGAGGGCAATAGAAGAAGGGGACGACAGAGAATGAGATGGCTGGATGGAGTCACTGAAGCAGTAGGGGTGAACTTAAATGGACTCCAGAAGATGGTAGAGGACAGGAAGACCTGGAGGAACATTGTCCATGGGGTCGCGATGGGTTGGACACGACTTCGCAATTAACAACAACAACAACAGTGATGGCGAACTTTTTAGAGACCGAGTGCCCAAACTGCAACCCAACACCACTTATGTAGTGCTGGGTGCCGGGTGGGCGTGGCTACGGTGGTCATGGCAGATAGGTGGGTGTGGCCAGCTTGATGTTGCTTCTGGGGAGGGACCCCTGTGGTAGCCGGGCACGGTTGGGGAGATCCAGGGGGTCTTTGGTGGGTGGGGTGGTGGGTGGGGCGGTGGGCAGGAAGCTCGTCCTGCGGAATAAGGTGAGGCGAGGCAGGGCAGGGGTGCCATTGTCGCAGGGCAAGGTGGGGCCGGGGGCGGGGCGGCTGCTGCCTGACAACATTGGCTCCCACACACAGAGACCATGGATGCTGGGATGCATCCGGCCATGTAGGTCCTCGGCCAGTCAGCGGGTGGCTGGTTGAAGAGGACGGTTGCCATCTCTGGGTCATGGCGCGCGTGCCCACAGAGAGGGCTCTGAGTGCACCTCCGGCACGCGTGCCATAGGTTCTCCACCACTGTTCTATAAGCCAATCCGAAAAATAGAAAAAAAAAATTAGTGATTGTGCAGCCACCAGAGGACGTCCTAACTAACTCGCCAGTGGATGTGTTTGACCCCGTTTGCTTCCTGGCTCCAGTTCTGGGGGGGGGGGCTCTTCACCCCCTGGCAGGAGATCAAGGGGGTTGGGAAGAAGCTATATTTCCAGGGCACGGCCGAGGAGTGAAAGTGCCCCCCTCCCTGGAAGATGCTGGGCCAAGCAAGGGAAAATCACTTTTTTCTAACTCTTCCTTGCATTCTGATTTTTCCTGTAGGCTACTTGGAACATGAGCATGCTTCAGACCGAGGACATTATCAAGTCCGCTCAAGCTGTGATGGAGAAGAAGACCCCCAAGCAGGTGGTCTACTCCAAACTGTAGATGGAAGCCTGTGCCTGCCCCGAAGCAAGGGCTGTGTTTGTGTGTGTGTGTGTATGTCACACACTCCTGCTTTGCAGGGGCCAAGCCTGGAGCCTGGGTTACGGCAAGACGCCAGCCTCAAGTGCCTTTGAATCACGCACCGCCCGCCTGTCCTGTTGATTCTTTAGGGGCGCTGCGAAGCGATAACCCCCCCCCTTTTGAAAAGGGGTGCATTTTCCAGAGCATGCAGGTTAGCAACAGAAGAGCATATTAATATAGACGCCCAAAAAGTTGGTTTTAACGAAGATTAAATCTTGTTTTAATTATGGCCTGTTTGGGCTTTTTTATTTTGTATATATATTTTGTATATATTCTATATCTCACCTGCTATTCCAAAAAGCCAAGCCCCGTGCTTTTTTTTTTTTTTTTGCTTTTTTTTCTTTTAAGGGTTATGGCTATGAATTTACAAGGTGATGGAAGGTCAGCCAGAGAACGGAAAAATTTCACTGCAAACAGTAAAAAAAAGTCAGGAGGAATCTGGTAGCATGTTTTCCGATCGAGAAATTTTATTTACAAGCAGAGGTTTTATTGAGTTGATGCTCAGAAGTCAGAAAGAGACCAACAGTATCTTTACTAACTAGCATGTTTTATTCCGAGGCAGACTTTTTTCATCAGACTATTTTATTTTAATTTTTTTATTGCTGTAGGTAATAATAATAGTAAAGTTGGAAGGGACCTTGGAGGTCATCTAGTCCAACCCCCTGCTCAGGCAGGAAACCCTACACCATTTTGGACAAATGGCTGTCCAGTCTCTTCTTAAAAACCTCCAGTGTTGGAGCATTCACCACTTCTGGAGGCAGGTTGTTCCACTGGTTAATTGTTCTCACTGTCAGGAAGTTTCTCCTTAGTTCCAGGTTGCTTCTCTCCTTGATTAGCTTCCACCTGTTGCTTCTTGTCTTGCCTTCTGGTGCTTTGGAGAATAGCTTGACTCCCTCTTCTTTGGGGCAGCTCCTGAGATACTGGAAGACTGCTATCATGTCCCCCCTCGTCCTTCTCTTTATTAAACTAGACATACCCAATTCCAGCAGCTGTTCCTTATATGCTTTAACCTCCAGTCTACATGTATTTCCTCCTACCCCCCTCTGCAAACCAAAGTGATTCTAAATGATCGTCATTTCTCTGTTGTTGCATTATTAGAGCAGGGTGAGCAAGCAAGAGGAAAATACTGGGTTTGTGGGCTTGGGGCTAACTTCAGAAATGGAGCGAGCCCAGGCCTACGTGGGGGAACAATTCTTCCTGCAGGAGCAGTGTGGAAGCCAGCAAGAGTTGTAACGATTCTGTTCAGTTGAAGAAAAATGGGGGGGGGGGCAATTTGAGGAATTAAGTGCTTTATAGCTGGGCGTGGACAGAGCCTTCTGCTTCTGCTACCGTTTGCGGCATCCTCTTTCATTTTGCCCCATCCTCCTTTGATCACTTCGGCCCAGAGACGGGTCAGAGTCCAACCGGCAGGGCGTAGTTGCAAACGCCACTGCGCATCCCTTCTCTGTCCCAGCACCATCCTGCCCTCTCTCCCAATTAACCCGGATTGCCCAGCCCTCTTGCGTTCCCCAGTCATGCTCCACAAAACCGTCAGCTTGCTTAGTCAGGCATATCCCCCCCTCTGCGAAACTTGTAAAATTATTTGCTGACCATTCCTTCGAAGGGTCGCTCCCTGCCTCCGCCCTCTGCAGACCGCACAGCCACCCATTGTTCTAACCGATGCCCCAGTTAGAGGCTTTTACGAGGCTGGTTTCCTGCTGGTCTCGAACCAAAGCGGGCAGGGCTCAAATATTTGCTGGACACGTCTCCCTCCCCGTGACCACTCAGTGACGGTTCCTTGGTAAAGCTCAGAGAGAAATGCAAGTGTGGGCAACATTGTCCCTGAGCCTCTTGGTTGCCCCAGAGTTGGTGGGGAAAAGGGGATGGACTCCAAGAATGAAGACGCCCCACCCGCCCCACAAGATAGATCGAACTAAGAAATTGATGCTCTTGCTATTTAATAAAATTATACATTAAAAATGGATAAGAGGAATCTGGCACGTCTTGAATTTGCTTCCCCCTCTGTCTTTTGTGAATTTTGGGGCTTGTCTGAGATGCTTCTCACCTGACTTCACCTGGGTTGGGCTGAAGCCTCTCTTGATTGACCCTTGGCAGTGGTTTTTCTCAAACAATACCTGGATATGATCCCGGGAGACGGGAGGAAGAGACGCAGGCCAGGCAGCGCTTGGATAAGAAGCAGCTGAGCCTGGAGAAGCAATGGGGGGGGGTCTGGCAGATGCCTCATTAGGGACCCTCCCTAGTTTCTCGGACTGCAAAGGCGAGGGGGGGGGTTACTTTCATGTAACTTTGCAGTAACGTTCAAATTAGAACTTCCAATTTGCTTCTTCTATGGACTACCTTGCAGAGCTGTCATATTCGTCTTGTCTTGCTTGATGGCAGTCCCTCTCCAGGGAACACAGTTGTGGGAGATGGATAGTGAAAGAATAGCAACCTTTATATCTAGGCAGAGATTCTCCCCCCCCCCCTTTAAGTATCTGTGCCATCCGCACAATAAACCAGAGCTGGTTTGGAGTTAAATTTGATCCCATCCAATGAATCTTTTTGGTTGTAAGATTTGCTGGGTGAGGTGGGGAAGTTTTAAAATCTTAGAAATCCAGATTAAATTAAACTTTCCGGTCTTCTTAGTTTACGTGCAGCGTAAGTTTACTTCTGTTATTAGAACCCCTATCATCCTATCCTATGTTGTCCTGGCCTGAGTGAGAATTCTGAATTTAAAGTCCAATTTGTTGGAAGCACCAGACTGAGCAAGGTGGGGCCAGGTGGGTGGGTGGGGCTTTACAGGAAAGGTCCCTAAGACTTTCCTACCTTGTCCAGGTAGGAAATAGAGCAGTGGCCTCTATTTGTCAGGACAGGTGGGCTGTTGCCTCTGTGCTCCACCCTTCCTTCCTCGCTTCATATAAAAGCAATAGTTAACGGTGGCCTTGCTTCTCACTCGGGCCTTGATCAGGACCAGCGGCTTGAAACAGGATCAACATGGCTTTCTTTCCAGCACCTGGCTACATGCCTGTTTATAACCCGGTAAGTGTCTCTCTCACCTGGTCTTAACCTCATAATATCTTTGCAACAAAATTTTTATACACCGGATGGAGAAATGCTGAAAAATGGAAGGATGGATAATAAAGATGGCAGAAGAGATCTCTTTGAATCGGGGATAAAACAGTAAGTACTTCTATAAAAGATTGGAAATTGGTTATGGACTTTTTTTTTTTTTTTTTTTTTTTGAGCTGAAAATGGACAAAAGCCATGTCTGCATTTGCTGGTTGAAAAACGGCCTGAATGTGGGCTATTCTAATCTAAGTTAATGTTATTACGAGACAATAAATTTGTGGACCTTTTGGTGGTTTCTGAACTTGGTTTCGTTCAAGCTGGTAGAACGCCACGGATTTGAATTGAACCCTGAGCTACGTCTATTTTCTTGGGATAATAAATTGGTTTGTAACTGCTAGGGAAGATCAGAAACCTCTTATTTAATCATCTTTTCTTTTTGTCTATTTCTGCTGTTCGTTTTTTCTTTTATATTTTTGTCTTTCTCTTAACTTTTCCGTGTTTTTTTCGTGTTTATTTTGATAAATAAAGGGACGGTGGGATAAAAGAAATTTGAGATTAGGGTAGAAAAATAATGTGAGAAACTGTCAGACCCTCCCTCCTTCTCTTGTACGTAAAGGAAGGGAGGGGGATGAGCATTCAGCCTTCAAAGTAGACCAGACTAGGAACCCAAACTCCCACATGCTAATACTACTTTTAAAGGGACAGAATCCTGCTGGTCTGAAAGCGGCAAGCAGATGTTGGCAAGCAAGCAACCCCCCCCCCCCCCAGGCTCAGAGACCACCCAAAACTCTTTAGTTCAACCCTCAGCTGTAGAGGTTCTCTTCTATTGGAAGAAATGAAAATGCCCATTATTTTTCAAAATACGTCGGCCAAACTTGCTACGCTCATCTGGGGTTCAATTCTCCCCCCCCCCTTTTCAATACAATTCCTCCCATCCCAGTGTGCAGTTGCAACAGCCACCTCACCCACCCACAGATGAAACACAGTTCTCCTATAAAAGCTCCAGAAGTGCAGAGGAAAAGGTCACGCCAGCCTGTCCCAGTTGGCACTTGCAATGTTTCTCCTTTCCCTAGAGGTTCCTCCAGTGCATGGAGAGATCTGATAAGAGTCTGGCATCCAGCCAGTCTTGCTCAATCCACTGATCACCCATAAAGCAGAACCGGTCAGCGGCTGCAATTCTGGTGCTTTGCCACATTGGGTGTGTGTGTGTGTGTTAATCCTTAGCAGAGGACTTGGTTTGACTCAGAAGCCACATGGAAAGGCTGATACAAACCACAGGTTGCAGTTGGCTGGTTTGAAGGTCAAAAGTTGTGTTTTGCAGTAAAACCACTGGCTTCATTGTTTTCTGTCTTCCAGACTCTCCCTTACCATCAGCCTGTCCCTGGGGGACTCCATCCTGGGATGTCTGTCTATGTGCAAGGCAAAGTGCCCAAACATACCAAGAGGTAATGTGTTGTTGCTTTTTTGGGGGGGGGGGCTCACAGGAAGGGCAAGAACCTACCTTGCTCAAAATATTTCTCTAAAATATATAATATATATGGGTATGTAGGTCTTTGGTTATTCGGGTTTTCTCCCGCGTCAAATTGGAAGTGTCTTGGCGACGTTTCGATGAAGTCCCATTCGTCATCTTCAGGTTGGTGTTTGCGGCTTCGTGCTTCTGCTCCTAGAAGCACGAAGCCGAAAACACCAGCCTGAAGATGACGAATGGGACTTCATCGAAACGTCGCCAAGACACTTCCAATTTGACGGGGGAGAAAACCCGAATAACCATAGACCCACATACAAACACCCGCAAAAACCTCAGAAAACAATATATATGGGTACTTTATACAGTCCAAATTTGATAGCAAGATTATCGCAAAACTGGCATGGATGCATTTGGACATGGACATGTCCTGCTCAGGTGTTGGGTAGAGTTTTCACTCTGACCTCGAAAAGTCTTTCTGAATTCTTCAGATACTGGTAATTCCACTTCCTGGTTCTTCCAACTCCAACGCCTAGGGGAGTTCCTATGCCCTGAGGACTAGGAACTTGATTCTTGTCTGCTGGAGATCTCCCTCCCTGCTACTGTGCTAACCAGGCCAAGCCTGCTTAGCTTCTCAGATCCATCAAGTTCATCTGGAAATCATTAAATGTTATTTAAATACGATAGCCATACATAATCTTAGGCAATATTTTCTTAAAATATTATAAATATGGACCACCCAAGAGCACTTCCTTTATATTTTTAAAAACTGGGTTCTAGCTTCACGGCGGAGGAGAAGCAGGAGGCAGAACCCTACTCCAAGGTTCCTGCACCTCCCTTTAATTTTCCTTTTTTTTTTTTTTTTTTTTATCCCCTGTCTCTCTACCAGATTCCGGGTGAACTTTGCCTGTGGCCAGCACGAGGGGGCTGACATTCCCTTCCACTTCAACCCTCGCTTTGATGGGAAGGACAGAACTGTGCTCAACACCTTCCAGGGTGGCAGGTGGGGCAATGAAGAGCACCACAAGATGCCCTTCCGGAAGGGCGAGCATTTCGAGATCATCTTCCTTGTCAATGACGTTGGATACGAGGTTGGTACGCCTGGTAGAGGCTCTTTTGGGACAGCAGTTTCCTCTCCGTTCCTCCCCCCCCCCCCGAGAAGATAAGATAACTTTTATTGTCATTTTTTTACTGTGGGCACAACAGCACACATCAAAAATGGAATTTAGTTGTCCGCTCTCAAAGTGAAACATATATATGACCCACACCTAAACATACTATGAACAACATATGTACAGTCCCACATCCCTACATATATGTAGCAAATAAATATTAATTCACCCTTTGTCTGGAATGAACCACAAATGTATTTAATACTGAGTTTCCCAACTTCATATCTTCCATATAGGTTTTAAGTAGTAGTAATAACAACAACAACAACAACAACAACAATAATAATAATAATAATAAGAAAGACAAAAAAGTCTGGATAGTGGACGTGGCAGTGCCTGGAGACAGCAGAATAGACGAGAAAGAACTGGAGAAGATAACAAAATACAAAGACCTACAAATAGAAATAGAAAGACTGTGGCAAAAGCAAGCAAGGGTAGTACCAATAGTCATAGGCTCCTTGGGTGCAATCCCAAAACAACTGGAGCACCACTTGAACACCATCAGCATTGACAAATTCGCTATTAGTCAATTGCAAAAGGCGGCCTTACTAGGAACTGCTTCCATCCTGCGACGGTATCTGTAATACCATCAAACATCCACATCTACCTATCCCAGGTCCTGGGTAAGGACTCAATAGGTAGACAAAACGCCAAATCCAGTCTGAACATCTGGCTGACTGCGATGATCCATAATAATAATAATTATTATTATTATTACTATTATTATCCCAGGTCCTTGGTAAGGACTCGATAGGTAGACAAAATGCCAAATCCAATCTGAACATCTGGCTGACTGTGCGATGATCCATAATAATAAAAATAATAATAAAGTTGGAAGGGACCTTGGAAGTCATCTAGTCCAACCCCCTACTTAGGCAGGAAACCCTACATACCATTTCAGACAGATGGCTGTCCAGTCTCTTCTTAAAAACTTCCAGTGTTGGAGCATTCACTGCTTCTGGAGGCAGGTTGTTCCACTGGTTAATTGTTCTAACTGTCAGGAAGTTTCTCCTTAGTTCTTGGTTGCTTCTCTCTTTGGTTAGTTTCCATCCGTTGCTTCTTGTCCTGCCTTCAGGCGCTTTGGAGAATAGCTTGACTCCCTCTTCTTTGGGGCAGCCCCTGAGATACTGGAACACTGCTATCCTGTCCCCCCTCGTCCTTCATTAAACTAGACATACCCAATTCCAGCAGCCGTTCCTCATATGGTCTAGCCTCCAGACCTCTAATCATCTTTGTTGCTCTTCTCTGTATAGGCAGTTCTCTTTTAGCAACAACTGGGACCAGAAAACTTGGTCATTAAGCGGAAACGTGTCTGTCTGTGATCAGACTGCAGCTTTTGTTTGCTTTGCAGAGCTGTGAAGTTTGTAAGTGCCAGGATGGGTCGCGAAGTTACGATTTCATCACGGTTGTAACTGCAAACAGTCACTAAATGAGAACAACCTGTTGCTAAAGAAAAAAAAACATTTTGGTCTGGGGGGAGAAAAGGTTATTGGTAAAACAAAGACCGCCCCCTTTTTTCACATACAACTTTTTAAATCTTTTTAATCCCCTCGGTGGCCACTCTGCTCAGCTTTGGGGTGGGACGTGTTCCCGGCAAGAATAAACAGTTTTTTCCTTCAAAGAAAATGGACCCTCTCAACTGAGCATTGATTCTTTTGGCTTTGCCCTCTGACAGGTTTTGGTAGACAGAAACCCCTTCTGTAGCTACGCACACAGACTCCCCCCACAAAGTGTGCAGGTTGTGAGCGCTGATGGAGACCTGGAGCTGGAATCTCTGACCGTGATGGGAGGATCAATGACGGGGAACATGGTAAATGTTTGTATTGACAAGTCAGCACCTCCTGATCCTTGATCTCTCTTTTGGGAATGGATTCTGGGTTGGCTCAATTCCCACATTCTCTTTCTCCCCTCTGATCATTCTTCTTGACCCCCCTAAGAATGGCCTCCCCCTCTGGGTCCTCAACTGACATGGTGTACATCTTTGCATGGTAGCAAGGGTGATCCTCGGACCAGCAACTGAACTGGGAACAAATTTACCCCAGGCCAAGGTCCTGCTGTCCCCCGTGCAGAGGTCCATAAAGCAGAGTTTCTCAACCTTGGCAACTTTACTGTTATGGTTCCGGCTAATGAAACACTTCAAAGAACTTCCAGGCATCGATTTCCCTAAAAGTCTTTTATTGCTTCAAAATGTCGGCACAGGCATAATGAAGTTTATGCTAAGATCTAAGTTCTCTTCCTCTGAGCAGTTAAATTATCAGCATGTTCCCTCCCTAAATTAGCTGTCATATATCACCGTTATCCAATTAGTGTGAAGGTCAAAGGTTTCCTTCCTCTCTCTTTCCCGGGCTTTTCCCTCCACCCTCTTCTGCTCTGCATTAACTCTAAAAATACCAGACAGTTCTGCATATTGTCAAAGCAAGGATATACAGTATCTGCAGCGTTGACATTTACATTGTGTGATCTCAACTCCAAGAATGACTTAGAACAGGGGTGTCAAACTGCCAGCCTGTGGGCCGGTTGCATCATGCAGAGGCCGTGCCCACCCCCAGCAATGCGGAAAAAGTCGCGATACATCGCGACACATCATGTGACACGGCGGGTTTGACACCCATGGCTTAGAAGATTCCCGTGCATCTCTCTCAGAACCAATCCAAGTTAAAAGTAACTGAGTTGAGCATGCGGTACAAAGGAACCCATGAAGGCTTCAGCTGACCTGGGTGAATATGCTGCACAAACTCAACCACTATTGTCTTCCTCTCCTTTAGAGTATGATGCCAGGCCCTGGGTATGGGTCACCACAACACCTTCCTGTAAGTACTCCGAAGGGAGCAGCGGGCAAGGATATTCAGGGCTAGCGGTTTTGGGAGAAAAACATGGAGTTAACAAACGCCTCTTTGGATTTCTTTCCCATCAGATGATGACATCCCCAGCAGTCTACCATCCAGTAAGTACAGAGAGATTTTCTAACCATGCTTGTCTCTCCTTATATTAGCCTGAATTTGCGGAACAGGACACAAACCAGGAGGTGGGCCATTTGTGTATGTGTGTACAGGTAGTCCTTGACTTACAACAGTTCATTTCGTGGCCAACCAAAGTTCAACAGCACTGAAAAAAAAAATGACTTGTGACCATTTTTCACACTGACCACCTTTGTAGCATCCTCGTGGTCACGGGACCAAAATTCAGACACTCATAATTACGATGGTTGCAATGTGCCGGGGTCCGGTGAATCTTTGCGACCTTGTGACAAGCAAAGTCAGAGTCACTGAACAGTTGTGTTAGTGACTTAACCACTGCAGTGATTCACTTAACAGCTCTGGCAAGAAAAGTCACAGGATGGATCAAAACTCACTTAACAACTGTCTTGCTTAGCAACAGAAATTTTGGGCTCGGTCGTGGTCATAAGCTGAGGACTGCCTGCTTTCAGGTGGAATTCAGGGAGGCTTATATTTCTTGGTGTTTGGCTTGCAACATGCTCACTGTCCTAAAATTGACCTCAAAATAGAGTTTTCCAATAGTTCTTTTAATCTTGTGTTATTTGCACAAAAAGCAAAGCAAGTGTGCAGCTAAGCTTAATTAATTCCTTTATACCAGGGGTAGTCAACCTTGGCTCTTTTATGACTCGTGGACTTCAACTCCCAGAATTCCTGAGCCAGCACAGCTGGCTCAGGAATTCTGGGAGTTGAAGTCCACGAGTCATAAAAGAGCCAAGGCTGACTATCCCTGCTTTATATTTCTACATATCCTTGTCTAATTTCAAAGTTATCTTACTACAATAAGCCACGCCCAACACGACTGTTCTGGTTACTATGCCCATCAAGGCTACTCAAATAACTACACGCAACAAGGCTGTTTTGGTTACTATGCCGAACAAGGCTGCTCACGTTGCTGTAAGCATTGTTGGCCAAGCTGCCATCTTAATGATTTTGACCACATTCTTCTGAGCAAACAAACCATTTGAACATGTCTTACTTTTGAGGCCAAAAATTAGTTGCCTGGTTGGAAGGAAGAGATGCTTGTAGCCACCAAGGAACGCAGGGAAAATCCATCCAAGGCAAGATCCTGGAAGCTGCCTCCTGCCCCATGAGATGGATCCCCTGGTTGGCAACCCAAGATCAACTAGACTGCAGTTCCCTTGATCCCCAGCTGGCAAGGACAAGAGGCACACAGCTGGATGGGGGGGTACTAAGTGTAACCTGGATTCGTGTCTATTTCAGACAGTGCCCTACACCGGCAACATCCCTGGTGGTCTGGGAGCCAAGAGGACCATCGTAATACGAGGCTCTGTTCCGATGAACTTTAACAGGTCTCGGCTGTCTTTTTTCAGCATGCATTTGGGGGTTCAGGCAGAGGAATGGAATTGTTCTCAGAACTGACTGTCGTTCTTGGAGAAAGGGGTGGGAGGGAATAATCAGATTTCCCTTTATTTAATTCAACTATGCCTGCGTTTTATTCTTTTTTTCCAAGGTTCCACATCAATTTTAAGGCCGGCCAGGATATTGCTCTGCACATTAATCCGCGCATGGGAGAGAAAACAGTCGTGCGGAACAGTTTTCTTAATGGCAGCTGGGGACCCGAGGAGCGGGATCTGCCCTTTAACCCTTTCCAACCTGGGCAGTACTTTGAGGTGAGTTGGCTTTGATTCCAGCACAGAGGGGTCTCGTCAAGAAAGAGGTGAACAAAGTCAACACGGCAGCTACAGCTAGGCAACTGATGGCTGGTTCCTATTTTATCTGGTTCACGGACATATTTCTGGATTCCAGCAAAGAGCTAGACCGGTTGGCTGCTGAGTAGGCAGGCAGTGGGGAGTATAAAGAAGATCTGGTGTGGTGCCTCCAGAGACGGAGGACTCCATCTCCCAGAATTCCCAGCAAGCACAGCCATGAGGAATTGAAATCTGAACCTCTGGAACAGTGGTTCTCAGCCTTTTTAATGCCACGATCCCCAACCGGTTGTAAGTCGAGGACTACTCAACCGGTTGTAAGTCGAGGACTACTCAACTGGTGCAGCACCGTTTGCAGAATGGGACTTTTGGCGGGCTCAGCAGGGCAGAGACAGCCTGGACAATTCCGATTGGCTTTTGAAAGCCAATAGAATTAGACTCTATTCAAGAGAGTCTATTCTATTGGCTTTCCAAAGCCAATAGAATAAAAGGGAGTAGCACAGCTAAGGAAAAGGGGGAAAAAAATGGCGGACTGCGTTGTTTGGCGACCCCCGTGAAATGGTCGTTCGATCCCAAATGGGGTCCCGACCCACAGGTTGAGAACCACTGCTCTGGAAGGATGTTGAGCTGAATACCCCCTCTAGTGGTTAAATGTGGAACTGCCTCTCCAGATAGCCATTCAGAATCCTGGTTTACTTCTCTCCTGGAAAAATTGCATTGCTCTTGGAGCATTAGGGGGGAAGATAAAAAAGGGTGGCAGTCACAACCCCTCATTAATAAAGCTCCACCACTTATGTATTCTGGGTGTCTTCTGATTTTGACGCAGGCTCCAGGACCGAAGTTGATCCAGATGTGCTGTTTCGGCCACACTAACGTCTTTCTTCTCTTCCCAGCTTTCAGTCCGCTGCGGCAACCACCGATTCAAGGTTTATGTCAATGGCCAGCCTTCCTTCAACTACGCCCATCGTTACCACAATTTTCAACAGATCAACACCCTCCAGATCGGTGGAGACGTGGTCCTTTCCTATGTCCAATACTAAGCATGGTGGCGGTGGGGGGGGAAGGTAGCACTGGCAGAGACCCCCCCATTTTCTCTCTTGAAATCTGCCAGGAGACTCAAGAGTCCTGCTGGATTGCTGTAGTCTACATAAAGATTTTAATAAAGATACTTTAATTTGGCTTTTTTGGAACAGCCGTCGATATATAAGCAACAAAATAAAGAGCCACGCCAGACACTGTCGTATCATGTTTAGCTGGCTGCCCTCAGCTGATTAAGCCACTGCAAGCTGCTTTATTTAATTGTTGAATGCATTCTTTAACTCCTGAAAACAAGACTGAAAAAAGGAGGCCCGGAGGCTGTTTGACCCTGATGGGACCAAATTTTGCATCAGCAGCCAAACAAAATGACAACCTGATCTTGCAGATGCCTCAAAGCGAGCAAGCACCACAGTCCCTCACAGCCAGTATTTATACAGATTGTGGATGACGTCACTAGCCTGTGATTGGTTGAATCAGCTTACCTCTGTTTTGGCGGGCTTTCTTTGTCTCTGGGCAGATTTTCCTCCCTCAGGGACACCTGGCGACCAGGAACGTCCAGCATAATGTGGTGCCCCAATATGGCACATCACACCCACACCCACTCAGTTGCACCCACACGCACACCCAGCCACTCCAACTCTACCTGTCTAATTCAGTCTGGTCCATGTCATTTCTGCCTCCCCTGTTATGTCTTTTATATTGCTTCCATCCATTCTTGGAAGGAAAAGGGGGATTTCTCTATTTTTAGACAGTGAATGTCCTGTACGGTAGTTTCAGTTACCTTAACTACTGGGACCACTATATGTCTGGCTTCATCCTATTTGGAACTTTTCAGATGTGGGGAATCTGAGGTTATTTGAAAGGGTTCACATTCTGTGCTACGAGGCTGAGATCATAACCTGGATAGCTTTTCAGTATAAGGTCATATAAAATGCAATTGGGTATGGGTCCAATTCCTGGTAGAGCCGTAAACCTCATTTAATAATATCTGTCTTCCGTGTCTGAAGAATCCCAAATAGCACTTTATAAGGCCTTGATAAGGCCACCCGTGCAATACGGCATCAGTTTTGGTCACCGTGATTCATAAAAAAGATGTTGAGTCTCTGGAAAGAGTGCAGAAAAGAGCAACAAAGATAATCGGGGCTGGAGGATGAAACATGAAGAACGGTTGCAGGAATTGGGTATGTCCAGTTTTATGGAAAGAAGGACCAGGGATGACATGATAGCAGTCTTCCAATATCTAAGGGGCTGCCCCAAAGAAGATGGAGTCAATCTATTCTCCAAAGCACCTGAAGGCAGGACAAGAAACAACGGGTGGAAACTAATCAAGGAGAGAAGCAACCTGGAACTAAGGAGAAACTTCCTGACAATTAACCAGTGGAACAGCCTGCCTCCAAAAGTTGTGAATGCTCACACACTGGTCAGCCCTCTTCCAATGCTTTGTAGACATGGAGCGAGTCATCTCGGTGGGGCAAAATGAACAGCTGTGATTCCATGCAGGGCTGATTAATTATTTTTATCTCATTCACCTCAGAACTGCACTCAAGGTACACTAAAAATAATCTTATAAAAATAATAGGGTGAGTTGTTCCATGTTGCAGTAGGATCAGGCAGATACAGGTGATGGGGCACTGTCAGCCATGTCGTTTCCATCAGTAAATTTGGCTCAATCCTTCTCTTAGCCAATTTTGCATGGAAAAGTTACAGGATGATGTTAGGACACACCTCTGCATTTTAGCTTCAATTTGAGCATGGATAATGGAATGACTATGCATGATGCAATGGAAGCTTATTATTTCCTTGTAAATAAAGTAACAATAGAGGCATTGGGTTTGGGCAATGAGGCCTAAGGATTAAGGTGTTAAAATGTGCCAGTGGAGCTGAATAAACTCTTAGAAGAGCAGCAAGGACAGAAGAGCTGAAGAGCAACGAAGAAGATGCGTCTCCTTTTCATCTTTGCTTTGACTTTTACGCTTTCTGTCCAGCAGGTAAGGCTAAATTTTGTGGGTTGCAACAGCTTGTCAGCTGGGATGCCTGCATAGGAAACCAATAAGTATTTTGTGGAGTTTGTCCCCATGCTTTAATTAACACATTTCTTCATCAAGGGGTTGAAAATTCAGGCAGAGGGCTTTGAAATACTTAGTCTTTTAATGATCAGGAATTCAACTCTTATCAGTGATTCTGAATTCAGGGCGGCATCCTGTTGTCTACACTGAATTTTTCAGGATTCACATTATCATAAGAATCAGAGATAATCTCTTGTTATACCTACTGAATTGGACCAATACAGAAGACTGAAAATTTCTTTGGTTGGTATGAGAAGAGTTTGAGATGAATAGAAATAAGGGATAGGGCAAAATTTAGAGATTCATTGGTACTTAAGCTGTGTATCACGTGGTTATATTACCTGTAAACATCTAAGGGAGCTAACTCTAACCCTGAGGAAGTGTTCTTGTTTTTTTTCCCCAGGATAACAAGGATAATGCTGATGCAGACTCTACAGTAAGTAATAATAATAATAATAATAATAATAATAATAATAATAGTAATAATAATAAAGTTGGAAGGGACCTTGGAGGTCATCTAGTCCAACCCCCTGCTCAGGCAGGAAACCCTATACCATTTCTGACAAATGGCTGTCCAGTTTCTTCTTGAAAACTTCTAGTGTTGGCACATTCATCGCTTCTGGAGGCGGGTTGTTCCACTGGTTAATTGTTCTAACTGTCAGGAAGTTTCTCCTTAGTTCCAGGTTGCTTCTCTCTCTGGTTAGTTTCCATCTGTTGCTTCTTGTGCTGCCTTCTTCTGGTGCTTTGGAGAACAGCTTGACTCCTTCTTCTTTGTGGGCAGCCCCTGAGATATTGGAAGACTGCTATCATGTCCCCCCTCGTCCTTCTCTTCATTAAACTAGACAGACCCAATTCCAGCAACCGTTCCTTATATGTTTTAGCCTCCAGGCCTCTAATCCTCTTTGTTGCTCTTCTCTGTACTCTTTCTAGAGTCTCAACATCATGCTGGATGTCCAGATTCTTTTCCCCTTTGGGGAAATGTCTATCCCCTTTTTTCTCAAAAGAAAAAAAACACACCTCTCAGTAGCATTTAATTTCAGAGAGAAAAATCAGTATAAATCAGTATCAGTGTTAAGTCTGATATCTAGTGATGGAACCGTTGGAGAAGTCATATGCGCTATCATGTGAGAATCACACTGATACTCTTCATTTCCCTTGTAGGAAAATGCCACTGAAATGATGGAAAAAGTTCTAGTAAGTACAGAATACAGAATAACAGACTTGGGAGGGACTTTGTTGCCCATGGCAGGAGACCCTATACCAGTGGTTCTCAACCTGTGGGTCGGGACCCCATTTGGGGTCGAACGACCATTTCATGGGGTCGCCAAACAATGCAGTCCACCATTTTTTCCCCTTTTCCTTAGCTGTGCTCCTCCCTTTTATTCGATTGGCTTTTGAAAGCCAATAGAATAGACTCTCTTGAATAGAGTCTAATTCTATTGGCTTTCAAAAGCCAATAGGAATGGTCCAGGCTGTCTCTGCCCTGCTGAGCCCACCAAAAGTCCCACTCTGCAAACAGTGCTGCACCAGTTGAGTAGTCCTCGACTTACGACCGGTTGAGTAGTCCTCAACTTACGACCGGTTGGGGGTCACGGCATTAAAAAGGTTGAGAACCACTGCCCTATACCATTCCAGACAAATTACTGTCGGTCTCTTAAAAGTCTCCAGTGATGGAGCGTCACTATTTCTGAAGGGATCCAAACACTAATTCATAGATTCTGCCATGAATTTGAGCTCTTTTCGAATAGAAGAGGGGGCCTATGGTGAGTTTTTTTTTTCCTAGTGAAGTGATTCTTAATCTCAGCAACCTGAAGATGTGTGGACTACAATGCCTAATTCCCCAGCCAACAAAGGGAAGTTATTGGAGCCCACCCATTCTAAAGCATGCTGCCTGAATCACCTTTGCAAGTCTATTAAAGGACTAATCGTTTAAATATCTGAAGAAAGAAAGAATAATTTTTTATGAGATATGAAATGGCAGAGATAACATGGGTGGAGAGTCATATATAGTCTCATATGAGAACAGAGGTGATATCCTTTGTTTCCATTGCAGGATGCACTGAGTGAGGAACATACAATGGAAATAATCGTAAGTAGCTCTTTGACTATTTTCTTCCCTTTCATAGTGAAATATCTTCCTTGCATGCAGTCAAGAGACCCTTTGGGGATTACACCCCACCAAAATTTAGCAGGTATATACAAAGTATTCAACTATACCAGGGGTAGGCAACCTTGGCTCTTTTACGACTCGTGGACTTCAACTCCCAGAATTCCTGAGCCAGCACAGCTGGCTCAGGAATTCTGGGAGTTGAAGTCCACGAATCATAAAAGAGCCAAGGTTGCCTATCCCTGAACTATACTAAGGTTATGTATTTAGGAGGATAGTTATCTTGTTTTATGATGAAAGCTATGATACTCATTCTTAAAGAATATCGAACACTTCCACCAACCCCCAAAGTTTTAGGAATGGTTGGAGTGTGTGTTGAGTACTTAAACAAGGGTTTTAGGAGTCAGTATGGCTTACATCTCGTTTGAACCTTTTTTTAAAATCACAAAATGCTCTGAAACTGAGCAGATATTCTTGGAGCAGGTGGAAGAGGAAATAAAATGCTATTGTGGGATCTCAGCACCTCCTTTTCCTCACATGGCTACACTGAAAATCAAGTAGACTGCATGTAGGTGGAGACACAAACCTGCATATTTAATTATGAGTATGTTTCAGATTGGAACCTACTCAGAGGAGGAAGTGGCAGAGAGGATAGAAAACGGGGAGCTACAGGAAACAGAATAAAAAAAAACAACATTCCATCATAAGGATGTCTTACTTGTGGAGATGTATGACTAAAGTGACTCTCAGTTATGGGACGGAATATGGACATGTAGAGCAATGTTCTCAAAACAGCATTGACCCTCAAGTGCCTTGTCTAGTAAAGTTCCTCTTTTCTAACCTTATCAGTTTCCAATGTCATTCCTTGGGTTTCTCAATGCATATAGGAAAATTCAAAAGAGAAACAAAAGGAAAAAGAAGCCTCAGAATACCATTAATTAAAATTGTCTTTTAGAATTAGAATTCTAATTTTAATTTTTAGTATCACATTCTGTTTTGATAAGGAATGTGTTGTTTCCTAAGTAGAGCCAAGCACAAGTTCATGTAAATGATGGATATCTTTCAAATTTGATGTGCTTGCTTTTTTTTTTTTACAGAATGCTTTAAATAAAAAGGATGTTGAAAAATTAACAGTAAGTAGCTCTTTCATGTTCTGCTTTTTTTTTTCTTTTTTGGAGTAATATACTTCTTGCCCGCGATGAAGCACCCTGTGTTATAAGATCCCTGAACCCCAAACCTACTTCATTTGGTTGTGTCTTTTCAGAACTGTCCCAAGGACGTTTTGCCCTGGGAAAGATTATCCTGGACAATTTCTGTCTCTCCCTGTAATGTCTATCATTTTGGTGTGACTCACTGTGTGGTCCAAATGCAGTTTTGGGGTTCAGGGGGTGTATTTCCTCTTCCAGGGTCCGTTTTACCAGGATATGTTGAAGAAGAGAGAAAGAGGGATTTTTCAAAGGATCCCAAAAATTATAATGAAGCCTAAATTTTTCTCTGGATTACTTAATCCACACATTAACACTCTACAAATTTCATGCAACCCTGTTATCTTGGCTACACATTCAGTTGCATAATATATTAATTATTAAGGTGATCAAATAGTCTGCATTTACACAATACAGTAAAACACAAAAAAAGCTAACTAAGATGAAAACTTATCTAAATTTAGGAAGTTGTGCTGATTCAGTCGCCAAGTTATTCTTCGGTCGTGGGACCCCATACAGATAGACCTTGACTTACGACCTCAATATAGCCTGTCCATACTGGGCATAAGTCGTGACAGTCATAAATCGGGTCACCCACATGACTGACCTGGTTTTTTGACTCTTTTTATGATGGTCGTCAAGAACTGCCTCAATCATTAGGGCCGGGTTTTGCTAGAAACTGGAATGTGGTTTTCAACAAAAGGATTGTAAATCAGATTGTAAATTAGAGATTTCATGTCAGCATAGAAGCAATATCTTTTGTTTCATTTGCAGGACTGTATGGAAGATGCGTGTAAAATGGCTGATTTTGTGGTAAATGCTTCCCTTATGAAATATTCTCGTTGCATGTGATCAAGGACCCCGTTTGCGATTCCACTCCCACCCCCAGCAACCATCACCATGTTTCCAGAGCATCAGGAAATACGGTGAAGCTAAAATCCTGCGCCAGTTGTGATAAAGGAGCTTGATGCCTCAAACTCTTTACCCCCTTAAATACCCCCACCCGCCTGCACTTCTGTAAAGCAGGGTGCCCTAAAGTGAGGAAGGGTCGATGGGATTATCCATTATGGTTGTTGTTGCCATTATTCATGTCAGTGATTCTAAATCTTGGCATGTTTAATATGTGTGGGCTTCAACTCCCAGAAGTCCCTAGCCAGCATATAACTGGGGAATTCTGGGAGTTATAGCTGTTATAACCATATAACTCTGGCTCCAAACCCTAACACCACTTCCCTTTGTTTGTCTGAAATGGTGTAGGGTTTCCTGCCTGAGCAGGGGGTTGGACTAGAAGACCTCCAGAGTCCCTTCCAGCTCTGCTATTCTGTTGTTTGCTGTATGTGTCATCAAGGCCCTATGGAAATTATCCTCAGGGGCAATGTTTTACATAGGAAGGGTTCCTATAAGGTTTTTCTCTACTTGTGGTTTTCCCCTCTGCAAAATGCGAAATGCTTCCAACTGGACTGTGAAGTCAAAATTACACTCAAATGGAAGATTGAGTGCTAAAAAGAGGGTTTTCATATTCAGGTTGGGTGATGGCTTCTAGGGAAATTTAGCTACGGCCTGGAGAACAGAGAAGGAGAACAAAATGGTCATTCAACTCTGTGTAAGTAGAATAGGTGAGAAAGACTAGCCCCAGCTCGACTCTCTTGTCCTTAAAAAGGAGAAATGATGGCTTTGGTTGGGCTTTCAAGATTCTGCTACTAAATCCAACAGCAATATAGCAGCTTTCCCGGAATCCCTGCCATGGCTTTCCTTGACCTTGCTTGCCTCAAAGTGATATCAATATCTTCCTTGGCCCTCCCTATAACTCTGGCCCCAAACCCTCCATCAGTTTATTTATTTATTTTTTAAATATTTCTTATTGAATAACAAAAATTAAAAACATTGAACGTGGTAAATCAGATTTGACATACATCATAGTTCATATTCATGTAAGAAAATGTAAGAAAAAAAACTTTACAATAACATCACTCTAATCTCAATCTTAACTTATCTCATTATATTGACTACCATATTTTTTCCCCCACCATCTATAAAATTTATCCCAAATTTGGTAAAAATCCGTTTCATCCTGATTTTTGAGTCTCTTAGTTAACCTATCTAATTCTGCGCAGTGCATAATTTTATGAATTAAGACTTCCTCACTAGGTATAGCCGTAGCTTTCCAATTTTGAGCGAATACAATTCTTGCCGCTGTAACCACACGAGTGAATAAATATATATCTTCTTTACTAACATTATTTTCAAGAATTCCTAACAACAATGTCTCAGGCTTATACTGGATGTTTTGCATACTCATTTCTGTTACCCATTCCCAAACCATACGCCAATATCTCTGTGCTTCCTTACATAGCCACCAAACATGAAAATATGTGCCCTTTTCCTTTTTACATTTCCAACATAATGATGAGTATCCTTTGTACATTTTGGCTAATCTTGCTGGAGGGAGATGCCATCTGTAAATCATCTTATATGAATTTTCTTTGTATCTCCATCAGTTTATTTTAATGGACTACATAGAGCCCACCCAGACGATCCTATCCTGTATTGGCCCAGCGTAGGTATGAAGGAATCAATAAAAGAGAATCATGTTTTTTCTCTTTTCTTGTAGGATCTCATGGAGAAGATATTATACTTTCTTAAGGGACTATCACATGGTGATAAGCCAATATATGACTTGATAGTAAGTAGACACACAAGTTCTCTCATTTCTTTAATGTCTTCTATGTTGTCCGCCTTAGATATGACCAGAGCAGCCCTTTTGAATCTCCCTCCCCCCAAAAGGATCTCCATACATTTCAGGAAGAATTCCACCAGGAAGCTACAAATTCTTGGGAACATTGTTTTGACTATGGTCTGAAGTTGAAAGAATCCAGCTTCACAGGCCTGAGCCAGCTGTCCACCAGTCATAAAAGAGCCAGGGTTGCCCACCCCTGAACTATACTAAGGTTACGTATTTAGGAGGATAGTTATCTTGTTTTACGATGAAAGCTATGATACTCATTCTTAAAGAGTATCGAACACTTCCACCAACCCCCAAAATTTTAGGAATGGCTGGGGTGTGTGTGGAGTACTTAAACAAGGATTGCCTACCCCTGAACTATACTACTAAGGTCTTCCCCCGTGGCTTAGGAGAAAGCTTAAACAAGGATTTCCGGAAACCTTTAGGAGAGCTGCACAATCACTAACCTTTTAAGAAAAAACATCACAAAAACTATTTTCTCACAACATGTCAGAATGCTATTAATTCATGTGTCTTTTAGGCATTATCACTCAAAGGCACAGCTCCTATCTGGAGAATGAAAGATATAGATGAAATTGATGTATAGTATTGAAGTTCTCTGGGATGGTATAGTTACCGATAGTTATCTTTCCTTTGTAGAAGGCACTCATCAAACAGGGCCCTCTGGCTGAATTGGTAGTAAGTAGTTTTGATTTATCCTCTTCTGTTTCTTTCTTTAACTTCTTGCATCTGACCAAGCACCTCTTTTATTTCTCTCCCCCACCCTTACTTAGAGCGACTCCAGAGTCCTGAGAGCACAAAACAAGCAAATAGGATGAAAACATTTGGCTTGTTTTCCCATTTGTTTTTTAAGCAGCTTAAACCAACTTTTGTTTCCATTGCAGAATGAACTGAGTGAGAAACATACATTGGAAATAATTGTAAGTAGCTCTTTGGCCATCTTCTCCCTTTTCCATGGGAAATATTTTCCTTGCACGCAATTGATGTGCTGGTTTCCTTTGCAGAATGCTTTGACTGTAAAAGAAATTGAAAAATTGATGGTAAGTTGATCTGTCTTCATCTTGAAAAGAAAATGAAATGAAAGTGTTTTAGAACCCAATTCACCCATGGGTGCCTGTTTGGCTCTATCAGTCTCTTTTCTGATAAGAAATGCATGTTTCTTATCTTTGGAATGAAGCGATTCATATACATGATATCAAAGATGGTAGAGATGCCATAGTTGGAGAAATCATGTGTGATATCTTTTCAAAATATAAGTATTCTCTTTTGTTTCCCTGTAGAATATAGGTAAAAGTCCAATCAGTATTTTGGCATTAATTGTAAGTATACCTTTGTTCATAATTCTTTGCTATTTTGGAGCAATATTCTTCTTGCACCCCAAAAACACTCCATTTGTTAATTCACACCTCCCAGAAAGCATCTTCGGAGACCCCAGAGCAGAAATAGAGCAGGCAGGGCCAAAACAGTTCATCTGTTTCAACTCTCCATTTGAAAGCAGCTTCAAATGCCTACTATACCCTCTAAAACAGTGGTTCTCAACCTTTTTAATGCCGCGACCCCCAACCGGTCATAAGCCAAGGACTACTCAACTGGTGCAGCACCGTTTGCAAAAGCCAACAGAATAAAAGGGAGTAGCACAGCTAAGGAAAAGGGGGAAAAAATGGCGGACTGCGTTGTTTGGCGACCCCCATGAAATGGTCGTTTGACCCCAAATGGGGTCCCGACCCACAGGTGGAGAAACACTGCTCTAAAACAACAATGACTCTCAAATTAGAGGGACGGGCCCCCTGGGGGCCGAGAAGCCAAGGGAGAAACTTATATTTTGGAATTATCCCAAAGGGATACTTTTTGGATGGGGAAGATTTCTCCAAAGTTACTTTCCCCTGATTGTGTTTTTTCTTTTTTCCTCTGCAAAATGGTAAATGGCCTTTCTGTCAGATGCAATTTTGCTGGTGAGATGTCATTTTCCTTCCCAGAATTAATTTTATCAGAATCTGTTTTGGAAGCTATCTAGAGTTTGTTCTACTTAAAAAGGAGTTTTATAAGATCCTGCTAGTATATAGTCGTTTTCTTGCAAACCCTCTTATAGCCTTCCTGACTTTGGCTACTCAAAGGTTGATGTGGCTTTACGTACCTACTCTGCTGTTGTGAGGCCATTCACACCAACATTCTCTGTGGCCCTCAAGGGCCTACCAGCTTATTTTGGTGGACTGCAGTTGCCCAGACAAAGCCACACATATCATGCACTCCACAAATTATGAAGGAATAGTGCTTTTTTGTTTTTTCTCCTTCCTTATAGTCAGTCGGAAAAAAGATAATACCTATTATCGAGAATGCTAATGATGGAAAAGGAGTATCTAAACTGATAGTAAGTAGATATGCACTTCGATTACATTTTATCTTTTCTATGTTACCCTTCTTAAAGGGGATCACAGTAGCCCTCTTGAGACTCCCTCACCCCACCAAGGATTTACAGGTATTTCAGGAACCATTTCATCCGGAAACTATAAACTCCTGGGAATATTTAAAGGGGAGCATAATTATGACTATTATCAGAATGTGAGAGATTGAAAAACGCAGATGTAATGGGACCTAGAATTCTAGAGCAGCCCCTGTGCTCTGGAACACCTTTCCCCCTGGGATCCAGAGGGTCTCTTGGAATCCACTTTTTTTAACCTTCTAGAAGGCTGGGAAGAGCTTGCTCTTCTCCTGAGCACTGGGAGAAGGTGAGGTTAGAGTCTGAAGATGGTGACGTTGTCTTGAGTTGGAGGATGTTGGTGGCGCCAGGTTTGTCTTGCTTTTTGCTTTTATTTTTTTAAATACTGTTTTGGTTTTGTACCACTCCTGTGAGCCATCTGGAGTTGTGTGCCTTAAGATCCGTGGTCATATCAGTCTTTTAAAGCGATTAACTATATATATATATCTTTGGTTATTCGGGTTTTCTCCCGCGTCAAATTGGAAGTGCCTTGGCGACATTTCGACGAAGTCACATTCATCATCTTCAGGCTGGTGTTTTTGGCTTCGTGCTTCTAGGAGCAATTGCTCCTAGAAGCACGAAGCCGAAAACACCAGTCTGAAGATGATGAATGTGACTTCGTTGAAATGTCGCCAAGACTCTTCCAATTTGACGCGGGAGAAAACCCGAATAACCAAAGACCTACATACAAACACCCGCGAAAACCTCAGAAAACATATATATATACAGAACACACAACTCTTTACAAGAGCTGATTAATCATGTGTGTTTCTGAAAGAAAAAAGTTCCCCTATCCCTTTCCTCATGAAAACAAAATAAACCCTCAAAGGATAGTCTTAATTAATGTGCATCTCACTGGCTCCTATTATTCTATATTAGGATAAGAAAAGTACGTTTCCTATCTGAGGAGTGAGGCTATCAGTATAAAAATACGATACGGATATCTAACGTTGAAGATGGCAGTGACAGCATGGGGAGAGAAGTTGTGTGTTTGGATTATTGGAAAGTAGCCATTTCCTTGGATCACTGCAGTTGTTAAGTCTGTTTGTTGATGTTGCCTATATGTTTTGGTCGCAACGGCTTTATCTACTCTGCTCAAACCAAGTCAATGACATTGATACCCTCTGTGGCCCTCACAGACCCATTCTTGATTTGAACAAACTGTGGTGGCCCAGGCCTGACACACACAAATAGGACACACTGGTACACCATAATGATAAAGGTATCCTTTTGTTTCCATTTTAGAGTACATTCACCGGTGGTGGAGATGGAAACACGGTAAGTAGGTTTTGTTTATTTTCTTCCTTTCATATTGTTCTTTGAACTGAACAAGTAACCATTTAGCTTTATTCCACCACCTAAAACACTGAACTGTCTCACTTTTAGAAAGAACTATGTGTTTCCTCTATTTGGAGAATGCAGCCATTCATATGTCTAGTATCCAGAGATGGAACAGTTAGAGAATTCATCTTGTTATAGTGAAGTTATCACGTGAGCATCAGACTGTTACTCTTCATTTCTTTTGTAGGAAAATAGCAATGATATTTTGGAAAAAATTATGGTAAGCAGTTTGTTGTTTATCTTGGGCTCTTTCCTGGGGTAATTTTAGTCCTTATTATTCAGTTTTCTAAAAATTCTTATTTTTACCAACAATCACCAAATACTAGTTCGTAGATTCTGCCATGAATTGGAGCTCTTTAAATTAAACCTATATCCTTTCTGAATAAAGGAAGGGTCCTATGGAGAGGTTTGTTTTTTTCCTCTAGTGAAGAGTTTGTTAACCTCAACAATCTTAAGATGTGTGGACCACAATGCCTGAATTCCCCAGCCAATAAAGGGAATTTATTAGAGTCTACACATCTTAAAGCATGCAGTCTGGGGAATTCTGGGAGTTGAAGTCCACATAGCTTAAAGTTGCTGAAGGTGAGAAATATATGTGGGAGTTTCTGTCCGTAATGGTTGTGACTTATCTAATATACCTGCCATCAGTTGCAATTTTGCTGGTATGATGGGTTTCATCCCCTCCTTTTCACGGGATTATTTTATTGAGTTCAGGTTTGCAAATCCAGGATGAGAGATTTGTTTCAAACAATCCAATCCAAAATGTTTCATGAAATCAAAGTCTTTAACCCCAAGAGGCACGTATGTCTATTAAAGGACCGATTCTGTTCTCTGTGAAGAGGGAAGAGATTAATCTTTATGATATATGAATTACAGAGATAGCACGGTTGGAGAAGCCACATATGTTCTTAAGTGAGACTAGAACTGATAGCCTTTGTTTCCATTGTAGAATGCACTGAGTGAGGAACATACAATGAAAATAGTTGTAAGTAGCTCTTCGATCATCTTCTCCCTTTTTCATGGGAAATATATTTCTTGCAGGCAACCAGGCAGCCCTTTTTAGATTCAATCCCACCAAAGTTTAGCAGATATACCAAGGTTTTATATTTAGGAAAATAGTTATTTTATGACAAAAGCTCTGATACTCATTCTTAAAAAATATTGCATATTTCCACCCACCCCCAAAATTTGGGGAATGTCTGGGTGTGTGTGTAGAACTTAAATAAGGGTTTTAGGACTTTGAAAAAAGAAGCAATGTGTGTTTTCTAAGTGGAGGAGAGCAGCAATTTATGTAAATGGTGTCTAAAATGGTAGTGATGGCATGGATAGCAAGGTCATGGGTATCTTCTGTTAAATAGAATTTGTTGTGCTTGTTTCTTTTGTAGAATACTTTCAATGCACAGGATGTTGAGAAATTAACAGTAAGTAGCTCTGCTTCATCTTCTGCCTTCTTTTTTTTTTTAGTAATATACTTCCTGCCTGCCATGAAGCATCCCTGTATGATAACAACACTGGCCCCAAACCCAAACCCAGTTATTTTGTTTGTATGTGTGGACACGGCCTTTTCAGAACTGTCCCCAAGGAACACTTTTCCACTGTGAAAGACTGATCTGGACAATTCCTTTCTCTCCCTGTATTCTGATTGATTGATTGATTCCTGCTCCTTTTTGGTGTGACTCATCTGTGTAGTACAAATGCCATTTTGTTGGTCAGGGGATGCATGTCCTCTTTTCCTTTTCCAGGGTCAGTTTTACCAGCAAATGTTATGGAAGGGAGAAAGAGGGATTTTTCACACAATCCCAAAAATTATAATGAAGCCTAAATCTTTCTTTGGGTTACTTAGCCCAGACTTTCAGTGTTGTAGAAATTTCATGGAACTTTCTTATCTTGGCTACAAATATAACTGCATTTCTGGTATTTGCACAATATATTAAATACTAAAGTGATCAGTTTAGGAAGTTGCGCCAATGTTATTTTCTCTTTGGATCACATACAGGTAGTCCTTGACCTACGACTGCAATGGAGTCTGCTCATCATGGGCATACATCGTGCAGTCATAAATCGGGTCACCCACATGAGTGGCCTGGTTTTATGACTTTTTTTTGTGATGGTTGCTAAGAAATGCCTCAGTCATTAGGACCGGGTTTTGCCATAAATTGGAATGGGGTTTTCAGTAAAACTGTCGTAAATGCGGTTAGAGAGGTTGTATGTGATGGGATGTCAGAATAGCAGTAATTCATTTTGTTTTATTTGTAGGACTGTCTAGAAGGCGAGTGTAACATGGCTGTTTCTGTGGTAAATACCTCTTTGCTTATCCTCTGTTCTTCCTTGTGAAATATTCTCCTTGCATGTGATCAAAGACCCCTTTTGTGATTCTACTCCCACCCCCCAACAACCATCACCATTGTCCCCAGAGCATCAGACCGAAATCAAGGCTAAAATCTTGGGCTAGTTTTGAATAAAGCAGCTTGAGGCACCTCGTTACCCCATAAAGTACCCCCACCACCTGCACTGCTGTAAAATAAGGATGCCCTAAATCAGTGGTTCTCAACCTTTTTAATGCCGCGACCCCCCAACCAGTCGTAAGTCGAGGACTACTCAACCGCTGGTAAGTCGAGGACTACTCAACTGGTGCAGCACCGTTTGCAGAATGGGACTTTTGGAGGGCTCAGCAGGGCAGAGACAGCCTGGACAATTCCTATTGGCTTTTGAAAGCCAATAGAATTAGACTCTATTCAAGAGTCTTTCAAAAGCCAATAGAATAAAAGGGAGTAGCACAGCTAAGGAAAAGGGGGGAAAAATGGCGGATTGCATTGTTTGGCGACCCCCGTGAAATGGTCGTTCGACCCCAAATGGGGTCCCGACCCCCAGGTGGAGAACCACTGCCCTAAAGTGAGGAAAGGTCCATGGGATTATCCATTATTGTTGTGGTAGCTATTATTATTCCTAGTACTATTATATCTGCAAGGACGCAACCAAACTCAGAGAGCACCAAGGGAGTATATTTACAACCCAGGATCTTTAACCTAGAAGCTGTCTTGCAATCCACCATCCCAGTGAGCACTTCCCATAAATTAGGATATAGCGAGCTGTAGGACATGCAACAAAGTCATCCCAACTGCCCACTCTGGGAGTCGGGTAGCCCATAAATGTAATGTATTATCTTCATCAAGGTTGTTCTGCTCTGGGTATGTAGAATGGGAAAGGACTCAGTGTAGCTCCAGCTTGACTTTCTTGTCCTTAAAAAAGAGCAATGAAGGCTTTGGATGGGCTTTCAAGATTCTGTTATTATATCCGACAACAATAGAGCAGCTTTCCTGGAAGCCCTGCCAGGGCTTTCCTTGACCTTGATTGCCTCAAAATGTTGATGTGGCTTTTTATACCTTTTCTGATGATGTGAGACCTTTCACATCAATCTCCTCCGGGGTCTTGAAGGACTCACCAGTTTATTTTAATGGACTGCAATGGCCCAGGCAAGACCCACCCAGGTATTTATGTCGTGCACTGGCACAATGTAGTTATGTAGGAATCCATAAAAGAGGATAATATTTTTTTCTCCTTCCTTGTAGGAGATCGTGGAGAAGGTGTTAAACGTTCTTAAGGGACTATCACATGGCGATAAACTGATATATAACTTGATAGTAAGTAGATACACACTTAAATTCTCTCATTTCTTGTAATGTCTTCTATGTTATCCTTCTTAGAGATAATCTGATCAGCCCTCTTGAGCCTCACTCCTCCCAAAGGTTCTTTAGACATTTCAGGAAAAATTTCTAGCAGGAAACTATTAGCTCTTGTGAATATTTAAAGAAAGACATTGTTTTGATTATTGTCATAAGTTGAAGGAGTCCGGCTTATCAAGCCTTCCTTGTGGCTTAGGAGAAAGGCTTAAACGAGGATGTCAGGAAACAATAATGTGTCTTTTAAGAAAAAAAACCCGCAAAAACTCTTTGCTCACAATAACCGGTCTCAGATTGCTGTTGATTCATGTGTCTTTTAGGCTTTATCACTCAATCTATGATTAGAAAGGCACAGCTCCTATCTGGAAAATGGATACATAGATGAAATTGATGTATGGTATTGAAGTTATCTGTGATAGTAGAGTTATAGTTAGTAATAGTTATAATAGAACTGATCCCCTTCGTTTCCTTTGTAGAAAACATTCTTCAAACATGGTCCTCTGATTGAATTGGTGGTAAGTAGTTTTGACTTATAAAGAAATTCATTTTTATGGCATATGAAATGGCAGAGATAGCATGGTTGGAGAAGTCATAGATCTTCTCATGTGAGAACAGAGTTGATACCCTTTGTTTCCATTGCAGAATGAACTGAGGGAGGAACATGCATTGGAAATAATTGTAAGTAGCTCTTTGACCAGCTGAAGTTGCCGGAACCTTGGGCGAAAGTGACCATGTCATAATGGAATTTAACATAACACAAACACTAGCAACAGAAAACAATCCAACCAGGGTCTTGAACTTCAAAAGAGCTGATTTTAACAAACTCAGAGAGAACCTAGGAAAGATCCCATGGATGAAAATCCTAAAGGGGAAAACAACCCAAGAAGCTTGGGAAACTCTGAAAAATGCGATCATAAAAGCCCAGACCAGCACAATACCACTGAAAAAGAAAAAAACAAGAAATTCAAGAAGAAACCAGCATGGCTGCACAAAGATCTCTCTGACAAACTAAAAGGACAAAAACAAAAAATGGAAAAAGGGGCACATAAAAGAAGCCTCTGAACACTGTTAATTCAAATGTTTTTTTTTAGACTAAGCACTCTCTATTGTGATAAGAAATGTGTGTTTCCTAACTGGAGGAAGCAGCAATTCATGTAAATGTTATCCAAGATGGTAGTGATGGCATGGGTGTCTTTGAGTCAGAATAGAACTTGATATGTTTGTTTCTTTTGTAGAATGCTTTGAATGGAAAAGATATCGAAAAATTAATGGTAAGTACTCCTTTCTTCATCTTCTGCCATTTGTGGAGTGATATTTTTCTTGCACGTGATGAAGCCTCCCTTTCGTGATTCCGGCCCTGCCAGAAAGGAATTCACTGAATTCTTTGGGCAGATTTTGGTTAAGAGAAAGTGGAAGAATATTGAAAAGATACTGAAACAAAATATCGTATGTACCTTTTTGGCCCTTATCAGAATCTGTTCTGATAAGAAATGCATCAGTCATCTATCAAACGAAGTGGTTCCCATAAATATCAAAGACTGTAGCGATGGCATAGTTGGAGAAATCATGTGTGATATCTTTTCAAAATAAAAGTAATACCTGTTGTTTCCCTTACAGAATATAGATAAAGGTGAAGTTAAAATTTTTGAGTTAATAGTAAGTAGATTTTTTTTTTCATATTCTGTGCTTTCTTTGAATAATATTCTTCTTGCATGCCACAAAACATCCCTCTTACCAGTTTCATTTGAAGCAGCTTTAAATACCTATTATACCCCCTAAAACAACACCGACTCCCAAACTGGAGTGATGGTCCCCCTGGCTGCTGAATAGCCAAGGCAGAAACTTATATTTTGGAACTGTCCCCAAGGGAGACTTTTGGGATGAGGAGGGTTTCTCCAAAGTTATTTTCCCTTACTTACGGTTTTTCTCTCTGCAAAAGGATAAATTGTTGGCTCAAATGGTCTTTCTGACAGATGCAATTTTGCTAGCGAGATGTCTTTTCTCATTTTCCTTCCCAGGATTAATTTTATCAGAGTTCGTTTTGCAAAGCCAGTTTGACTCTAGTCTCCTTGAAAAAGACTAATGAAGTTTTGGACAGGCTCCCAAGATTTTGCTAATATATCTTATAGTATTTTTCCTGCAACCCCAACCATTTCCTTGACTTTGCCTACCTTGAAGGGGTGTAATGTGACTTTACATACCCATCTGATATTGTGAGTTCATTCACATCAAATCCTCCGTAATCCTTAAGGACTCACCAGTTTATTTTAGTGGGCTGCAGTGGCCCAGGCACGTCCACCCATATCATGCACTGGCACAAATTATGAAAGAATCCGTAATACTTTTTCTTCTTCTTCCTTATAGCCAATCGGAAAAAAGATAATATCTATTATCAAAAAAGCTAATGGTGGCAAAGGACCGTCTAAACTGATAGTAAGTAGATACACACTTAACGTGTCTCATTTCTTCTATGTTTTCAATGTTATCCTTCTGAAATATGACCACAGTAGCCCTCTGGAGACTCATCCCCCCTCCCCTGTCACACCATAATTATAAAGGTATACCTTTGTTTTTCCATTTTAGAGTATGTTCACGGATGATGAAGATGGAAAAAGTGTACGTAGCTTCTGATTATTTTCTGCCATTGCTTTCTTTTCTATTCTTCTTTAATCGGAACAAGGACACTTTTTATCTTTATTCGGCCTAAACCAAAAGCATCTCCAGACTCCCCAGCCCAGGGCATCATCACAGCCGGAAGAGCCCAACTATTTGGCCTGTTTGTAACCTTCCTTTTCAATAATTGATTTCTTCAAAATGAGAGGATTTAGATCTCAGCCAAAGGATGCCCATGTGGGGAAGATGGCAAGGCATGAGAATTGGATCAGCAAGGAAGTAATTTCACAATTTACGTGATTATACTGGCGCATAGGTGGCTTTATTTTTTTCAATTACCAAGTTTGAAATGGAAAAGAATCAGTCCACGTTATCAAAAACGGGCACATTTCTGCCGGTGAATAAAAGATACTTGTGAAAATGGGTGCAAAATCAAAGATGACAGCGATCATATAATTATAAGTAGTGACTGCTATCATATGAGATTAGAACTGATTGCTTCTGACTCCCCTTTAGAGCATGATATGGAGTGCTGGCAGGGGTGGATTACTGGAAAATAGCATCTTCATTAGATCCTAGCCGTATTACTTCCTTGTTGTTGCCCGTTTCTAGTGGTTGGCATGGCTTTGCCTCCTTGGACCATGTCATGCTATTCCCATCTTCTATTCTCTTATGGGTGGCACAGTGCTTAGAATGCAGCATTGCAGGCTAACTCTGCCCACAGCCTGGAGTTCAATCCTGATGGGGCTCAAGATTGACTCAGCCTTCCATCCTTCTGAGGCCAGTAAAATGAGGACCCAGATTGTTGGGGGCAACAGGCTGACTCTGTAAACCACTTAGAGAGGGCTGTAAAGCACGGAGAAGCGGTATAGAAGTCTCAGTGCTATTGTATTCTTTTTCTTCGTTTCATTGTTGGGGTTTGTCTAAATTGAATAAATTAAATGACAATAATATACTTTGCAGGCCTCAAAGCCCCCCTTCATTTTATTTATATAAAGCACAGTAATTCAGGTATGACCCACCCATTGCTCAAAACAAAAAATACATCCAAAGGGATCTATAACACAGGATGACTGCTTTTTCTCCTTCTTGCAAAAGGAGAACCAGACAGCAGCTGCAGTTCTGGTGCTACTCCACGCCTTCCTGTCCCTACCATGTTGGGGGGATTAATCCTTAGCAGAGGTCCTCCCAGGTGGTCTTGGTTTGACTTGGAAGCCAAATGGAAAGGCTGATATAAGGCAGGGGTTTGTGGTTGGCTGGCTCAAAATCAAAGCTGTGTTTTGCAGCAAAGTCATTGATTTGGTTCACCATTTTCTGTCTTCCAGGCTCTCCCTTATTATCAACCTCTCCCTGGCGGACTCCATCCTGGGATGTCTGTGTATATGCAAGGCCTTGTGCCCGAAGACAGCAACAGGTAAGGGTCCTTTGTGGGCTCACAGAAGGGGCAAGAAGCTACCTTCCTCAAAATAATAATCATAGGATTATTATGCTGGATTATACTATCCAAATTGCGTGCCAAGATTAAAGCCTTCCTTAATTCTTTGGAGAGTGCCATCTCCTGTTTTTTTCCAGCTCCAGGTAAGCCATGAGGGCTAAGAACTTGATTCTTCACTTAAACCAACAAACCAGCATCCTACAGATTCTAGCTTCAAGGCAAAGGAGAAGGAGGGGGCAGAACTGTACTCTGAGATTGCTGCACTTAATTTTCTGTTTGTCTCTTCTTCCCTCTCTTCCAGAACCTGGGTGAACTTCCAGGTGGACTTTGCCTGTGGCCAGCATAATGGGGCTGATGTTCCCCTCCACTTCAGGTCTCACATTAATGCAGAGACAGTTGGGCTGAACACATTTCAGGCAGGCAGGTGGAGAAAGGAAGACACACACACACATCCCTTCCAGAAGGGCGAGCATTTCGAGGTCATCTTCATGGTCAATGACTTTGGATACCAGGTTGGTACACCTGACAGAGGCTCTTTGGGACTGCCTCCCCAAATTCACCATTTGCCTGGAATGAACCGTAAATGTATTTAATACCAACTTTCCCAACTTCATATCTTCCAGTGGAGTTTAAGCGATGTTCAAATAGTTCTCATTTAGTACCCACTGGCACAAGCAATTGATGCACATGCTGAGTGAAACCGTGACCGTGTTTATGATCAGACATCAGCTTTTCTTTACGTTATAGTCCTGCGAAGGCTGTATATGCAAGCATGGGTCGCAAAGTTACTATTTTATCACTGTCCTAACTGCAAAGAGTCACTAAACAAGGATGGTCTGCAACTGAAGGGAAAACCATTTGATCTGGAGGGAAAAATGGGTAGCATTGAAATAAAGTCCTCTCCCTTTTTACATGTACACATTTTGATCTTTTTGACCCCCTTTAAGCACTCCCTTGCTCAGCTTTTCTTTATTGCAAAGAAAATGGATGATCCCAATTGAGCATTGATTCCTTTGGCTCACCTTCTAACAGGTCCTGGCGAATGGGACGTTCTTCTGCAACTATAGGCACAGAATCCCCCCACAAAACGTGCAGGTCATCAGGATTGATGGAGACCTGGAACTGCAATCTCTGACCGTGATTGGAGGACCAGTGATGGTAGGTATTTGCTATTGACAAGTCTGGCACCTCCTGATCCTTGATCCCTCTTTGGGGATTGATTGTGAGTTAGTTCAATCCCTAAGCTGTCGCTTTCTCTTTCTCCTCTCCTGCCATTCTTCTTGCAGTTGCAGTGGGCTGGTTTGAAGGTCAAAGTTATGTTCTGCAATAAAGTCATTGGTTCATCATTTTCTATCTTCCAGACTCTCCCTTACCATCATTCTGTCCCTGGTGGACTCCATGCTGGGATGTCTGTATATGTACAAGGCAAAGTGCCCAAACGTGCCAACAGGTAATGTGTTTGGGGGGGGGGGGCTCACAGGAAGGGCGAGAACCTACCTTGCTCAAAACCATAATGATAAGATTATCATGTTGTTAACGGAAGGTTAAATAATTCTATGCCAAGATTAAAGTCTTCCTTAATTCTTTGGATAGTTCTACTTCCTGCTTCTTCCAACTCCAACTAAGCCATGAATGGCTAGGAACTTGATTCTTCTCTTCAAGAAAAAACCCAGCCCCCTATAGATTCTCTACTCTTCAGGGCAAAGGAGAAGGGGGCCATTGAGAACGCTGTTCTAAGTTTCCTGCACCTCTCATTTAATATTCTTCTTCTCTTTTCCCCTCTCTCTTCCAGTTTCAAGGTGGACTTTGCCTGTGGCAAATTTTTAGAGGCCCACATTCTCCTCCACTTCAACCCTCGCTTTGGTCAGGAGAGCGTTGTGCTCAACACATTGCGGTATTGGTCCGGAGGGTGGGGAAAGGAAGAGAAACACAAGAATCCCTTCCAAAAGGGCGAGCATTTTGAGATTATCTTCATAGTTGATGAGGCCAAATACCAGGTAGGTACAAGTGACAGAGGCTCCTTTGGGACTGCGTGGGGCCTCTTCATCCCCCCCCCCCAACCACCAACCCCTGAATTCACCATTTGTCTGGAATGAACCACAAATGTATTTAATACGGACTTTCTCAATGTCATCTCTTCCAGATACGGTTTAAGTGATGTGCAAGCAGTCCTTGTTCAGCGATAGTGGGGCTAGCAACTTAGTCATTAATGGGGTCAAAAATATGACTGTTTTTGATTAGACCAGCTTTTCTTTGCTTTGTAGTCTTGTGAAGGTTGTAGATGCCAGGACTAGTTGCAAAGTTACTATTTCATCAGTGCCCTAATTGCTAACAGTCACTAAATGAGGATGACCTGCTGCAGAATGGAAAAACATTTGATCCAGGGGGGGAAAAAAAAAACCCAGATGCCAGTGGAATGAAGGACTCTCTGTTTTTACATGTACTCATTTTAACCCTTTTGATCCCCTCAGTGACTCTGCTCAGCTTCGGGGTGGGATGTGTTCCTGGCAAAAATAAATAGGTTTTTCATGCAAAGAAAATGGATGATCCCAATTGAGACTTTTTTTTATTAAAAGTTTTACAAATTACAATATAAACCCACCCATCCCCTTCCCCCCTCCCTCACTTCCCAGAGCTGATTACAGGGTAACATAAACCAACTAAACTATCAATCAAAACCATAATACACTTTAACTCCTTCTCAAAACAAATATTAACAAATTAAGACAAAAATAATAATACCATTAATACTATTAATAATTATCTAAAATATATTCAAAAGCAAGATAATACTTTTCAGTTTCATACTTCTTCTGAATATAATCAATCCATCTTCTCCAAACCATAATATATCTTTCTTGTGAATGGTCCTTCAAATAGGCGGAGATTTTCGCCATTTCTGCTAAATTAGACACTTTAAGTATCAGATCCCAATTGAGACTTGATTGCTTCTGCTTTGCCCAATGCCAGATCCTGGTGAACGGGAACCCCTTCTGCAACTACAAGCACAGAATTCCCCCTGAATTTGTAAACTTCATTAACTTTCCAGAAAACCTGGAGTTGCAATCTCTGACCGTGATGGGAGGACAAATATTGGAGAACATGGTAAGTGTTTTGCTATCAACAAGTCAGCACCTCCTGATCCCCTTTTAGGAATAAATACTGAGTTGGTTCAATCCCCAAGATGTCACTTTCTGTTTCTTCCCTCCAGTCATTCTTCTGGTACATTTTTCTTAAGAATTGTGGCCTCTCTTGGTCCTCAGTTATCTTGCCTTACAACTCTGCATGCAAGCAAAAAATAAATTAAAAAATAAATCCTACAGCTAGATTAGGACCAACGACTGCACAAGGAGCAAATTTACCCCACGCCAAGGCCCTGCTCTTCCCTCTTCATAACCTGGCAATTTTATGATGTGGGGTCTCAACTCCCAGAATGGCTTAGCAGACACCCAACACATCTTTATTAACAAACAGGAACAACCAGGAATTTTGTAGTGGCTGAATACGGCAACTTGCTTCTTCAGTCAGAAGATGAGAAGTCTGTCACATGTGCTTTCTCCACTGAAGAGCCCGACTCTGAGATACGGAGTGATAACCTTCTGAGAAACATCCACAAAAGATAGTTGACCCAAGGCCACAGTCTAATTTTTGGCTTCATGCAAATACCTTTCTACATTTTTGTACAGCAAAGGGAACAATCCCCAATTGTGTCTTAAGAGCTGAGTTCAATTGCTTGTCCTACTGCAGGCTTCAGACACACACACACACACACACATCATCATCATCTTAGGTGAACTATATACGGGACACCACAAAAAAGGGGGGGCAGAGGGCAGAGGGCAAGGACATGCACGGCTAGGGAGAAAAACATGGAGTTTGTAACAGCCTCTTTTGATTTCTCTCCCACCAGGTGTTGACAGGCTCTGCATTCTACTACCCAGTAAGTATCAAAAGACTTGCTAACTCAGCCTGTCTCACCTGGTTTGGTTCACCAAGCCTATAAAATCACACAGAAGGGGGGGGGGAGTAACAGAGTTCAGAATATTTAATGGAAAATTAGCTTCTTTATGGTTAAGAAGGGGGGGTAGTATTAGTCCCTTTCCCCCATGTTAAAATCTGCCCAAGGAAACCAGCTCTTAGAACCAAGGTTTATGATTTGATCTATAAACTCAGTCTGTTGTGATGCATCAGCCAGGGGCTTTCACGGGGGTTTGATAAATGAAATTCAGCAGACATGCCAACACCACCACAACCCTATTTCTTGTGTTCGTTGCACATTGCTTTGGTGGTTCTGCCCAGATGGCCATCTTCACGCACACACACACACACACACACACACACACTGTGGACAGCCTACTGAGCAAACAAACGCTTGAACCCAGCTGGTGTCTCGCTTTTGAGGCCAAAAATTACTTTCCTGGTCCAAGGCAGTGATGCTTGTAACCACAAGGAATGCAGGAAAAGAGAAGATCCGAGTCAAGATCTCACACGTTGGTTGCCTCCTGTCAAGTTTTGGGTCTCCTGTTTGGCACTCAAAGACCTGCTGGACCGCAACCAGCTTAACCCCCAGCTATCAGGGAGAAGAGCTGCACGGTCGGAGGGGGCGTGAAGTGTAACCTGGAATCTTGCCTATTTCAGCCGGTGCCCTACACGGGCAACCTTCCTGGAGGTCTGGCATCCAAGAGGACCATCACAATACGAGGCTTTATTCCAAAGAACGCTAGCAGGTTTGGGGTCTCTTTTTTGGGGAGGGCTCCAGTTTGGGTTTGGCACAGCAAAACGCCGTGTTAAGGCTTGTCATAGACCAGTGTTTCTCAACCTTGACAATTTTAAGGCATGTGGACTTCAACTCCCAGAATTCCACAGCCAGCAATGCTGGCTGTGGAATTCTGGGAGTTGAAGTCCACATGCCTTAAAATTGTCAAGGTTGAGAAACACTGTCATAGACCTTTCCCGGTTGATCTCCTTTCTCTGACTGTCTCATTCTCCTCTGCACATCCGCAGTGTCAGCCCAGAGAACAAGGAGGCTAAGGGGAATGGAAGCAAATTCCACATGTAGGCTGTGGAACTCACTGCCAGAAGAAGAAACAAGGGGTGTTAGCTGCGGGGAGAGTTCCCCAAAAAGGGACATCTGAAAGGTCGTGAAAGGACTGACAAATTGTTTAGGGAATTCTGGCTAAGGAGGTGGCTGTAAAGAATGATTAGGACCTGAACCGTCCATTAAGCATTAATTTTATAGGAGTTGTATACCTTGAAATAATAAACAATACAATAGAAAAAAAAAAGCAGGACCAGCTCTTCTTCACCAGAAGAATGCTAATCATTACTGGACTGCTGCTGAATATGCATTTTTTTCGTATGTGTTTGTCTCATTTATCGCTCATTAAGAGTTGGTTTGATTGTGGCAGAACATAAAAGTAATGAATAAATACCTGAAATGATAAACAGAAGTTAAACATTCAGCAACAGTCTACCAATAAATAATATTTAAAAAGAGGAACAAGAGCGGGGTTTTTTTTTTTTCTTTTAACTTTCACCCATGGAGGATCTATCAGGCTGCTACTGGATTAAGGGGCAGAGCGGAATCAAATTTCCTTTTACTTATGCTAAGGTCTAATCTTCAATGCCTGCTTTTTTCTCTCTTTCTAAGGTTCGAAATCGATTTAATGGCTGGCCGGAATATCGTTCTGCACATTAATCCACACATGAAACCAAGGAGATACGTGGTGCGCAACGCTTGTCTGAATGGCAGTTGGGGAGCGGAGGAAAGTGATCTGCCCTTTAACCCTTTCCAATTTGGGCAATACTTTGAGGTGAGTTGAGCAATTCCAGCAGGAACGGATATCAACAGGGAGGAGATCACAAAAGCCAATATGGCAGCCACAGCTGTTCAACTGATGTTACTGCCCCTTGTTTTGATTGGCCGACAAGACAAGCAGGCAGGCAGTGGGGAGGGGAGAGAAGACCCCGCAGGTGCCTTCCAGAAGTGTAAGACTCCATTCCCCATAATTCCCAGCTAGCACAGCTTTCAGGAGTTGAAATCTGAACCTCTCGTGGAGAAGAGCGGAATTGCCTCGTCAAGAAAATTATTCCTGCCTTGCCCTTGGGGTTTTTTGGGAAGGGGAGAAAACAGTTGCAATCCTCCCCCCCTGAAACTCCACCCTTTACGAATTGGCCCTGTGGTTTGATTTGGGGGCAAGCTGCGGATGGCGTGGACGGCAGACCCCCCCTGCCTGGAGGATCCAAGGTGATCCAGATGTGCTGATTTGCCAGACTAATATCCTTCCCCTCTTCCCAGATCTCAATCTGCTGTGACAGTCACAAGTTCAAGGTTTATACCAATGGCCGCCACCTGTTCAACTTTGCTCATCGTTATGCCGCTATTGGACAGACCCGCACTATCAATATCCAAGGAGATGTGGCCCTTTCCTACATCAACTACTAAACAATGGCGGGGGAGAAAGAGATTAGTAGTGGTGCACTCACTCTTCTCTCTCTCTCTCAGTCTGCCAGTAGCTTCGAATCCTGCTGAATTTGAGTGGTCTATAAGTTCCAGTAAATCAATCAATCAATCAATCTGAGAAGTCTCAATTGAGAATATTAAGCAGCATTTTCAATAAAAGCTTCTTGATCAAGCAATGCAACAGGCTTACTTTTCTGCCTTCTGAATTTGATCTGTCGATGATACAAAGCATTTTTTAAGTTGGTGCCCTCCAGATGTGTGAGAGCAACATTTCTCAAACTTGGCCAATTTAAGAGGTATGGATTTTAACTTCCAGATATCCCAACCCCTTACTAGATCCTGATCCATTTTATGGCTTTGTATAATCCACACATTTCTGGGTGCATGGATTGAGAATGGACCTTTTTCAAAGGGGAAAACAGTTTCCCTACTTTCCTAAAGCCTAGAACAGTGATGGCGAACCTTTTAGAGACCAAGTGCCCAAACTGCAACCCAAACCCACTTATGTATCGTCGGGTGCCGGGTGGGTGTGGCCCATTGGCTGAGCGTGGCTGGGGTAGTAATGGCAGACTGGGTGGGACTAAAAAGTTCAATCAATCAATTCCAACTTTGCAAGATTTTTTTTCCCCGCGAGAAGTTGAAATTGACATTGATTGAACCTTTTTTTTTTTTTTGCACATGGTAGGCGAGGCCTAAAGCGAAAAGGTTTTATAAACCCAGCTGAAGGCCTAGGACTGGGGCTGAGGAATTCTGAGAGTTGAAGTCCACAAGTCATCAAAGGGCCAAGTTTGAAGACCCCTGACATAAAGGGTTAACAGATCTGTATGTTGATCTATCATTATTCGCAGGGGGGGTCGTGGTGTGTGTGTAAAAGGACCCGATTTTAAATGCTGACCATCTCTTGTTTTTACTTCCATCAAAATGCTCAGAGTGTCTTTGGACATGTGCAATGTCTTAACCGTTTATAATATATATATATTTTCATATATATAAAAGCTCCAAAAATGCAGAGGAAATGGCAGGCGCTCTCTGAGTCCCACCAGGCTGTCCCAGTTCACACCTTCTTTAAATCAAGTCAGATAGAAAACTCAGTAGAAATGGTTTCATAACAAAATAAATACATTTCAATCAGAAAGATTGCAAAGGTTACTTGCATTCGTGCTGTGTTGTTACTGCTGGAAATTACATCTTTTATCCATTCCTATAGGTAAAAGAATGATGCTCTCTTCCATACCATCTTTATAACGGAACAGGCTCATCGGGTGACATCTGATGGCCCATGCTTCTTTCAGACAAAGACATTCTAATCTGGCTTGTATCCAGGAAGTCTCCCAATGCCCTAGAAACTCTTCCCACTGACATACTGATACATGCTCTCTAGTTAGGGTTATATAGAGCTATACGAGGTTACATAGAGCTATATGATGCAGAATAGTAACATTGCCGTACACTAAATAAAATAAAAACCACCTCTATCACCTACTTTCTGACAGTAAATATTTTAATTGATAAATTGTCTCTCATGGGGAAAGATAGGAGCTGACTTGAAAATACGCAATGAATTCATAACTAAGTTACTGATAGTTGTGTACAACTCAAAAGCACATTTAGATTAAAAAACACTCAACATAAAAGAATCCTGTTTATAGCAGTAACAGCATAACTAGAGTTTGTCCAGATCCAGCAACTCCAAAGAGCAACTGCTGTTAATACAATATTTGTCTACTTTTCTGAAAACGGTCAGAATTATACTCCCCTAATCAGAAAAGCCCATTTGCCCGCTGGGACCAACCAGAGAAGTTTATCACTAGAGGAGAGATTTGCTCAGATCTCTGCACATGTTGTGGTGCACATGCAACTGACTCGTGATGAATCTTTGAAGAAAGACATTAGTGATCTTAGAAAAGACATTCATAGCCGGGTTAATGTCTCTTTCTGCCAGAGGGCATTCAAGCCCTAATAGACTGCCTGAAGCAAATGACACAGGCTTAGCTAGGAAAATTACCGACCCATATTTCTGAACCGAGCAATTCTTTGCATTTCGTTATTTCACACGTGCACGCACGTCATGTAGGAATTTCGTCTGCCACAGAATCAAGGTCGGAAGGATGTTATTGTGCGGAAGATGACCCTCATAGTTCAAAGAGTTACTTTCACAAGGCTGTGCAACCTATGGCCTGGTAAGTTTTGAACTTCTTGCTCATGAATAAAACATTGTCTTCTACCTGATTTCTCAACACTCGTCAATAAACCTATGCTCTGAATCATCCAGGGATCATAGCCTGGTGATGAAAAAAAAAACGGCTCTCCTGAAATAACTTGGATCTAATCCTTCTAGGATTCCTTCTGATTAGCATAAATCCTCCCTTCAGGCTAGTGCCATCTGCCAGGTTTGGTCATAAAAGTCAAAATGATGCCTGCTACTATAGGATCGAAGCCTCACCTTTTCACATGAGGCATCTCCAAAAGGGGTGAGGCTTCAAATGGCTCCAGCTTCCATAACCTGTCTGTGGGTCTACAGCAGTGGTTCTCAACCTTTTTAATGCCGTGACCCCCAACCGGTCGTAAGTCGAGGACTACTCAACCGGTCGTAAGTCGAGGACTACTCAACTGATGCAGCACCGTTTGCAGAACGGGACTTTTGGCGGGCTCAGCAGGGCAGAGACAGCCTGGACAATTCCTATTGGCTTTTGAAAGCCAATAGAATTAGACTCTATTCAAGAGAATCTATTCTATTGGCTTTCAAAAGCCAATAGAATAAAAGGGAGTAGCACAGCTAAGGAAAAGGGGGGGGGGAAATGGCGGACTGTGTTGTTTAGCGATCCCCGTGAAATGGTCGTTCGACCCCAAATGGGGTCCCGACCCACAGGTTGAGAACCACTGGTCTACAGTCTCCCCAACATTGCCAAAACCATCATGCAGAAACAAAAAAATTAAGATCCCTAAATTCCAAGGACAACCAAATCCCATTGGCACTGGAAGCAGAAAAACCAGTTTCCTGAGTCAAAATCTCATTTCCTAGCCTAGCAGGGGAAAAAAAAACCATAGCCAAACTACTTTGTTAAGAATCTACTGCTCCTTCCACACCAAACTAAAAGAGCGCCCTGCTGCAGCTTCTGCCCTGTCTCTTTGCAGGACTGGCCCACCTGGCTCTGCCTCAGCCTGCATTGCCCTCCCTCCCACTCTGGTCGTCTCTGATTTGAAGTTTCCCTGATTGCCCAACCTTTGGTTTTTCTCCATCAGGAGCTGCAGATGCCTTGTGGGCATCAGGTCACAGCTGCAGGCGTGATGTCACCCTTCTGAGGAGGCCTGACTCAGCGTGCCCTGATGGGCGTGGGCAGGGCTGCTGCAGGGAAGATGCTTGGGCTAGTCCCGGACATCTATAAAGAGGCCAGGCTGCACCGCCAGGCTGCCTCCAGCCCGGCGCCGTAGAGATGGCAATAGAATTCGAGACTTTTGTAAGTAGCACAACCGTTACGATTAATGGAGCAGTTTCAGTTTGTGTGTTGCCTTGCTGGGGGAGGCAGGGAGAGGGACAGGGATGTCACCATTCATGGCTGTGTTCAGGGATATCTTCAGGGGATGGTCCAAAAAGTCAAGATGGCGGCCACAATGGTACAATTGAAACAATATGCAATGCAGAGGCTGTGTGGGGTTGACATGATCAGATTCCATGATGGGTTATAGAACGCATCAACTTTTCAATAAACCAGGATAACACCTTAATCTCACCTTAGCATAAACCTGAAGCTGGTCCAAGAAACAGACCCATGGTAGCTTCTCATCTGATCTCCACAGAACTTGGATTTCAAGGCCATTATCCCCATCTTGTATTTGCTAGAAAGGAGGGAGTGCATTTTTTCCCCCCTAAACATTCACATTTTCCAAACATTTCCTAGCCCAACCTGGGCAGACAGAAACTGTCCTTGGGGCCAATTGTGTCCCCATGTACACTTTACATCCCTCAACCTCCACCTGGAGCAAAGACGGAGAGCCATTCGCCACCTTGTGCAATGCTGGGCGTACCTGGGGGCCTCTAGGTCAAATGAGGAGCAGGATGCTTTAAAAAGAGAGATGCAAAACCAGACCAAACCCATGCTTCGGGGAATTTGAAACAGAGTTGTGGACGGATCCCTTTTCTCTCACCCAGAGAAACCTCTGGCCATTCAGGGGGCTGCAAAAGGTCCAAAATCCCATCCATTCGGGGACAGGCCAGGCAGGGGCAGCTTTGCAGGACCCAGCGGCCAGTGGCCTGACTTTGCATTGGGAGGATAGAAGTTTGGGCTGAACTCTGCATTCTTCTGGCCCGTTCTGGCCTCTTTTCCACCAAAAGCACGAATGCAAGGCATCTGCCAACCGGTTCCGAGACCGGTTTGTCCTCTCGGGCGAGTGGAAGTCCTGCCCGCCGTGGCTGCATTCCAGGACTACGTTTCCCAGCATCCCTACAGCTGCAGGCCGGAAACTCCAAGGTGAGCTCCACAGTCACCATCCAAAGTCGCCCTATGAGGGAGACAAAAAAAGGACACGTAAATAAATGATATTTCTGAAGTGGAGTTTCTCACCCTTGCTGCCTGGGAGTTGAAGTCCACACCCCTTACTGGAGGAAACTCTGTTCGAAAGCTTTGGGCGGTTGTAAAGCTGGCCGGTTCCTGAGCCAGCATAAAAACGGCTGGGAATCTTATTTTGAACTCCATTTCTGCACGGAGACCAAAAATTGCCCCCAGACCTGAAGCCTCAAAAGAAGCAAGCGCCGCATTCCCTCACAACTGGTATTTATATGGCGTGTAGATGACGTCAGCGGCCTGTGATTGGTCAAATCTATTTACCTCAGTTTTGGCGGGCTTTCTCCGTCTCTGGGCGAATTTTCCTCGCTCCCTCACTCTAGCACAGGGGTCTTCAAACTTGGCCCTTTGATGACTTGTGGACTTCAACTTCCAGAATTCCTCAGCCAGCGTGCCTGGCTGAGGAATTCTGGGAGCTGAAGTCCACAAGTCATCAAAGGGCCAAGTTTGAAGACCCCTGCTCTAGCAGCTTCTTGTGGTGCCTCAAACATGGGTGTGATTGTGCCCACCACGACCACACTTACGTTCAGACCCATCCACCCCTGACTGCCATGTACCAGCACTTGGCACACTGTTACACGCTCATGTTTACCTTTGTAAACAGGGGGGGAAAAGTGAAAAGGACGATTTGGGGTTTGTGGGGGGATGATTCATCAGAGGTTTTAGGGTAACTGGATCAAAAAGGTCGCAGCTTCTCTTTAGGATCTCCGCTGTTGCTCAGGAAATACCATTGAAGGTCTTGCAGTTTGGAAAGAGGAACCAACCTTGACCTCTTTTGAAAGAGATCTGACTCATTTTTTACACCACCTCTGGAGGTGGGATGACACCCTCTTAAAGTTTCTGCAACAGCGGAAATGTAGGAAACGGTGGCTTAAGAGAATTTTTTCTTACTACATATGAGATTTCAATGCAAGATCAGAAATCCCTAAGACTCGTCCGACAGGTTGGAAGCCACCAAGAAGTCAGTCATAGCGAAATGCATAAACAAAGGACAGCGGTGCATAGACCAGATTCCTGTTCAATTAACTTCAGGCAGAACTTGATTTATCTATTTCTTTGCTGAAGCGCAGATGCCACTTTGCTTGTGACCTGTTTACGTTTCCAGGTGCAGTCCAAAAATTAGAACAACCAACGTAACAAAACCCAATAATACAATTCTCCTATTGTACCTATCATAGCACTTCATAAATCAGTATAATCCATTAGAGGTAGAGCTTGCTTAGTGAGGGCTTTACTTTGTGACCGTTCAAAGTGACTGGCATTGAAGATGTAACTTTTCAATGAGTCCTTGCACTTATGACCATCACAATCTCTCATGGTCATGTAATTGCCATTTGTATACATTGCAGCTGACTTCCAACAAGCAGTCAACGGAGAAGCTGGCTGTACAATCACACATCAGGGTCATGTAATATATCACTTAGTGACCATGTCACTTAGCAGCAGAGTTGCCAGTCCCAATGATGGTTAGTGAGGACTAGCTGTATATGATTGCAAGGGGACGCCCATCTTAATGGCTAAATGGAGGTTTGGAGTTGTACTAAGTCGTAAAATAGTTTCTTTGGAAATTGCAGATTATATGAGTATAAGAGTTTGCAGATTATAGCAACTGCTGAAGATAATACAGATCCATCCATGCTTTTTTGTCTCTCAAGCTACATGAAGCTTTTGTAGATTGTCCCCAACAATTTGAAGCCATATTTTCGAGCCCCGGGCCAATAATTTTGGCTACAGAGGTGTTTGAACTGCCTAATACCAGTAGTAAACACACCTCTTTGTCCTCAAGAGGACTAGAAACATTGTGCACCACTAGTCACCTCCATTTTCTCTCCTGCAGCAAATGCCGTATAATCGGGCTGTCCCGTGGGGCTTGGATGTGGACTCCTGGGTGATGCTGGAAGGCCTCATTCTGAAGCGAAGCAAAGGGTAATTCAGCACCAATCCCTTTCATTGGACCCACTACTTGGGTTGAGTTCACACAACAACTTTTAATAGGCTACTGAATTCCCACATTTGGGGGAATGAATGGTGAATTTGCCACAGGAGTCGAGTTGATTCTGAGCTCCCCTCAAGCTAACCAAAATGAGAACAAACTGGGTGAATGGAATCGCTTTGCCTTTGACGGATCCAGTTACGGGCAGCCAACTCACAGACTTTAGGGAAGTAGGGAATTTGCACGTTTGAAAAGTTCCATTCTCAATCCATCCGCCCTGCAACTTGTAGGTTTCACAAGGCCATTGTTAAAAACTCAGTGCCTTCCAGGTGTTAGGAGAATATTTCTCCAACGTGCTATTGTAAGATAGGTGGGCCAACGTCAAGAATTCCCCAGCCAGGTGTTATTATAGATTGTGATGTTAAAGAAATTAATTTGATGTTGAATTTGATAACAGCTGCAAGGTTACTAGCAGGGCAATATTGGAAGAAGGATTGCTTGCCTACTATAGAAGAATGGACGCTTAAAGTGTCAAATTTAGCAGAAATGGCTAAGATTTCTGCTTACTTGAAGGATCACTCACAAGAAAGATATATTTCGGTTTGGAGAAGATGGATAAATTATATTCAGAATAAATATGGGACTAAAAAGGTTCATTTAGCTTATGAGTGAATTTTAGAGTATTATTATATTATTATTACCGTATTTTTAGTATTAGTATTGTTTAACAATTTCGAGATTCTATTGTTTAACAATTAGGATATTAATTTGTTTATGTTTTCATTATTATGTTTATTTTTAATTTGTTTATATTTATGTTAAAGGAGAGTTAAAGTGCATTATGGACTTGGTTATTTATATAGTTGGTTAATGTTAGTTAAATTATGATGATCATATTTGTAACCCTGTACTCAGCTCTGGGAAGTTGAGGAGGGGAGGGGGGTTGGGGCGGTTTATACTGTAATTTTTATAAAACTTTTTAATTAAAAAAAAAAAAAGAATTCTCCAGCCAGGGAGGAATTCATCCGACTAGCTTGACATATTTGCGTCGGGTTGACCTAAACAGGAATGTTTCTGATTATGCATCTTTCCTACCCCAGTGAGTTGTGGGAAGATGTGGTGATGGTCAGTGAGGAGAACCTCGATGGGAGGGGTTATGGAAGCCAGCTGGTTCTCCTAGATTCTAGAAAAAGGTCAAGGAAGGGCAAAGGGAAACAGGGCAAAACATCAAGCAGACTCTGATGTTCTTCTCCAGATTTCACGTGGAATTTGCTTATGGGCAGTTCAATGGGGCCAACATCGCCCTGAAATTCAAACTCCACTTCGAGAGGACCCCAGCTTCTTCCGCCAGCCCCATCCTGACTCTGAACAGCTTTGTAAATCAACAATGGGGGAAAGCGATCCAGATGGCAACTCACTTCCAGCAAGGCCAAAGATTCAAGCTTTCTTTCATCGTCACCAGCAAAGGTTACAAGGTGATACAATGAACTGGTTGTCCTGGGTGGCGGAGTTGCCCTGCGCTTATCTAAATACAGGGTTGCCAGAAGTATAGACGGGTGTGTGTGTGTGTGTGTGTGTGTTTGTGTGTGTTTTCCAGCTATATTGGAAGTCGAAATCCTTTGGGATTTTAGCATAAACATTTAGGGCAGTGGTTCTCAACCTTTTTAATGCCGCGACCCCCAACCAGTCGTAAGGCGAGGACTACTCAACCGGTTGTAACTGGTGCAGCACTGTTTGCAGAATGGGACTTTTAGTGGGCTCAGCAGGGCAGAGACAGCCTGGACAATTCCTATTGGCTTTTGAAAGCCAATAGAATTAGACTCTATTCAAGAGAGTCTATTCTATTGGCTTTCAAAAGCCAATAGAATAAAAGGGAGTAGCACAGCTAAGGGGGGAAAAAATGGCAAACTGCGTTGTTTGGCAACCCCTGTGAAATGGTCGTTCAACCCCAAATGGGGTCCTAACCCACAGGTTGAGAACCACTGATTTAGGGTGAGGATAATCAAGACAAATTGGGATTCAGTAGAAGACCTTCTCCAGTCTAGTGTCATCCAGATGTTTTGGCCAACCTGGCTAATCCTATCTGGAGGGCACCAGGTCACAGGTGTCATAATCCTCGCAGCTTCCTTCTCCAATGATTCTCACTTAACTTCAAGTTCACCTTGGCTAGCAAATACAGCTGGGTCTCCAAAGCTGGGCCAGATTACAAACTTGCATCACTTTTCGGAAGAGCACCAGTTCTAATCCTTTAAAATGGGTGAGGACCAGTTACTACTTTTTTTTTAGGCAAAACATAATTTACAGAGCTCGGATCTCTAGCTTGTGTGGTTTTGAAAAGGGATCGTGAAGACAGGAATGAAGGGCTTCCAACCAACATAATAAGCTGCATGGAAACTCTGGGTGGAAACATCCCATCTCTTCTAATTTCAGACATGAAGGAGAACTTGTGAACTAGAACTACAGTAGTTTTCTTAGCCAAGTTTCCAGTTGGTCTTACACAGGCCTGCAACATGCTGCTCTCCCATTCCAAATATTAATCAGGCCTGACCTTAACTCCGAAGCCCAGAACAAATTATAAAACCTCTGCGCGATCATACTCCTGATAAAATTGGAGATTTATCTTGCTTTGTTTTTTGGTTTTTTTAACCAGATAATGGAGAATGACATTTTGCTTTCCGAATTTGACCATCGCCTTTCACCCACGGCCGTCCGTTTCCTGGGAATGGATGGGGACATCAAGCTGGAGAAGGTGGTCTTCAGCTGGGAGAGGAACAGTGGAACCAGGAATCCTAGATTTGGTGAAGGCTGACAAGAGTCATGCAAATCATGCATTCAGGGTATTTTATGGAGTTTATTCTGTGGCCAACATCAAAGGCTATCCTGCTGTCATTCTGAGGTGGCACCATAAATCTCATAGACAACCTATCATGGGTGGGTCTTATGCCTGTTGAATTAAAGGAAAAAGTTATTGTCACTGCTTTTATTTGGCACTGCAAAAATAAACATCACTTGGATTTTCTGGATCTACTGCAGCCTTCAGGACTTGTTCAGTAGTGTCCAAAGGGTGTGGTCAGAAAAGTCAAGGTGACCCACATAAAACAGGCACAGCTTCAATTTTCTGTCACCTGAACTTGTTCTTCCTCATCCACACTGAGAAACATCGTATTAAATTTGGGGCTCCTGTCAAATTGATCATAACAATAAAGCTCTTACATAGATGAACACCACCACTCCTTTGGTTTGGCAGCCCTGCCGGTGAAGCAATTGTGGAAGACTACCAGATCCTGCGTTGCTTTGGGATTAGAGTCAAAGTTGATTAAAGTTCTCCAGATTGTACCATTTTCCTCAAACTCAGAAGAAATTCTAGGCCAAAGATGAACCAGGGAAGCAAAACTTTACTGAGAAATGTTTATAAATGGATTTTTCCCTGTAAGCTTTTACTAGATCAAACGTATTTTAGAAAAATACTGCTAGAAAAGGACAGGGAGCGAATAAACAATAAAACACTGCTGGTTATTTCTGATTCAGCCACCTACCTAAGTCCAAACTGAATTGATCCCTGAAACTTATTTCTGGTCAAACTGGTTTATGGGTCATGCCAGGACAAAAATATGTGATTAGTGGAGGACAAATTGTCATGCACGTATACTTAATTAGGGAGATTTTGAGAAACATTTCCCAACCCAGTCCCTTAATCTACAGAAAATCCTTGTGGCTTTTTTTTTTTAAATAAAGTCTCGAGTCTTTTCTAGTGCATATATAGCAGCTTCCTTCTCCAAATATTTATTGAACGAATAAATGCCGCTTTTATTTAAAAAAGCAAACAAACCCTCAGCACAGTGTATTATTGCATAAAGTTCTCCAAAGGGGAACAGATGTTCAGGTAGGATTACAATATAAACCCACTCATTACACATGGCCATTTATCCTACAAGTCACCTGGGATGAACTGTTTTGGACGGCTGAACCGCTGCAAAAAAATCAAGGCCTGTCCCATTAATGCCTTGACTTATGACCGTAACTTCAGGCTCAACTACGGTCATAAATTGAGGATTATCTGTAGTAAAATCTGCTGATGGTGGGAGGTGGTAGGCTTCTCTTCACTAGGGATGCTGTCTACCCTGGACCACTTCTCCGTTGATTTCCTAAGCTTCAGATCAAAGCAGCTTACTAAGCCAGGTTGGGGGCACAACTTTAGAAAACAAACGCCAGGGTCAGCATTCCCTGACCACAATTTGGGAAGTGGATCAATCTGGGTTAATGGACTCTACTGAATTCGCTTTCTAACGTGCGCAAAAGCAGCCGTAACAGTTTGGAGGTATCGCGGAGAAGGCAGTGGGGGAAAAAAAACAACACTAGACGTCGCCCTTAAAAATATTATATTTTATTGTCTGGTTTCCCAAGAGCAAGGAGAGCTGCTCCTTCAGAAAAGTGTGGAAGTTTTAGAACAGAGTTGATGGCCAGGAGAGGCAGACATAACCTGGTTTACTCCTTATTATGTCAAGGCTTTACTCTTGGTAGACAGATCTTTGTAGCAACTGCAATAAAATAAGTAATTAAACTTTTCCCAATGGCAAAAAAAAGAGAGAAACAAAACCAAAAGGATGCCCTCTTACCCCCCCCACCCCCCACCCCCAAAACAGTGTGGAAATGTTATGTTTCTGGTGCTACAGGCAGCTGTAACTCTTTAACTACATGATGAAAATAGGGGGTGGGTGGGTGGGAAAGGGACAGAAAACAATGCCCCCCCATCAATTAACAATATACAATGCTAGAGGAATATATATATTTATATTTAATAATAATAACCATTTGGATGTTGTTAAATTGCAAACCCTTGCTGTGTCTCTTTTTTTTTTAAAAAAAAAAAAATCGGATTCGCATGGTTCTCTTTCATTTGAATTTGGTCCTCAGAAAACCCTGCGTCACTGATGAGGAAATTACAAGTAGAACTAAGAGGGTGAAGCAATGAAAAAGAGTTATTCAGAGTAAAGAGAAAAAAGGAAGGAAGGAAGACTTGGTTCCAGGCCGCCCTCCAGCCACCAAAATAAGAACAGCTGAGCGGCTTCACAGAACTTCTGGTGCAAAGTTGGCTGCCTTTCTTCCTGCCCCGTTTTGCAAACCTGTGTGGGCTTCCTTCGTGGTCCCAGCCAGGCTGACAAACCAAGCCAAAAGCTTCCCCTTTTTAATACACCCCCTTAAGAATCCCCCCTCCAAAAGTAAGGATGGATGTTCCATAGGTCAATATTCCCTTATCTTGGTCACTGTCCCACAATGGGGCGGCGGGGTGGGGAGAGAGAAAGAGAAAATGCAAAAATGGGAAGCCAGCTCGCAAGCAAAGTCTGGCTTGTTTTGCCTCTTGGAGCCAAGAAGAGTCAAAACGGCAGTAGAGAGAGATTTGGGGGGTGGTGGTCGTGGTGGTCAGGGGCGAGCATTTGCATCCAGAAATGCCCCCCACCCAAATAATTTGAGACAGGATCCAAGAGAGCCCACTTCTTCTAAGGCAGAACGTTAGACGCACCCGCCACCTTGGGATGTATTTCAACAAGGTGGGTTGGGGGCAAGGAGTCCATCGTGAGCCGGTGGGGCTGAGAGACCTGCTACCCAGGTCCAGCAAGTGTGCCTCCCCGCTGTGCTGAACCACGGTGAATCAGGCAGGGCAGGGTCCTGTCACTTTGGCGTTGCTAAATGAAAAGTGGCCAATGGGTTTTACAACGGCAAAGGAAGGTGATTGCACTCAAGGAAGTGCCTAACTTAAGTGGGGAAGGGGCCAGGATCCTGTTCTGCATTAAAACACACACACACACACACATCCAGAGAAAAGTGGATTTCGGTGCCTGCTGGATCACCCTACTATCCACGCACCAGCACTCTGTACACCGAGTTCCTGCCTACCAGCTACATAAATTAAAAAGAAAGTGAAACAAAGCCGGGGGGGCGGGACAACAGAGACTTTAAAGAAGCTTTCCCCTACTTTTGGAATGTGATAAGAAACAAATATATATAACCCCCTATTACAAAGGGATACATACATGTTGAACGAGCCCCTTCCCCAAACTGTGTCTGGAGGCCTGTTTGCTGGACCTGGCACTCTGGGACGCCATGATTCTCCCTGCCTATCACTGCAACACAATGCAATTATCAAGAGGGCTGCTGAGTCCCTCCCGGGGGGGGGGGGGAGGGAGGGGGTGTCCTTGCCGAAGGGGGGGGGGGAGAAAAAAAAATCCATGTTTGTTGCATAGGTAACCGTGCTTGTAGAAGTCACAATTTAAAAAAGAAAAAAGAAAGAAAAAGAAAACACGAGGAGGCGTCTTCTTGTCTTCAGTGAAAAGAAGTAGCGCGGGAGAAGAAGAGTAGTCGTATCGGTGGTGTGGGTGTGCGCAAGTGAGAGAAAGAGACCGAGAGGAAAGAGAGGAAAAACGAAAATACGGGGTGGGAGGAAACGGAATGGGCGTCCCCTCCGCCCTTCCTAAGAAGTGCCGGCGCTTGCCGCCGCCGCCGCTGCCGTAGCCGCCACACGCTCACAGATCGCTCTCGCCATACAGCGCCGTGGAGAAGGACTTGTAGTCGAGGGCTCCGGGAATGGCGTCGGGCCCCTGGTAAGGTGCCATGCGGGCAATACAGTATTCCGCCTGGTCGGGGGGCAGCTCTCGCCGCAGTTCCTCTGCCGTGATGTAGTTCTGAGTGGGGGGGAGAGAAAAGGCTGCTGTGATGCCAACCCAACCTGGCTAGATTCAGGAGTGCAATGGGTGGACACCACCCCATAGGATCCATGGGCCTGCCCCTAGCCAGCTTTTCCCTGTTTCCGGGCGTTCCACATCCCTGGCCAAATTCTACCAAGTCCTTCGGCTCACCTTGTCTCCAGCCAGAACTTTGAAGGAAGCGATAACCTGGTCAGCCGTGTCTGTGTCGGTGGTTTCCCGGGACATGAAGTCGATGAAGGCTTGGAAAGTCACCACACCGCTGTTGTTGGGGTCCACGACGCTCATGATCCGGTTGAACTCTGCATCGCCCTGAGAAGGGGCGGTCGGGAGAAGAACAAGACTCAATTCTCCTCAAGGAGGGTGGGACCCAGGTCCGCTTTTGAAGGACTCTACACACACCATGGGCGCCCAAGGACAAACCCTTGGAAGTTCACCCTAGTTGGCAAAGGTGAAAACGTGTGGACTTCAACCCGCGGAATTGCCCAGCTCTTATGTGTCGTGGCCCTGCTGGCTGGGGGATTCTGGGCGTTGAAGTCCACACCTCTTCAAAGTCACCAAGTTTGAAGAACACTGGCTTAAGCAATGCAGCTCAGTGTGGGCGTAATCGGTGTTTCCTCGTTCTTGTGTCCTCCCTCCCCTCCCCTAGTATGCACGATTTCCCCTCCCCTCCCTTGCCCCTGCATGTGACATCCCAGGCCTGGCCTGGAGGCCCTCGGCAAGAAGGGCAGAGATGTGCCGGAGCAGCAGCAGCAGCAGCGTCAGCAGAGCAGCGAGAAAGCAAAGCGAAAGGCGAAAGCAGAGGGCGTACCAGGCTGTATCCCGTGGAGATAAGGAGGGCTCTATAGTCGTCGGCATCCATGCTCCCCGTGCGCTTCTATTCCAAGCAGCCAACAGAAAGGGCGGGAGGGAGGGAGGACAGACGGGACAAAGGAAGGAAGAGAGGTGGTGGGCGAGCAGAGATGGATAAAGCATGCCGAGGTCAACGATTAAAAAAAAGCATCGACCCCACAGGAGGAGGAGAAGACGCAGAAAGAGAAAAGTCAGTCGGAAAGTATTTGGGGTGGGGGTCAGCACGAGGGGTGGGGCAGGAGCAGTCCAAGGGACCAGATACCAAACACCAGCACGATGGTCAGAGGGAAGGGGGGGAAGAGAACGTGGTGAAGGAAGAGAGAAAGGAGATCGGTTAATTGCAATCGTCACTGTGGGCGGCGCGATTCATGGGCGACGTGTACCTGTCTGTCATTCTCCACATCGTATCCCAAGCTGATGAGACAGGCCTTGAACTCTTCGGGTCCCAGCGAGCCGCCGTGGTCCTACCCCCAGGCCGCGGGTAGGAAGGGGCACGGGGCACGAAGACACGCCCGTCGAGGAAAGGGGGGTGGCAGGGAGGCCCCCCGGGAAGGCGAGAGAGGGGAAAAGACACGCCGTTAGTTCAAGGCTGGCTGTTGGGGGGGGGGGAGCCAAACCAGCTTAGGACTCTTAGCCCAGACAGGAAGTGGAAGGCTCTAGGACAGGGGTAGGCAACCTTGGCTCTTTTATGACTTGTGGACTTCAACTCCCAGAATTCCTGAGCCAGCTGTGCTGAGGGGAAACGGAGAGGTTTCCAGGCTGATCCATGCTGGCTCAGGAATTCTGGGAGTTGAAGTCCACGAGTCATAAAAGAGCCAAGGTTGCCTACCCCTGGCCTAGGCCTGTGTTTCTCAACCTTGGCCACTTGGAGATGGGTGGACTTCAACTCCCAGAATTCCTGAGCCAGCCATGCTGAGGGGAAACGGAGAGGTTTCCATGCTGAGCCATGTTGGCTCAGGAATTCTGGGAGTTGAAGTCCACCAGTCATGAAGCGGCTTAGGCCTAGGCCAGAGGTAGGCAACCTTGGCTCTTTAATGACACGTGGACTTCAACTCCCAGAATTCCTGAGCCAGTCACGCTGAGGGCAAATGGAGAGGTTTCCATGCTGAGCCATGTTGGCTCAGGAATTCTGGGAGTTGAAGTCCATGAATCATAAAAGAGCCAAGGTTGCCTACTCCTCCTCTAAAGTGTCTCCCCACAGCAGTAAGAGAGCAGACCACCTCCTGCTGGTGCCAACCTAATGCCCTGGAACTGCATGGTCACAGTCTGTGCCAGGGCAATGCAATCTGCACCCCAATGCTTGGGCTGGGGAACATGGTGGGGCCATATTGAGCTCACCCTGACCTCTTTTTAGGTGACAAGCAAAGGCCAAATGTCATGGGATGGCCCTGACATTGCTTGACCCAAAAGGATCCTTGTTAGGAGACCAGGAGAAGGAGGTTTAGTAACAGATTTTAGACTGACTGTCATTTCATACCAGCAAAGTAGACCGAGGTGGCTACAGGGAACCTTAGACTTGGACTAAGAAAACCCAGATTACAATCCCAATCCAGGACAGCATGATCCTGACACATGTGTCAAGTCGGGCTTCCTTTTTTAAAGACAGGATCTACGCGACTGAATTAAGATAATAATTAGTAGCATCTAGGAGTGCAAACAAACCAACACCAAGTGACATCCTTGGTGTAATCACTTCTAGGAAGAATAGCGACGGTTAAGACGAACATTTTACCAAAGCTAATTTTTCTATTTCAAACAGTTCCTATTAAACTTACTAAAAACTTTTTTGATGAGCTAAACCAGTGGTTCTCAACCTTTTTAATGCCGCGACCCCCCCCCCAACCGGTTGTAAGTCGAGGACTACTCAACCGGTCGTAAGTCGAGGACTACTCAACTGGTGCAGCACCGTTTGCAGAATGGGACTTTTGGCGGGCTCAGCAGGGCAGAGACAGCCTAGACCATTCCTATTGGCTTTTGAAAGCCAATAGAATTAGACTCTATTCAAGAGAGTCTCTTCTATTGGCTTTCAAAAGCCAAGAGAATAAAAAGGAGTAGCACAGCTAAGGAAAAGGGGGGAAAAATGGCAGACTGCGTTGTTTGGCGACCCCCGTGAAATGGTCGTTCGACCCCAAATGGGGTCCCGACCCACAGGTGGAAAACCACTGATCTAAATGCAATGATTTTAAGATTGATATGGCAAAGAAAGAAAGCCAGAGTAACATCCTTGGTGTAGATTAAATCCTAGGACCAGAAGGAACCTCAGAGATCTTCCAGTCCAACCCCTTGCTCAAGGCAAGAGCCTTATACCATCCCAGACAAATAAATGGCTGCCCACTCTATTTTTGAAAACCTATAGTAAGAGGCCCACTTCCTGAAGCACCACCCAGTGGGCAGCACCATCGCCCTCTTGTCTGCTCTGCCCCTGAATCAGAATGTAAGAAAGCTTGGCCAATGGCACAGCTTCAGCAAATTGCTGCTCGAGGCACGAAGCTGAAAGCACCAGCCTGAAGATGACGAATGGGACTTCGTCGAAACGTCGCCAAGACACTTCCAATTTTACGTGGGAGAAAACTGTGAACAACCAAAGACCTACATACAAATACCCGCGCTCACCTCGAAAACATATATATATATATATATATACATATACACAACACACACACACACACACACACACACACACACACTGCTTACTGGTGTACACTGCTTAGAGAGTGCTTGCACTTAAAGCGGTATATAAGTCTCATAAATAAATAAATAAATACATAAATGTCAAGTGAAATCTGCTACACAAGAGAGGTTATCCCACTTCTCCTACTCGGGTTTACCTTGTCAAAATGATTAAAGGAGGCCCGGAATTCTTGCATCTGCTCCTGGCTGATCCCTTTAGCATCCCTGGTCAGGATCTGATTCTCCACCTCGTTGATGGTCCGGGCAATGGTGGTGAGGAGCTGTTCCCCTCCAACCCGGATGTGCTGGACGTGCAAGTGAAAGGAAGAGGGTTAAAAAAAAAAATACCCAGCCAGAACGGACGGCCCTTATGTGTCCTTCTCCCTCGATTCCCAACCAGCCGCCCAACTGGCCCAGACAATATCCTTATGTCTGACTTCCTTTTAAATCACTCTACCGTTCTCTCCTACGGCAAATCTAGACAGCGTACTAAAAAGCAAGAGACGTCACCCTGCCAACAAAAGTGCGCATAGTCAAGGCTATGGTTTTCCCAATTGCAATGTAGGGCTGTGAAAGTTGGACTATACGAAAGGCTGAGCGCCAAAGAATGGAGGCCTTTGAATTATGGTGCTGGAGAAGACTCCTGCGAGTCCCCCGGACTGCAAGGCGATCCAACTGGTCCGTCCTAGAGGAGATTAACCCCGACTGCTCTTTAGAAGGCCAGATCCTGAAATTGAAACTCAAATCCTTTGGCCACCTAATGAGAAGGAAGGACTCACTGGAGAAGAGTCTGATGCTGGGAAAGATGGAGGGCAAGAGAAGAAGGAGACGACAGAGAAGGAGGTGGCTGGATGGAGTCATTGAAGTAGTAGGCGTGAGCTTAAATGGACTCCAGAAGATGGTAGAGGACAGGAAGGCCTGGAGGAATGTTGTCCATGAGGTCGCCATGGGTCGGACAGGACTTCACAACTAACAACAACACCGTTCTCTCCTGGCACTGGATGTTTGTCTGAATAGAAGTTATTTTTAGCCATGCATCAACTTGTTTAACTCACGCACGTGCTAAAAGAACCACAATGGAAAACAACACCCAAGCGCAGTTTCAAACAAGGGTATCAAAGTTGACTCTACTCAGCTGGTGAGAACACAAGGAGAAGGCCTGCTGAGAGCACGTTCACATGCGCACACAAACATGACATCTCCCTGGTACTTAGCTGTGTATTAACATTTCAGCCCAACTCCATCACTAGTCTGGACGACGTACAGAATAAAAGCAGCTGTGAGGGCCTGGACACTTATTGGAAGTGGGTGGAAGTTCGTCCTCTGAGCTCGTGGGTTGGTTTCTGAACGTTTTGTTAGCAGAGTTTAGGGCAGGGGTAGGCAACGTTGGCTCTTTTATGACTCGTGGACTTCAACTCCCAGAATTCCTGAGCCAGCCATGCTGAGGGGAAAGGGAGAGGTTTCCATGCTGAGCCATGCTGGCTCAGGAATTCTGGGAGTTGAAGTCCACGAGTCATAAAAGAGCCAAGGTTGCCTACCCCTGGTTTAGGGGATGTCTGTGTCTTTCTGCTTATAAAGGCTTTGTGTGGTCAGTAGGCCTTGTGATGGATCAGGTGTGGGTGTGTCAAGTGACACCAACCAGCACTTCACCTTCCAGTGATCCTCACCTGACACGACCTCCCCATCACCTGACCCATCACAAGACCTTCCCTTGACACGCCCATCCCTGAAGCCCTTGTAAGCAGAAGAACATAGATATTCGCCACTATTGCGAACTTATTGGAAGTTCCTCCTCTTACTGACGCTCACCAAGACGACCCACCCAAACGTCCCTACAGATCGACCCGCTTGGCTGTGTTCTCACCTCCATGGTGTAATTAGTGTGCATGTTGTCGAAGATCAGAGCCTCCTGGATGAGCTGGTGCTGCTGTTCCAAGAGGTCGATGTTGGGTTTGTACTCAACGATGTTCAGCTCGTATTGCTTGAGGTGGTTCAGCTGGTCCTCCAGGGTGCCATTCATCTCGATGGAGATGCGCCCAATCTCCTGGTCAAGGGAAGGCCAATGGATCAGATTGACACGTGCTTGGAAGGCTCCCATCAAAAAGGGAGACCACCAGGGCCCTTAGCTGGGTTGGCAGTCCAGCTTCTCTTGCCAGCAGAACCTCAGATGGTCACCCAGCAGCAACGAAGGACTGTGCCACCAAGTGTTTGTGGGCAATGAGTTTCCTTCATGAGTTTAGGGGATTTATTTATTTATTTATGAGACTTATATGCCGCTTTAAGTGCAAGCACTCTCTAAGCGGTGTACACCAGTAAGCAATGTATATATATATATATTTACATTGCCCCCAACAATCTGGGTCCTCATTTTACCTACCCCGGAAGGATGGAAGGCTGAGTCAACCTTGAGCCGGTGAGATTTGAACCGCTGACCTGCTGAACACATTCAGCTAAAGTGGCCTGCAGTACTGCACTCTAACTGCTGCGCCACCTCGGCTCATTACGGATTACGTAAAATCCATCCGACAACCATCATGAGTGACAACCATGATGGGTGGGCTTCTTCATGGCCATAACTCAAGGACTACCGGTTTAGGCTGGTGTGAATCTTCACTCAAATCTGAACGGTTAGGCTCCACCGCCCAAACTCAATCTTTTGGGCTTCCCTGTTTCCCCCAGTTCTCTGGCGAAGGAGAATCCTGGGCACAGCTTCTCACCTCCATCTTGGTCTGGATCCAGGGCCCCACGATGTTGGCCTGACTGGCGAACTGCCGGCGCAAGCGTTCATTGGACTGTTGCTTGCTCTGCTCATCCTGAAGGGCGCTGTCCCTCTTGGGTACCAGTTGCTGGACCTGTCGGATCCCAAGGAAGAGAAACACCATGAGGGCAACGTTCCTGAGTTTGCCCCAGTCCAAGGTGGGCAGGCTCTGTCTTCAGCTCCGCCCACTGAGCATGCATACCGGATGGTCCTGGAAGCGCAACCACACCCACCCTTTCCCACTTGGAGTTGATGATCTGAGGCGTGACTGAAGTGTAGGGATTGTTCCCAGAGAGTTTTATGTTGTTGTAGTCCGCGATCTTCTGCGCTTCACTCTGGATGTCCAGGATTGCTTCTCGTTCTCGGTCAGCATCAGGCAACGTGGATTTGAACTGATCGTGGGCAGCAATCAAGCCCTGGAACAAACGTAGTCAAGATGGGCAAGACCGGATAATTTCGGCCCAGCCTAGCGCCCAGCAAGACATGAACGGAATCCCCATGTTCATCCCTGCCATCATGAGACTGGCTGTCCAGTCTCTTCCTAAAAACTTCCAGTGTTGGAGCAGTCACAACTTCTGGAGGAAGATTGTTCACTGATTAATTGTTCCAACTGTCAGGAAGTTTCTCCTTAGTTCTAGGTTGCTCCTCTCCTTGATGAGTTTCCACCCATTGCTTCCTGTCCTGCCTTCAGGGGCTTTGGAGAATAGCTTGACTCCCTCTTCTTTGGGGCAGCCCCTGAGATATTGGAAGACTGCTATCATGTCACCCCCTCATCCTTCTCTTCGTTAAACTAGACATACCCAATTCCAGCAACCGTTCCTTGTATGTTTTAGCCTCCAGTCCCCTAATCATCTTTGTTGCTCTTCTCTGCATTCTTTCTAGAGTCTCAACATCTTTTTTACATCGCGGTGACCAAAACTGGATGCAGTATTCCAAGTGTGGCCTTACCAAGGCATTGTAGAGTGGTATTAATATTTCATATGATCTTGATTCTATCCCTCTGTCTCCCAGAGCAAGTTGGGTTTCTTCCATTTGCAGTGGAAATAGGAATTCCATCTGGAATCCTGGTGGGATTTCCCCCCCCCCCCCAGAAGTTCTGGGATGGGATGGAAGCCAACTAAAAAAACATCCTTCTGGAGCTGGAGTTTTGCACTTAATTACAAGTAGCTGAAGGTTCCCCTGCTTCTTCTTCTTTTTAAAATATCAAAAATCTGGCATAATTACAGAAGTGTACCCTCTTCAAAGGACACCAGCTTCTCTTTGGCATGTTATGTTCCTGTAACCTTTTTACTTTTCAAAAACCTGATGCCATTTGGACTGCTATACTGCAGTTCTACTTTTTTAATAATCTCTTTTGCCTTGCAGCCCCCCAACTAGGGGCGTTAAGCAGGCTCAAGTCAAGGCAAGGCAAAAGAGATTATAAAAAAAGTAAAAAAAAAAAAAAAAGTAAAACTGCAGTATAGCAGTCAAAATGCCAAGGTGTAATCAATCAGACCGGTCTGTCAAGGGAGTATATACTCCCTTGACTCAGCTGACAAAGAGGGGAGGAGACCCTGTGGCCTGGGGGTTAATTACAACTGCCTAGCATGTAGACTGCCTAGGTTCGAATCCCATAAAGGGTGTGGCTAGCTGATGAGGACTAATGAAATAGATATATAGATATATAGATCTTTGGTTATTTGGGTTTTCTCCCGTGTAAAATTGGAAGTGTCTTGGCGACGTTTTGACGAAGTCCCATTCGTCATCTTCAGGCTGGTGTTTTCAGCTTCGTGCTTCTAGGAGCAACCCATTGATCTTAGAAGCACGAAGCCAAAAAGACCAGCCTGAAGATGACGAATGGGACTTTGTCGAAACGTCGCCAAGACACTTCCAATTTTACGCGGGAGAAAACCCAAATAACCAAAGACCTACATACAAACACCCGTGAAAACCTCAGAAAACAGATATATAGATATATATAGATATAGATACACACACACACACACATACATATAATATAGGCCTCTATGAGACAAATTTTAGCAGATTTTTAATTTTAAAAAGCTAGGCTGGGAATTCATTATGTTGTGATTTCCATTCTCTGCTTGCTTCAAATTGCATCTTGCCAGCCTGACATTTGCAATGGCGGGAGGGGGAGAGATTGGAATGTGGGTGGGGGGGGGGAGTTGAAGGGGGGTGTTGGGAAGCAGGCCCTGACTATGATGAGCACCAATCAAAGCACAAGGTCAGCAAACATGGGGTCCCGTTTCCAAAACAACCTGAGAACTTTTAATTGGACATTGACGGATAACAGGGGGATGGGCATGGGAAAAGGGAAAGTTAATTGCATCATTTTCGGGCCAAGCCAACCTATTCTGCCTGCTCTAATCTGTAACTGCTTTGTTCTCAGTATAGTCTTGGAAAAAGAAATGAACCAGGACTGTTTCTTTGCTAATTAAACTAATTAAACCGGGTGACACATTGGACCAGACAGCAGACATGTTGGCTAATCTCCCAAAGCACCGCTCATCTCTCTCTCTCTCTCTCTCTCTCTCTCTCTCTCTCTCTCTCTCTCTCTCTCTCTCTCTCTCTCTCTCTCTCAGCAGAAGTCAGAGTGGATCCTTCCAGATCCCTGTACCATAGAGAGGCTAGGAAAACTCATCGGACAGCCTTGTACCTCTATCTCCTCTATGGTGTGGACAATGAACATGTCCTGGAGGTCCTCCATTGCACTTTCCATCCAGTTGTTGAAGGGCGCGGCTCGCTTGGCGTATTCCAGGTGGAGCTGGTCAATGGTCTCCAGCTGCTTCTCTGTTTTCTTCGAAAAGAGACGGGCGAAATGATTAGGTCAACCTTACACCCCACTCGCTCCCTTGCCCCTCGCAGGGCACGTTCCAGCTCACCTCCAGCGCTTCCCTCCGTGTGTGGGTCAAAGTTCCCAGAGAATCCCACTGATCACAGATCTTTTGGCACCGGGCGTTGACACTGGGGGAGTCGTAATAATCCAGCTCGCTGTGGGGCAGAGAAAAAGGAGGGCATTGGAGGGTGAGCAGGTAACCAGGAAACAGTTCTTTCGTTTGGGCCACAATTTTGTCTCTCCGGGGTCACCCTACCAAACTTAATTTATGTAAATGTACGGGGTTTTTTTTTAAACCATGAATGGGTCAACGGTGTGTTATGTTGCTGTAAGCCACTGAGAATCTAGCTAATCTGACAGCGTATAAATTACATAACTACAGGCAGTCCTTGACTTGCAACCGCTCACTTAAAGACTGTTCAAATTACAATGGATCTACCTTGGGGCTTACAACCCAAAATTCTAAGGTCCAACTGTCACCTCCCCGTGGTCACGTGACCAACACAGAGACGTTTCCGGCTGTTTGTGGTGGCCCTGCAGTCATGTGACCGCATTTCTACGAGGGCTTTGCTGAAAACTTGTGCTTACCCTTCTGATTTTCCGACAAAACCGTGCCCATCGCTTAACGATCCCGATGATTTGCTTAACCGCCGCCACAAAAGGGTCCTCAAATCCCCCTAACCTGACCCAGTTTACGACCACAATGGCTCCATTACGGTCGTAAGTCAAGAACTGCTGGTAAGTAAAGAAACGTCCAAACGTCTGGCTTAAGTTGCCCCCTCTTCTCCTCCACTGCCACGGATTCTTTTCCTGAGGTTTGCACTTCCCGGATTCGGCTACAAGAGGGCACCGGAGACCGCCTGGCCCGCCAGTAATTCTGCACCGCTGCCAAAGCCCCTTCGGAATGCAGGCACCGAGGGAGGCAAGCCGGCCTCACAAACATGGCATGTTGCTTTAAGGACCAGAAAGGAAACAGCATCCAGCCCCTGGCCAAGCCAAACAACTGGGGAGGAATCTGGAGGGTGTGTGTGTGTGTGACCCAGGGAACATGAGAAATTCAAGCAAAGAGAACAGGGCTGGAAATAAAGCCTCTGCCCTCGGAACGGTGACCAGCCTCCATTCCCAAGAGTTTCTCCGACGGCAGATAAAGAATTAAGGATCCCACACCCCCCCACCGCAGCCCTCAAAATATTGGCAAGCAGCATCCTGGGATGAATGTGCCTAGGGGTGTTTATGTAAAGAGGCAGAGGGCTATGCGTGAAGTCACGCTGCAGGCCACACACACATCAGGCTTTCCAAGTTCTCTGCCACCTCTCCCAGCCCCCCTCCCCAAATAAGGACCCCCACTCAGGGCACGCTCAGTTTCTGGCCTGTGTGTATACTAATGGCGTGTGAGTTTATCCGAGGTGGGGGCAGGAGGAGGAGTAGGTTGCTGTAAACTCTGACAAGAACCGCATTCTGGTAACACACAAAGGGAGGAGGGCTGGAGAACAATGGGGGCACTGTGCAATACGGGGTGGGGGAAAACACCCTTTCAGGAGCTTATATTCCAAAAACAGAGAGGTGATCCTAGCTGACTTCGGACGGGAGTCAAGGAGGCTGTTTGGAAAAGGATCTTAAAAGACAGATTTGGGGGGGGGGGAGAGCTGCAAGGGGAGGGGAAGGAGGGCTGCTATTTTGAACTTGCCAAAAATACCTTACAACTGTCTCTTTGTGTCTTGCTGCAAGGCGGTCCAAATCTCACACACACACACACACAGAGGTTGGCAAGGAAGCCTTTTAAAAGGCTTGGAAGTTGCCAAGGCGAGTTTTGAGTTTTTTTTTAACAGGATGCAGGGGAATTTTACGGCTTCAAGTGCTCCGCAGCAAAGAATTTTTACAGCCCGTTTTTTGAGGCCTGGTTCAGGAGGAATCAGAAGGACTGCAGGGTCCTGGGTGCTTTCTGAGCTGGGCTGTTTTCTTGCAGACGCTTCATCAGAAGAATCATCAGCGCTATAAGAGGGTGGGTTTATGGAGGGGAAAGGAAAGGAAAGGAAAGGAGAGGAGAGGAGGAAGGGAGGAAAGAAGGAAGGAAGGAAAGGAGATGAGAGGAGAGAAGGAAGGGAGGAAAGAAGGAAGGGCAAAGGAAAGGAAAGGAAAAAGGAAAGGATAGGAGGAAGGGAGGAAGGAAGGGGAAAGGAAAGGAAAAAGGAAAGGAAAGGAGAGGAGGAAGGAAGGGAGGAAAGAAGGAAGGAAGGGGAAAGGAAAGGAAAAAGGAAAGGATAGGAGGAAGGGAGGAAGGAAAAAGGAAAGGAAAGGAGAGGAGAGGAGGAAGGAAGGAAGGGAGGAAAGAAGGAAGGGGAAAGGAAAGGAAAAAGGAGAGGAGAGGAGGAAGGAAGGAAGGCAGGGGAAAGGAAAGGAAAGGAAAGAGGAGAGGAGGAAGGGAGGAAAGGAGGAAGGAAGGGGAAAGGAAACGAAAGGAGAGAAAGGGAGGGAGGAAGGAAGGGGAAAGGAAAAAGGAAAGGATAGGAGGAAGGAAGGAAGGGAGGAAAGAAGGAAGGGGAAAGGAAAGGAAAAAGGAGAGGAGGAAGGGAGGAAAGAAGGAAGGAAGGGGAAAGGAAACGAAAGGAGAGAAGAGGAGAGGAGAGGAAGGGAGGGAGGAAAGAAGGAAAGGAAAGGAGGTTCCTCAAGCTGATGCTCAGATTTATGATAACAAAGTTTTCTCCCCATGATGGAGAGCAGGCATCCTGCTCCATCGGCAATTTGAAACAGGCGGGTTTTAAGGCAGGGGATAATTTACATAATGAGCAGGATTGGGGTCAATCCTTTGAGAAATCCATCTGTTGAGAAAGGCAGTAGGGAGGAGGAGGAGGAGGAGAACCAGCAGAAGGTGGACAACCCCAGCGGGACACTACTGAATTTGATGGAGGACCAGGCCAGCGCCGTAAGTGGGAAAGGTCCATCCTCCAGGTGGTCATTAAGAGTCCATCTTGACTTGATGGCACATCATCAATCCATCTGGCACCTGAAGGCTGCCTCTGGAGGAGGAGAAAACCTTGGACCTATCTGGATAACAGCCCCTTCCTTGCACATCTCCCCCCCCACCCAAAAAAGGTCCTGTAGAACAACACAGCAAGGACTTGCGTACTTGAGTTCCTGAGCGATGGCCGCAATCTGTTCCACGCGGTCTTGGTGAGCTGCCAGGTCGCTCTCAAAGGCTTCGTGCTTCCGGATCAGGGCCTTGATGTCGGAGAGCGTGGCCGTCTCGTAGTCCTTCTGCTTCAGCATGGCTTCCTTTCCTGAGGAGCCCAACACAAGGAGGTCAGGAAGAGGGGGGGGGCCAAACGCCCATCATTTGAGGCAACCAACCAGGTAACAGGGCAGCGGGTGCAAAATTTGAGCTCTCCGCCTTTTCCGCAAGGGCAGCTGATTCGGGGTACCCTGGCAGAGCCCCAGGCGAGCTCAGCTCCTCGTGGGGTGCACATCCCCAGGACCTGTTCCCCCTTCCCAGGTTTCCAGAGGCGTGGAATGAGCCCTGGTGAATCCAGGCAGCCCTCCGCTTCAGCCACAACTGGAACCAGAACTTTCGCTAACTAAGCAATGCGGTTGTTAAACAAGTTGAGACTGATTTGATGCCCATTTTTTTTCCCCGACTGCGGTCATTAAGCCAATCCAGCAAATCCCCCCGTTTACACCTGGTTTGTCGGACAGTCGCGTGACCCGGGAGGGCTGCAGCCGTCATAAATGCATGCCGACTCACAATCGCGTGACCGTGGAGATGCCGTGGTGGTCGTCAGTGTGAGGATCGGTCGCCAACCACTCTTTTTCAGCGCTGCGGTAACTTTGAATGACCACGAAACGGATGGATCCCTCATTGGACGCCAGGAGGGCGTTTGGGACCCCAGCTGCAGTGGGGCCTGCATGCCCACGTACAGGAAGTCCTTGACTTACAACAGTTCATTTAGCGACCGTTCGAAGTCACAGCGGCACTGAAAACGGGCGATGTACGACCGTGGTTCACACTTGCGACCGTCACAGCCTCCCCATGGGCACAGGATCAAAATCCAGACGCTTAGCAACCGACTCAGATTTACGACGGTTGGTTCGGGGTCACGTGATCCCCTTTGGCGACCTTGACGAGCCAAATCAACGGGGAAGTCAGACTCACTTAACAACGGGGTGACTAATTTAACAATGGCGGCGATTTGTTAAACGCAGCAAGGAAAGTCGTCAACATGGGACAAAACTGTCTTAAGAAATGTCTTTGGGCTCAATTGTCGTCGTAAGTAAACAACTAACTCTATCCCCTGGGCCTCGGTTCCCCCAACGGTTGAGATTTACTTGCTGCTGGCATAACTCCCCTCTGCCCTCCCCCACTTTGTTCTCTAGCTTCAGCCGAGGGCTGAGCCCCCTTGCAAGCCCACTTCCATATTGCTGGGGTTTCTCCATTAATTGAACAACTATTTGGCTTAAGAGCCGAGAAGCTGTTGGATGCTTGAAAATGCTCCTCTGTTCCAATCAGCTGTTCTCCGGGACACGCTCGGCTTGGAAAATCTGGCCTTGGCCGCCAGCTAGGAGAGATCCAGACAAGCGAAAAGCCCCCACGGTGCAGTCAGGGACGGGAGTCTCCATCTGGCTGCGTGCAACTTCAGACGAGAGACCCCCCCCCCTCCAAGAGAGGCTGGTTGTGGTGAGACTTGAATCATGAACATCGGAGCAGGAAACCCATTTCTTATGCGTCATATTAAACTCCGATGTTATTCTACAACAGTGGTTCTTAACCTTTTTAATGCCGCGACCCCCAACCGGTCGTAAATTGAGGACTACTCAACCGATCGTAAGTCGAGGACTACTCGACTGGTGCAGCACCGTTTGCAGAATGGGACTTTTGGCGGGCTCAGCAGGGCAGAGGCAGCCTGGACAATTCCTATTGGCTTTTGAAAGCCAATCGAATTAGACTCTATTCAAGAGAGTCTACTCTATTGGCTTTCCAAAGCCAACAGAATAAAAGGGAGTAGCACAGCTAAGGAAAAGGGGGGAAAAAATGGTGGGCCGCGTTGTTTGGCGACCCCCGTGAAATGGTCGTTCGACCCCAAATGGGGTCCCAACCCACAGGTTGAGAACCACTGTTCTACAGCAAAACGGGAGGGGGGGGGAAGGAAGAAGATTGTGATTTCTGGAATTGTCCTGTGCAGCTTTCACAAGTTAGTGAGGAAACCTGGAATCTCCCTGGACTAACCAGGACCAGACAGGTGATGAAGCTGGGGCTTTTAAAGCGGTCTGTCTCAACCTTGGCAAGTTGAAGATGGGTGGACTTCAATTCTCAAACTTCTGCACCCGTCTTAAAATCGACAAGGTTGAGAATGCCTTGGCGAGGCCACACTTGGGATACTGCATCCAGTTTTGGTCACCACGATGTAAAAAAGATGTGGAGACTCTAGAAAGAGTGCAGAGAAGAGCAACAAAGATGATCAGGGGACTGGAGGCTAAAGCATACAAGGAACGGTTGCTGGAATTGGGCATGTCTAGTTTAATGAAGAGAAGGATGAGGGGGGACATGATAGGAGTCTTCCAGTTTCTCAGGGGCTGCCCCAAAGAAGAGGGAGTCAAGCTCTTCTCCAAAGCCCCTGAAGGCAGGACAAGAAGCAACGGATGGAAACTAATCAAGAAGAGAAGCAACCTGGAACTAAGGATAAATTTCCTGACAGTGAGAACAATTACCCAGTGGAACAACCTGCCTCCAGAAGCTCTGAATGCTCCAACACTGGAAGTTTTTAAGAAGAGACTGGACAGCCCCTTGTCTGAAATGGTGCAGGGTTTCCTGCCTGAGCAGGGGGTTGGACTAGATGACCTCCAAGATCCCTTCCAACTTTATATTATTATTATTATGGAAACATTGCTTTAAAAGAGAGCATTAATCTGTGCCATCTGAAACAGGCAACTGCTAGCCTGCCACCCATTCTAACCTCTGCCAAATTCATCACTGTGGTCCCAAGCGTGTGGAGAAAACCAGAAACAAGCATGAATTGAGCGGTGGTGCAATCCAGGATGCCATTAAAAGCGGAGTTGAGGCTCTCCCCGGCACCGCCTGTCCACTGTCGTCTGCAGCCAAGGCAGTATCTGAAAAGTTGGCACTTCCAGCCTCAAAAGGAGAGCCCTCTCCCCCCCCCCCCGCAGAACTGCTCAAAGACACCCTCTAACTTCCACTGCAACTGCCTAGTCTGATGGATGAAGCCACAGAGAGAGGGGGCTGGCACTCTCTTGTTGTTAAAAGAGAAAAGAAATGGGTTCCTCACTCACAGCGGCCCGACAGGAAGCTGCAAGGAGGCCGATAACCTTTTCCCCACCCTGGGCTGTGCTAAGAATAGGGCTGTGACAAAGGAAGGTAAACAACTTGAACATGTTCTGGATCCTGGAGTGGTCACTGACCCCGCTGCTAACGAGGCGAGGTGGCTTCCCATGGAAGGCCAGGCCAAGGAGTTCCTTGGGCCTGCAAACTTCTTGAGAACTTCCTCAGATTTGTGGAAGGCCTATGAAGTACCCCCCAAAGTCTCCTTTTTCCAGGGGATTGTATTGGTCAGAGGAAGACCACCCAAGGAAGAGGTAGCCAGGCGTGGGAAACTTTCATGTAGACAGGATGGGAGTGTGGGTCACTCCTGTCTCTCATAAAAATCACTCGGCTCAGAGGTCTTCTCAAATGGCCTCATCTAACACAAGCAAACTCTTTGGATCTGGACACCTGGTTAGGGCAGATGGTCAGGGCCAAACCACAGGCACAGTTAAGCCCTACTCACTGGGCGTTTCTCAACCTTGGCGTGTTTTAAGACGGGTGGACTTGCAACTCCCAGAATTCCCCAGCCAGCAAGGCTGGCTGGAGAATTCTGGGAATTGAAGTCCACCTATTTTAAGAGTTGCTCTCACCTTCGGTCCAGGCCTCGTGGATAGACGCCTTTTGCCGGAACTTCAAAGCCAAGTGATCCAATCTCTCCAGCCTCCGGATTTCGTTCAGCTGCCACTCTTCAAAGCCTTTCTCGGCCTGTTCCAAGTGCTGCCAGCCGTTGTTGATATCCTGGCGGGAGGATTTTGGGGCAGGTTAAAACAAAACAGCGTCTCCCAAACTATGAAGCCAGACGGTCTTTCACGGTTTCCCCGTTTTAAGGATTCAATCAGGGGGGAGGGCCCATCCTGCTTATTTAAAGAGGTCACCCTTAAGGTCTTGTCTATTTAAGTCAGCGTTTCTCGACCGGGACAACTTTCAAGTGTGTGGACCTCAACTCCCAGAATTCCCCAGCCAGCCATGCTGGCTGGCTGGGGAATTCTGGGAGTTGAGGTCCACACATCTTAACGTTGCCCAGGTTGAGAAACACTGACCTAGAGGATCTAGGTCAGGGGTAGGCAACCTCGGCTCTTTTATGACTCGTGGACTTCAACTCCCAGAATTCTGACTCAGGAATTCTGGGAGTTGAAGTCCACGAGTCATAAAAGAGCCGAGGTTGCCTACCCCTGATCTAGGTAGTACTTAACGTACAACAGTTTGTTTAATGACTGTTTGAAGTTACGCCACTGAAAAAACAGGGACTTAGGACTGTTTTTCGCCCTTAACGACCGTTGCAGCCTCCCCCTGGTCACGTGATCAAAATCCCCTGACTCATATTTATGACGGTGGCAGCGTCCCGGGGTGACGTGATCCTCTTTTGTGACCTTCCGACGAACAGAGTCCATGGGGAAAACCAAATTCACTTACTAACGTGACTGAACTAATTTACTAACTGAAACGATTTCCTTAATATCTGGCGAGAAAGGTCGAAAAATGGGGGTAAAATTCACCGAGCTTAGCAAGAGAAATCTGGCGCTCCGGTGTGGGCCGTTACGTCGAGGAGCACCTGGTACTCACCGAGACCATTCTACCTTCAGAGGGCATGAAGGCCGGCCGGTTGCTGAGTCGCAGTTTGGTCTGTAGGGTGTTGAAGTTGATCTCCAGCTGGCACTTCTCCTGCACCTTGGGGGGTTTGTGTACACGCCGGTAGTCCCGGAAATCCTCCAGCTTTTGCTGCATCTCTTGCATGGTCTTCTGGGGAACCCGGTTCTCCAGCCAAGGGATGGTGCGCTGAATCCACTCCAGCAGCTGTGGAAGTACACCAAAGAAGCCAGGTGATGAAATGGACCATACGACAGCATTCACAACCCAAAGTACTGCAACGCATGGGGCAGGTGTAAAGGCTGGTCGTTAAGTCCAGGGGGGGGGGGCTGCTAAACAGCAACCGTAATCCTACGGGTTCTAGGAGACACCTACTTAGGAAAGCTGGCTTGGCTTCCTAGAAGTTCTTCAGAAGAAGCCGTGTGTCAACGCTGCAAATATTGTATATTCTTGCTTTTGACAATATGCAGAATTGTCTGGTAATTATGGGGTTAATTCAGAGCAGAAGGGGGGTTGGGGGTAAAGGGGGGGGGAAGAAAGAGGAAGAAAACATTTGACCTTCACACTAATTGGATGGCTGATTTAGGGAGGGAACATGCTGATAATTTAACTGCTCAGAGGAAGAGAACTTAGATCCTAGCATCCCTCCAGTGTGCCTGTGCCGCCATTTTGTAACAATAAAAGACTTTTAGGAAAATAAATGCCTGGAAGTTCTTTGGAATGTTTCATTAGCCGGAACCATCACACCATGTAGCTGTCTTTCAAAGATCTTCTTGATGGAGATTCTCAAGTCATCCAGGTCCCAGTGGTCCCAAAGATGCTTCTTCACGAGGCCACTGGACTTTCTTGTTTTTCCTTTGAAGACGTTTCGCTTCTCATCCAAGAAGCTTCTTGGGTTAAGAAGCGAAAGGTCTTCAAAGAAAAAACAGGGAAGTCCAGTTTGCTTTGTGGAAAAGCATCGTTGGGGTCTTCTAGCACACCATCGATGGAGTGAAATGGCCTCGGAGGTCCTTGTCCAAGTCTAGAATTCTCCAAGGTTGTGCGGATGGGCAAGTGGACCACTCATTCCAGGATGGATGGGTAGAAGTAACCCAGACTTACGTCCATCACCCATTTCAGCTTGACTCAGATCCTTCTCAGTTTTTACTATCAACCTGTCAGAAGATTCCGTTTTTTCTCTGTGTGCCTGACCAACCGTAAGAAGGATGGGTTAGAATGGGACAGCCACAGAAGGTGTGGCAACAACCAAAGACAACCTTCTCTATATTTGGAAGGTGCCAAATTGGGGAAGGTTGGCTAAGGTAGACTCTTAGCTGATTGGGCAGCTGTTCCCAAAGTCCAGATGAACCTTTAAGGCAGTGTTTCTCAACCTTGACAATTTTAAGGCATTTGGACTTCAACTCCCAGAATTCCACAGCGTTGCTTTAAGGGCTGAAGAGAGACAGCAGAAGAGGATGGAAGTCAGCAAGCTGTGATTGTGCCTGACAGCAGAGAAACAATATGTTTGCTTCTGACCAGTGGTTCTCAGCTTTGGCAACTTGAAGATGGGCGGACTTCAACATGCTGGCTGGGGAATTCTGGGAGTTGAAATCCACCCATCTTCAAATTGCCAAGGTTCAGAAACACGTTGTCTATGGAGATTCTCAATCAACCAGGTCGTGGTTATTCCAAAAGTGCTTTTTCACGGGGCAACTGGACGAGCTTCACGGATGAGAAGTGAAATGTCTTCCATGGAAAACAAGAAAGTCCAACTGCCTCGTGAAAAAGCACCTTCAGAAACACTTCTCTGGACCACGGGAAGTCATCAAGAATAAGCATGAGGTTTTGTGAGGTCTCCCTTTGGAGCACAACCAGCAAGTTCAGAGATACCTCAGTCCTAGCTTCAAAGCCTCTGCAGACTTGGCAAGCATTTGGCTTTGCTAGCCAGCTCAACCCATGTGACAGTGAGGTACATGGTGAACCTGGTTATGACGTCCACCTTAAGAATTAAGTTCAGACTGAGAAGTGATCAAGGCACCCTGTCACTCCCCCAATTTCTCAATGGTCCTGACAGATGGGACTCGCAAAACTCTTGGCTTGTCACAGGTTTTTACAAGGGGGGGGTCACCAGGTTTAGCCCCTGCCTGTTGAAAACAGGGAAGACTCATCAGCACTCACGTCAGAAGCCAGCTTCTCGTAATCTTCCATCAGGTGTTCATTCTCTTGGTTGACGGCCAACACTTTGCAAATCCTGTTTGCAGCAGTCTCAGCCTACGAGCAAAACAGAGGGAAAAAACGGATGACTCAACGGGCAAACGCCTCGTAGACCGAGACCTACCAAGGAAAGGCACAGCATGAGATCAAAGCAATAATTAAACCATCATGGGAAACAACTGAGCTCCCCCATAAGTAGAGAAAAAGCAGATTTGGAGCAAACAATTAAGTCTCAATCCAGTATAAGAACGTAATCCGGAGCAGCGTTTCTCCACTCTGACAACTTGGAAGTTGTGTGGACTTCAATTCTCCAATCATATTTGGGTTCTCCAGCGATGGAGGAGCTCTCCAGCTAGCTAGGGAATTCTGGGAGTTGAAGTCCACCCATCTTCAAATGGCCAAGCTTGAGAAACGCTGATCTGGAAGCTGTGCAGACCTTTCCCATCAGGAGTATGGCCATAGACTACTAACGCAAGCAGAGACAATAGCATGCTAAGCGTAACGCCAGGTCAGTTGATCGGACCAACCTTGGTTTGAGCTGCTGGATAACAGAACCAGATGAGAAGGCTCATCTTTTGTATCTGGCTGATGGCCATGGCCCAGTTTTGGATCACAGGATCATGGCTTAAACCAATGGATGTCCAAAACTCATATACTTCCTGTTTTGGTCTGCTCGAGTCGAGTACTTCAATTTACAACTGTTGATGCTTCACAACCAAGACACAATAGTTAGCATGCATGGATCAAAGCTAGCATCTTCAAACCATGGTTTCAGATCCTGATTTAACCCAATACTGATTACCATATTTTCTAACTTGGCTGTTGAGGGTAAACAATTGGTTGGCATGGAGATTAAGGACTCGTGCAAAAATGTCTAGTTATCCTAGCTTTTCATAAGCCAAGATTTGAATATTTCAAGAGGACTACTGTACTTTATCTAGGATTCAGAAAGCACTGCTCAAACATTTGCCATGGCATTTATTCTATTATCTCCTGCAAAATCTCTCCCCCCCCCTTTTTCTGCCTTTTTGTTCCTTTGTAAGCTGCACACGTTTTTGTTAGCTCCCCTTTCCTAAGTCAATCCTATTTCATCGAAATCATGCTTAAATCATAAAATCCTAGGGCTGGAAGGGACCTTGGAGGTCTTCTAGTCCAGTGGTTCTCAACCTTCTTAATGCCGCGACCCCCAACCGGTCGTAAGTCGAGGACTCCTCAACCGGTCGTAAGCCAAGGACTACTCAGCTGGTGCAGCACCGTTTGCAGAATGGGACTTTTGGCGGGCTCAGCAGGGCAGAGACAGCCTGGACAATTCCTATTGGCTTTTGAAAGCCAATAGAATTAGACTCTATTCAAGAGAGTCTATTCTATTGGCTTTCAAAAGCCAATAGAATAAAAGGGAGTAGCACAGCTAAGGAAAGGGGGGGGGGGAAATGGCGGACTGCGTTATTTGGCGACCCCCGTGAAATGGTCGTTCGACCCCAAATAGGGTCCCGACCCACAGGTGGAGAACCACTGCTCTAGTCCAACCATGTCCAAGGCAGGAGTCCTTATACCATCCTGGACAAATGGCTGCCCAGTCTCTTCTTGAAAACTTCCAGCAATGGGGGTTGATTGTTATTTTCCCCTCTTGTGTGTCCCCCCCCCAGTTTCCTTAGCTGTGTGTCCCCCCTTCCCAGTTTCATACTGATAGCTACATTCCAAGCTGACAAAAAAACAAAACCCCAAAACACAAGAAAGGAAAAATGAAACCGATTAAAAACCTTTCTCAAAAACAAACAGGATATAAAAGTCAGGGTTTGGGTTTTTTTAAAGGCAGCAGGAGCAGGGCAGGTTAAAGGCCTGCTTAAAAAGAGGAAAGGGGGGGGGCGTGGTGTTGGGAGTCCCGCCGTAGTGCCCACAGCTGGCTTACCCCAAAGCAAAAAAGGGACAAATTACACAGAAGCCATGAAATGGGAAAAGTCAAGAGATCAAGTACCTTGCTAGGAGCAGAGAGAGTCCGAGGGAAGGAGATGGAAGCCACACATCAACAGAAAGGGTGAAGAGGAGGGTCTATAGAAGGGGAAGGGGAAAGGGAGAGAGCCATGGAAGAAATGAGTTGCCAACAAAATAGGATATTCAAAAGAAAAAAGAGAGAGATCTTTTATTTCCATTAAAAAAAAAAAAAACCTACAAGTCCCTCCCCCCCCCAGTGGGAGTGATGGCAAACCTTTTAGAGACCGAATGCCCAAATTGCAACCCAAAACCCAATTATGCATCATCAGGTGCCGGATGGGTGTGGCCCATTGGGTGGGTGTGGCCTATTGCATGGGCTTGGCTGCGGTGGTAACGGCAGACTGGGTGGGACTAAAAAGTTCAGTCAATCAATTCCAACTTTGCAAGATCTTTTTTTTTCCCCCGCAGAAGTTGAAATTGACATTGATTGAACCTTTTTTTTTTTGCACACGGCGGAGGCGGCCTAAAGCGAAAAGGTTTTATAAAACCCAGCTGAAGGCCTAGGACTGGGGCGACGGTGCGCGTGCCCATAGAAAGGGCTCTGAGTGCCGCCTCTGGCACCCGTGCTATATAGGTTCGCCACCACTGGACTAAGATGTCTCCCGTGCTGGCTTTGGACCAATGTTCCTCAACTTTTGCAACTGGGAAGATGGGTGGACTCCAACTTCCTGGGAGCGGAGGTCCATACATCTACAAGTTGCCACGGTCTTGCAAAACAGGGGTCTCTCAACACTTGGCAACCCGAAGATTTGTGGACTTCAACTCCCAGAATTCCTTAGCCCCTCCACGAGTCTAAAAGTTGCCAAGTTTGAAGACCCCTGCTTTAAGAGACTGTTTTGAAGCAGAAAGGAAAGGACCAAGCATGGGAAGAGAAGACTTTGTATTTTCAGGAGAAGCTTCACTTAGTTCTCAAACACTCTCTAAATCAGGGGTCCTCAACCTTGGCCACTTTAAGACTTGTGGACTTCAATTCCCAGAATTCCTCAGCCAGCAAAGCTGGCTGAGGAATTCTGAGAGTTGAAGTCCACAAGTCTTAAAGTGGCCAAGGTTGAGGACCCCTGCTCTAAATAGACTGGGCTTTCCTTCTCAGTGGGGGAACCAACCTCAAAGTCAACGGTTACAACACACCGTTCCTGCAAGGCAGGGAACACTTGTAGCACTGAACTGGTTAGGCTACAGCAGGGGTCTCCAAACCTAGCAACTGTAAGGCTTGTGGACTCCAGTTCCCAGAATTCCTCAGCCAGTCCTGACGGCTGGGGGATTCTGGGAGCTGAAGTCCAAAAGTCTTAAAAAGTGGTCAGGTTCGGGCATCCCTGTGCTAGAGGTCCACCAAGCGCGCCCAAGCCCAAAACAATGGTCTTGAACAGGGCTGTCAAACTGCCGGCCCACGGGCTGGATGCACCATGCCGAAACCGGGCCCACCCCAGCTCCAGCAATGAGGAAAAAGTCGTGATATGTCACGACACGTCATGTGACGTTGCGAGCGTAACACCCCTGCTCTTGAAGGTAGAGGCAACGGTTTTGAGAAAGCACACCCATCCGGATGTTTCTATTTTTCCCTGAAAGACTGCGCAGATAGAAGAGTCCCACAGCTGTATGGCAGACAGACAGACCTATTGTTGCTGTTATTACACAGCTGCAACTCTTTTTCTCACCTGACATTCCCAACAGCCAATGTCGGCCCCACAAGGTGGACCAGAGCAGGACATCAACCCTATAGGAAGGCTAAAACGACTTGAATTGGGCTGTAACAAGAGAACCTCACAAGTGTGATTGTGCTCTACATCGGCCTGTACGTGCTCAGCGAATCAGGCAGATGTCTACCTAAGTGGCTTCTGAATGTTATCTTGCTGTGCTGGGCTGAAAAAGGCTTGATCGTCTTTTGTCCAGGTAACAGTGCTTACACCTCTCCATTGAGGCCATCCTCCTGGCTCTCTACGCATGGGAGATCTGGGAGCTGCAGTTCCCCTTCAGGAGATCAGATGGGAGAAGGCTGATCTACAGTCTGCTCTAATAATTTACTCCAAACATCCTTATTCAACTTCTGTCCATCCCTTGTTGCAAAGCGGTCTTCCTTCATCGTCTGCCCCTAAGCCCGGTGCTTGAGGTTCACCACATCTGAATGGTTTCAGGATGGGAAAAATGGGACATAATCCTGTAACCGAGCAAGCTGGAGGGTTTAACCCGGTGCTTGATTGACAAAGTCCAGAAGAATTTTTTAAAAAAATGAAAAGGAGGTTGGAGGCAAACCCCCACTCCCTTCTAGAACTGATGATGTTACCTAGCTGGGTGGTGAAACGTCTGCAAGAAAACCAGCGAGCTCGGAGACCACCGAGGACCCCACAGCTCAACACTGAGCTACAGATATTATCTTCTAGAGACTGGAGGCTGCTGAAGCAGCCCACCTGGGACCCCCAAATGACTCCGTGGCCTTTCTGCTGATATGCTGCACTGCTAGACCAAATGCAGGCGCATGGCAATGTCCACCAGAGGCGAGGCTCAGCCGAAGCAGCGAGGGCAAATGAGGCCCCCTCCCCATTCCAAAGCTGGTGCTCGGATACAAAGGGTGTTAAAAAAATGAGAGAGGCTAACAAGACTAAAAGAATCACACAGCCCACCCCCCAAATGGAGAGGAGCATCTGGGTGCACTCCAATTTGGGCCTAGCTGAAGGAGATTGTTCCTTCCAGCTGGGATCGGCAGAAAGACGATTTTTTTCCCCCTGCAGCTCAAAAGCGGGCAGAAGCTAGGAACGCCGACTTTAATATTGGTCTTTTCTGCCCCACCCAAAAAGGCCAACCATCCTTTCTCGTGGAACGCTGGCTCTTTCAAAGGACCAGCTCTCAGCCCCTGCAGTCTCTGAGAGAGGGAAGCGGGTGCATCTTTGCTTTCCAGGCTAAGTGATCAAGGAAGGCTCGCTGTGCCCACATGAGTCAGGCAAGGAAACTTTACAAGGTGGGTGCTGCGGAATCACATCTGTTCCTTTAAGGCAGTGTTTCCCAAACTTGACAATTTTAAGGCATGTGGACTTCAACTCCCAGAATTCCACAGCCAGCTGGCTGTGGAATTCTGGGAGTTGAAGTCCACATGCCTTAAAATTGTCAAGTTTGGGAAACACTGCTTTAAGGGACGGGGTGGGGAATTCTGGGAAATGAAGTCCACCCAGCTTCAGAGTGGCTGAGGTTAAGAATCACGGCTCTTGATCCCACCGTCTCCTGCAATCCATCACTTGCTAAGCTGCCTAAAATACTGGAACATATTCTACCCGCGTAAGCAACCAGTGCTTGCAGAGTTTCTTTTCTTAAAGCTTTGGATTTTATTGGGATTTTTTTTAAAAAAAAAAACGAACAAACAAAACTACTGAGAGTTGTGCAAAGTTGTCGATCTCCTACAAGCCCGATCCACCCACTCAAGAGCCAATCTGACAAGGAGGAACATAAGCCCCCAGAACACAAATAGGACAAGCCATCCAAAAGGAAGAAACAGAAAACACAGTTGCAGAGAGGGGAAGGGAAGGGAAGCGGGCACAGCAAAGGGGAGGACCAGGGAAAATGGACAGGGAGTTGCTGCATTCAAGGTAGGGGGGATACATGGAGGAGGGAGCTTTAGCCAAGGCCTGGCTGGGGGGGGGGGGGAAGGTTTCCAATTTTCCTTTCCAGGCTCCGAGGAGAAGGAAAAGGCCACTTGGCATCCGATGGGGAAAAGAGACAGAGAGGAAAAGCACAGCTTGGTAAAACTGACCTGGACGTTCAGCATGCGAAAGCCAAAATTAGCAAGCAAGCAATTAAGCCAGGGGAGGAGGGGGGGGGGAAGAAAGAAACAGTGCCAGAAAAACAAATCTCTAAACCCAGCACAAACTCATGCTTACGGGTGCATTTTTTGGCTCTCTTCCCGTTTAGGAGCAAAGGACTGGAAGCAAGGAAGCCTAACGGGATCTTAAAATCCACTCGGGGAAGAGAGCTTTTCAACCAGGCCTGGCTAGGAGAACAATCCAGCTGCTCTTTGCAGCAGTTAAGAACTAGGTGTTTGTTTTTTAATTTCAAGAGAGACAGTCCCCCCCCCAACACAAACACACACACACAGAGACAGACAGACAGATGTTCAGGAAACTGTGTGGTGACTCTTAATCCTGCTCTGGAGGACGCCGAAGGAGGATTTGCAGAACCCACATCGACCCGCTTCTCACAGCACGCAAAAAACATCGCCCGCCCCTCCAGAAACAATCCATCACCGATGGAGCCCCCCCCCTTGCACAAAATTCCTCCTTGTGGCTGTTCTTCCCATTTCTGTCCGGGATTCTGCAGCCTCAGGCCCTCCCTCCAGATCTTAGCTTCCCGCAAGGCCAAAAGGAACAGCCAGGCTGTGGATTTTCCCAGGTTTTCTAACTCCAATCTCCTGAGATCTTTGGAAATGCAGGGGGGGGGGGGAAAGCAAGCTGTGGATTCCCAGGTTAGGAAAGAGGCAACTGACACCCTACATCGGTGGCCCCGTTTTCCCTGCCACAAGCCCTCAATTGCTGGTTCTGGAAACTATATCGCTCAAGGTCAACGCTAGCCAAAATGTCAACGCTGCATTGCTTATCCTGCAGTTGAAACCTGAGGATGACTGAAGGGGAAACACCTCATGCAGAAAATTTGGGGGACGTGAAAGAATACCTTGGTGTGTGTGTGTGTGTGTGTGTGTGTGTCTGTGCATCGCTCGACTGTCTGGAAGAGCAAGCAAGGATAATCAAAACCAGAAAGAAATTTCCAGATGAGAGAGCGCTTTTGGGGGGGTGGGTGGGAAAAAGGAGGGGGGCGGGCAGTTCCACAGCCGGTGTCCTTGTGGTGTTTTCTGACGCTTCTCCTTGAAGTTGCTTTCAAAAGTCAACTTGAACTCATCTCACGTTTCGTTCCGGCCTCTTCCGAAACGATGGAGAAGATGGCCCGTTGGCTTAGATCAGAGTTTGTCAACCGTGGCCGCTTGAAGTGGGGCGGACCCCCGCTCTCAGAATCCCCCTCCTCCAGGAGTTAAGGCTGGCCAGGTTCAGGAACACACACCTGTGTTTCTCAATTTTTTTAGCCCCTTTAAAAGGCACAGGCTTCAACTCCCAGCGAGGGGGTTGACTGGGGAATTCTGGGAGTTGAAGTCCGCAGCTCTTCAAAGTAGCCATGGTTGAGACACCCTGGCTTAGACTGCCCAGAATCCTCTCCCTGGCCCATTATTTGGGGGGGGGAGAGGGTGTGGAGAGCCATGTCCGATATCCTAACCCAGTGTTTCCCAAACTTGACAATTTTAAGGCATGTGGACTTCAACTCCCAGAATTCCACAGCCAGCAACGCTGGCTGTGGAATTCTGGGAGTTGAAGTCCTCATGCCTTAAAATTGTCAAGTTTGGGAAACGCTGTCCTAACCTAATGGATCCCCTCTGTGCTTCCAACACCTTTCGTCCCGACATTTCTTTATTTAGCTATTATTTATCCCTCCCATTTCTACAGCCATGCTCGGCCCCGGATCTTCCAAGCCAACAAGCTGCAGCAGCGCATAAGCAGCCCAGCCCAGCCCAAGCTCACCTTCTGAGCCCCTGAGAAAGCATGATAGAAGCAGGAGACATAAGTCATGATGGCCTTCTCGTCTGGCCTGAGCGTGCCTACAATATCTGCGCCAGAGGAAAGAGAAAAAGAGAGGCAGGGTCAAGGGCACGGCCGGAGATCCCTCAGGTCTGCCCGGACATGCAGAAGACCAGAGGCAGGACGGAAGACAGATTTTTGCTCCCTGGGGGGAACCAGACCTCAGCTAGAACAGAATGGAGCCGTGGGCAATTCATTTTTCCCGTAAGAAAGTGGGGCCGTTGTGGAAGGGTGAACTGAGATGGCGAAGGTGCATGTGCACGCGTAGGTAAATTGGAAAAAAATAAAATAGCAGTTGCTCTCAAAATATAGTATGGAATAACAAGCGTTGGAAGGGACCTTGGAGGTCTTTTAGTCCAACCTCCTGCTCAGGCAGGAAACCCTAGACCTAGGGTAGGCAGCCTTGGCTCTTTTATGACTGGTGGACTTCAACTCCCAGAATTCCTGAGCCAGCTGTGCTGAGGGGAAACGGAGATGTTCCATTCTGGGCCACGCTGGCTCAGGAATTCTGGGAGTTGAAGTCCACGAATCATAAAAGAGCCAAGCTTGCCTACCCCTGGTCTGGGCCTGTATTTCTCAACCTTGGCCACTCAAGAGATGGGTGGACTTCAACTCCCAGAATTCCTGAGCCAGCCATGCTGAGGGGAAATGGAGAGGTTTCCAGGCTGAGCCATGCTGGCTCAGGAATTCTGGGAGTTGAAGTCCACCAGTCATAAAAGAGCCAAGGTTGCCTACCCCAGGTCTGGGCCTGTATTTCTCAACCTTGGCCACTCAGAGATGGGTGGACTTCAACTCCCAGAATTCCTGAGCCAGCCATGCTGAGGGGAAACGGAGAGGTTTCCAGGCTGAGCCATGCTGGCTCAGGAATTCTGGGAGTTGAAGTCCACGAGTCATGAGGGGGCCAAAGCTTCCCCCATGCTGGCTCAGGAATTCTGGGAGTTGAAGTCCACGCGTCATAAAAGAGCCAAGGTTGCCTACCCCTGCCCTATACCAACAAGTAGTCCCCACATGGGCCAGACAGGGACCGCCAAAGGGCCAGATGTGGCCTGGGTGCCTAAAACACCCAGGTCTGGCCAAAAAACCCCATGGAATTTCTCCTAAGGAACTCAAATGTCATCCTTGACCCCTGAAACAGACCCTTGGACTCTTTGGCCTACTAGGTGACCTCACTGCACGTTCTGGAAGTTGAAGTCCAAATGACCTTCTTAGTGAGAATTTGGGACCTTGGTCTTCATCAACTCATGTTCTCATTGACTTCTTTTGGGGGTGGTGGGAGGGGGAGGATGAATTCTGATAAGTTTTGGACTTCCAGTTTGGTTGGAGATCCCTGGCCTTACTGTCGTAAAACGTTTCAATTTGCTTAACGTCCACGTGGTTCACTGAACATCTGCAGTGATTTGCTTAATGAACGTGGCAAAAAAACGGTTGTGAAAATTGGGCATGGCTTACTTAACAGCCAGCTTGCTTTGCAATGGAAATTCTGATCCTAATGGTCGTTAAGCCAAGGACTAGCTGTCGGCGACCATAACAGAATCTTGCAAGCCGGATTATGTTTTTCCTTCCTGTGAATCAGCCTGAGTCTCTCCTTCTTCTAAAGCAGTGGTTCTCAACCTTTTTAATGGCGCGACCCCCCCCAACCGGTCGTAAGTCGAGGACTACTCAACCGGTCGTAAGTCGAGGACTACTCAACTGGTGCAGCATCGTTTGCAGAACGGGATTTTTGGCGGGCTCAGCAGGGCAGAGACAGCCTGGACAATGCCTATTGGCTTTTGAAAGCCAATAGAATTAGACTCTATTCAAAAGAGTCTATTCTATTGGCTTTCAAAAGCCAATAGAATAAAAGGGAGTAGCACAGCTAAGGAAAGGAAAAGGGGGAAAAAAATAGTGGACTGCGCTGTTTGGCGACCCCCGTGAAATGGTTGTTCGACCCCAAATGGGGTCCCGACCCACAGGTGGAGAACCACTGTCCTAAAGTGACCTCCATCTACGACAAGCCCAGCTGTCATTTCCCAGCCTCCCCCCCCGCCCCAAAAGGGATTTTTGGTGAGTTTTGGAAAACCAGCCCCTATTTTTTTTTTTTTCCCTTCCTGCATTGGGTCGTTCTGAAGCTCATCCTGAACTGGCTGAGGTCTGGGGTTCCCAGTTTGCTCGTAGTGGCAGCCCTCTCCAGGGGAAGTCAAAAAAGGCAGGATGCTGGAAAGAACAGAAGCGGTTAATGGGAAAACGCTGCCGTCTCTGGTACCTTCTGGGCCCCGGAGAAGGCATGGTAGAAGCTGGAGACATAGGTCATAATAGCCTTCTCATCAGGACGGGCCGTGTTGACAATGTCTGAAAAGCGAACAAGAAGGATTAAGCACATCAGAAACAACACCTCTCCAAAGCCAGGTCATTTGAGCCCTAACGTCACCAAGGGACCGCAGGCAAAAAAAATCCAGCTTGGAAAAAAGTTAACGCCATAAAAATCCAGACGAACTCTACCCGGGATGTTAGCTGCCTGTCCCGTCGTACAAGCTGGGATGCTTATCCAAGATTTGTATCGCATTTCCTGTCCATAACTCAAGCCTGCTGAAAGACCGCAAAGCTCGTCTATAACTTCGCGGCAATTCCTCGCATTCTTCTGTCGCAGCGGGAATTCCAGGGCTGCAAGATCCCTTTCCGTGACAACGAACAATGTTGGGAAACTGCCAGCTAGGCTGGAGGGAAGGGTCAAGTAGGGACTTAGCTGGGAGTCACTGCACAGCTGCGAACAGCGTTAAGCTTGACCCTCCCCCAAGATCCATGAAACTTTAATCTGGTCCTTCCCAGCAGATGGCAAGCAGTCTGGGGAGATTATTGTAACATAGGTGGTAGGCAGTAAAGTTACAGACTTCGACTATTCACATGTGGGTCTGGCTGATTGCACCTGATAGGCAGCCGTATAAATCTGATTCACAAATTTTGGGGGGGAATCTACATTTCTATTATTATTAAGAAATGCCCCAGAAGTCATTGAGCAAAAAGACTTGTGGCTGTCGATATGAAGGAGGAGGGGAAAAAAATTAAAAATGACTCCAAAACATGATTAGGAAATTGCTTGTTTCCAAGCCACACGCTTCCTTCGCATTGTATCTCGACAGATAATTTGCAAATCTGTGTGTTTGTAAGGAATGGTTTCCAAATTCCATTTCGGTCCTTCAGCCTATTTTAAAATAGTTGTTTCTAAAAAATTAAATTGGATGTTTGCAGCTTGCAAGAGTAGTGTCCGCACTTAGCTCAGGTCGCAAAACAGATTCCACAGAAATATTAGAACTATGTTTGAGATGCAGATAGACCTTGACTATTTATTTAGTTACCATGGCATTGGGAAAAAAAAATACGACTGGTCTTTGCACTTTATGACGATCGCAGCATCCTCGTCAGATGATCAAGATTTAGGCGTTTAGCAACCCGCTTGTACTTATGACGGGGTCATGTGATCACCATTGGCAGCCTTCCCAGCCAGTCAATGGGGAAAAAAACTGATTTGCTTAATGTCCACGTGACTCACTTAACATCTGCAGTGATTTGCTTAATGAACGTTGTAAAAATTGGGCATGGCTTACTTAACAACCAGCTTGCTTAGCGATTGAAATTCTGGTTGTAAGTCAAGGATTAGCTGTAGGTGACAATAACAGAATCTTGCAAGCCTGATTATATTTTTCATTCCCATGAATCAGCCTGAGCCTCTTCCGAATACTATCCTGTTTCCCCCAAGACGAAATAATATTTCCTCACTCTTTGTTCTTATAAAGGTTCCTTCTTATTATTTCTGTCGAGAGCATCTCCCTACCTTTTCTGCATTGTCCCCAATTTCTGACGGCCAAAAAAGAGCAGGGATTGTACTTCAGCGCCAAGCTTGACCCAACTAACTTCATTCATTCCGTGATGACATCTGCCTTGGTGGATTTTGTGGAACGAAACGGGACCCCCAAAAGATATTAAGGCATAAATCTCCGGCTTACCTTCTGCGTCTAACATCTTGGGAATGTCAAGGTACTTCTCGGCGACCTCAAAAGCGTTGTTCAGATTCGTAACCGGATCGTCCTAGAGAAAGGGAAATGGCCAGAGAGGTTAAAACTTGGTTGACACTGCCTTAATGGCTCATCACTATGAGCAGCTGTGCCTGATTTTCTCATCATACCTCTTAGCCAGGGGTCTTCAAAACCTGGCCCTTTTATGACTTGTGGACTTCAACTCCCAGAATTCCTCAGCCAGGCACGCGTGCCTGGCTGAGGAATTCTGGGAGCTGAAGTCCACAAGTCATAAAAGGGCCAAGTCTGAAGACCCCTGCTCTTAGCTTTCCTAAAGCTTCCAAATAGAAATATCCCCATGGAAAAGTCCACTGAAGCGTCTTTGAAGTCCTGCTCTAAAGATCGACCATCCACAAATTAAGATCCTCGTTCCACGTTCGAAGAAGCCGGATGACGTTTCAAATCACTTCAGATCTGGCCCCAATGATTTGGCCTGGATATTTTAGTCCACCTTTATGGACTAAACCTTGATCTTGTGATCAATCAATGAAGCTCCGGCTGGAGATTATGACTTAACCTAAAGCAGGATTTCTCAACCTTGGCCCCTTTAAGACGGGTGGAATTCTGGGAATTGAAGTCCCCCCCCCATCTTAAAGGGGCCAAGCTTGATTAACACTACTTTTGACCATGGGAAGAAAACGCTGGCTGAGGAATTCTAGGAATTGAGGTCAACCGCATCTTAAAATGGTCAAAGTTAAGGAACAGTGGCCTACAGCAGGGGTCTTCAAACTTGGCCCTTTTATGACTTGTGGACTTCAACACCCAGAATTCCTCAGCCAGGCATGTCTGGCTGAGGAATTCTGGGAGTTGAAGTCCAGCAGTCATGAAGGGGTCATAGTTTCCCCATCCTGGCGGAGGAATTCTGGGAGTTGAAGTCCACAAGTCATGAAGGGGCCATAGTTCCCCCATGCTGGCTCAGGAATTCTGGGAGTTGAAGTCCAGCAGTCATGAAGGGGCCATAGTTCCCCCATGCTGGCTCAGGAATTCTGGGAGTTGAAGTCCAGCAGTCATGAAGGGGCCAAAGTTTCTTCCATGCTGGCTCAGGAATTCTGGGAGTTGAAGTCCAGCAGTCATGAAGGGGCCATAGTTCCCCCATGCTGGCTCAGGAATTCTGGGAGTTGAAGTCCACAAGTCATTAAAGGGCCAAGTTTGAAGACCCCCTGCCCTAGAGTAACCCAGCGTTTTTTGGGGGCCAAACTGGGATTTGATCCCAGGCCTCACTCAACCCAGTACAAATGGCACTGCAGAAGAAAAAAACACGAGTTCGGCCAGGATAAGGTGGAAAATATTTCAAAACCCAGAGGTGAAAGGCAGAACAGCAGCCTGCCCCTCCCCCCTCCACAAATACCTTTCTGAGCTTGTCATATTCAATGAGTTCTGGTCGGTGTCTGTGTATCAAAGCGTTAAAAGCCAGGCCGTCTTTCCAACTGAAAAAAAATGGAAAATAAGAGAGAGTAAAGTCTCTTGAGGCAGCCAAGGGTATCTTTAGAAAAACGTTAATCACGAAACTGGGTGTCCCGTTGGGAGAACCTGTTGAGTTACAGAAGGAGCTCAACATCTGAAGGCATCTGGCAGCACCTTTTTAGACACACACATTTTGGTTCAAAGGTGGGACCAGTCTGAGCTTTCCAAAAAACATAGTTTGCAAGTCCACGATAAGAAGAAATGGCAACAGCTTTGGGAACTTTTTTTTTTAAATACACATTATTGTTTTTTTAAATTTTAACATCAAAGTGCTCAGGAAAACACCGTGGTAAAAGGGTAATCAATCATAGCAAAACAAATCATATATATATAAAACTAAAATTAATACCTTAAAAATTCCCCCCCTCTATTTCCTCACACGATATAACAAATTTAGTTTAATCTATTTCTTCTTAAAATTCAATCAATCCACAGAATCATCTCTACTATTACATCTACAAAAATCACTCCTGCTTTTAAGCTCCACTAATTTCAATTAAAATATTCCAATTGATCTTAAACAAACATATTAATAAAATTGTGGGCATCCCTTCTACAACACACATAAAATTCCAAGAATAACATTCTAATATTTTCACATATATTCCATCTCTTAATTTAACACATCATTAATACCCTTTCGTCTCTTATCATAGATCTCTCTAATTCTTCTGCTATCACAAAATAGTTTTCTATATAAACAGAGTAAAAAAACAAAACAAAACAAAAAGAATCATTTCGACCTGTTAAGTAAAATTTAACTCTCAACCAAATTAACTATCGTATCTAAGACAAACAAATAAGTTTGGGAACTTATTTTTGTTCCATTTATAGACCATCCATTTCACTGTTGGAGCTACTCTGGGGAAAGACATAAATTTTGAATCATCCAGAGGATGGTGAAAAGTGAAAATGTAAGAGGAATTATTCCAGAATCTGGGGGTTGGCAGGCATTTTTGTGGGGGTGGCTGTTGTTGTGGAGCACAGCGTCTACTCAGGAGTAAGCTGTGGAAGGGATGAGGCTGAGCAAAGGTAAGTGGGACTTAATGAGGCTCAGGAATCTGTGGACGTGGTTGTATTCTCTCTGACATTTATTTCCTTCCTTCCTTTCCTTCCACTCTCTGTCTCTTTCCTTCCTCCCTCCTTCCCCTTTTTTCTCCTTCCCTCCCTCCTTCTATTCCTCTCTCACCTCCCTTCCTTTCCTCTTTTTTTCTTCTCCGTTTCTGAGATTCTTCTCCTTTTCCCAAGCTCCAGGGAAGGGCAGATAGCTTTTACCCAAAGTCCAAATTGTTCCCTTGCACAAGTTTTGAAATCAGGCCAGTGCCCATCCTTGACCAGGGTCAATTAAGTCGTGTGTGTGTGTGTGTGTGTGTGTGTGTGTGTGTGTGTGGTTCGTGTGTGTGTGTGTGTGTGTGGTTCGTGTGTGTGTGTGTGTGTGTGTGAGAGAGAGAGAGAGAGGGGGGGGGGGGAGAAAGGCTGCCTTGCTCTATCTCCCCTCAACCTTGCTGTGTGGTGGAAGAATCAACGCCCCCAGGGATTTTTCCCTATCGGATGCTTCATTGGATCAGCATCCATCAACCCGCCCAACACAGCAACCTTGCTGCAGCCAGCTGTCAACACAAAAGGCCTTTTGTGAAAAGAAGGAAATTTAGCCGTTCACAAAGTTCCTGGGGTTCTCCAAATCCTGGGCCTCAGGTCCCAGCACAAAGCTTCAAAAAGTTGGCTTCCTGGCTGGCAGACTCCCTTAAGCCAGACCTGACAAACACAAGGCCCAGGGGCCGGATGCGGCCCGCGAAGTGGTTTCATGTGGCCCGTGAAGCCATCCTGGAAACAGTGAGGGAACGGCCCCCGCTGCCTTGGCCCTGGCCCAGGCCAGCCGGGAGCCAATGTACAATTTTGTGGTGGCCATCTATGCTGAAATGCATTCAGTCTTAGCTCCACAAGGCTGTCTGGAAACAGCGAGGAACCAGCCCCTGCCTTGTCGTCCCCATCAAGGGTGCATGCTGGGGAGGGGTCACCCTTGGTGAGGAATGAAGAAATGCACCATGCCTTGGCGCTTGCCCCGGTCCCACCCCCTTCTGCCAGAGACCCTCAGATCTGCCCCACTCCTGCCCAGGCTCCCACAGGCTCCCTTGACGCGAACGATGTAGAGCTGGCCACGCCCAACCAGTAGGCCACACCCACCCTGGCCACACACACCCTGAGGGCAACCGCAATGCTGATGCGGCCCTCAATGAAATTGAGTCTGACATCCCTGTTCTACGGGGACGCTGTGACGGTTGTAAGTGCAAGGACTGGTTGCAAGTCACTTTTTTCAGTGTCATAACTTCAAATGGTCACTAAACGAAGGGTAGTAAGTCAATAAAGGGATTACGGGTGGTCCTTCATTCCTGACCAATTGCTTAGTGACCATTCAAAGTTATGATGGATCCCGATGGACTGAGTGGATGATTTACAGATCTGAGGAGTAAAAAAAAAAAAAAAGATTAAAGTGGGAGGGGAAAGAGTAAGAGGGCAACTACTCAAGAGAAAAAAGGGTGGAAGTAACGATCCTATATCAATGAAATTGAGCTTGACACCCCTGCCTTAAGCCAAGAAACCAACGTTTTGCAGCCTTCCAAAGACGCCCGTTTCTCCAGATGTGAGACGGCTGCGTCTGTGTTTCAAAGAGGTAAAACCAAGAGTCGGCCCAAATATAGAGATATATAAATGTCGTGTTGAAAAGTTACCTGATGTGGAAGTTTTGCACGTTGACGTTCTTGTAAGGCGCTGTCTTCCTTTGGCACCACAGCAAGAGTCCTTCTTTGGCTGAAGTCTCTACAGAGAGAGAGAAAAAAGGAGGTCATTGTGTTGCTGGTGCGGTGTTGTCGCAAAGGCAGGTTCACAACATCACACTGTAAGTCCAGCCCCCCCCCCCCAAAAAAAGGACCGAGTGGTGTTTTTTTCAACCTTGGCTAATGTTAAGATATGTGGACTTCCAACTCCCAACGAGGCTGACTGGGGAATTTCTGGGAGTTGAAGTCCACACATCTTGAAAGAGCCAAGTTTGAAAAACACTGAGGTGAAGCCAAATCTATAAACTTAAATCTAAATAAAATCAAAGGGATTCCACTGGAGCATCTTCCATTCCACAGAGAACGACACTTTTACACACGCATTCCTTGCCACGAGAAAAGGGTCTTTTAGTTCTCTTTCCCACTATTTATATTCCACCCCGATCCCCCAGACTCTCGACGGGGAAAGAGAGATGAAAACACACAATACAACACCAAAGAAATAAAACAGATCTCACGTAAATTCAGGTGCCAAAAAACAAAACAAAAAAAGAACTAAGGGCCGAAAATGCCTTCTCAACAAATAAATGGCTTTCACATGTCTGCAAACAGCTGGGAGGGCTTGGGATGCTCCCACCCCCCCAATGGAAACCAGTTTGGGGGGGGGAGGCAGCCTTTGGGGGGTATTTGCAGGATGAAGGCAAAATTAAGCCAGCATCGAATCAAATCTGGCGGCAGGATGCAACTGGTTGCTCAAAGGAAAAAGGAAAAAAAAAAAAAAAAGGGGGGGGGGAGAAAGATTCAAGGAATGGGGGGGGGGCAGACATTTGCAGAGCAGATGGGAAAGAGGGAAGGTAAGGATCTTGTTTATTAAGCTCCATCCTTCCTTCCTCCATCTACTTTCTGCTAGCTGCCATACTCCAGATTGAGTAAAGCCTAAGAATACAGGTAGTCCTCAATGTATGACTGCAACTGAGCCTGCAATTACGGTCATTAAGTGGGTCGTCACATGACTACGCTTCGTTTTACAATCTTTCTTGCATTTGGACAGTCGTTCTAGGCCACGGGTAGGCAACCTTGGCTCTTTTACGACTCGTGGACTCCAATTCCCAGAATTCCTGAGCCAGCCATGCTGAGGGGAAAGGGAGAGGTTTCCAAGCTGAGCCGTGCTGGCTCAGGAATTCTGGGAGTTGAAGTCCACCCATCTGAGTGGCCAAGGTAAAAAAATACAGGCCTAGGCCAGGGGTAGGCAACCTTGGCTCTTTTATGACTCGTGGACTCCAATTCCCAGAATTCCTGAGCCAGCCATGCTAAGGGGAAAGGGAGAGGTTTCCAAGCTGAGCCATGCTGGCTCAGGAATTCTGGGAGTTGAAGTCCACGAGTCATAAAAGAGCCAAGGTTGCCTATGCCTGTTCTAGGCCACTGGAGTATCCAGGGCCTCATTTCAATTCTATAAACATCTGAGTGAACATCTATGCCCTGAAAGATTTATTGGGACCGATCTAGCCAGAAGCTGCAAGCACAGAAGTCACACTTAAGGCGTGAGCACCATCCTGGATCACCACAAGACTTCGTCCTTGGTTTTTAATCTCGCCCTCTCACGACCACCAACTGCCGTCCTTCAATCCGGTGGTCTCCACATGAGTTGGACCACCGTTCCCGTCCATCTCATCCAGCCTGACCACTGTGGAAGGTGTCAAAGCCAGGAAAAGTTGAGTTAAATCAGTGTTTTTTTCAAACTTGGCAACCTCAAGATGGGTGGATGTCAAGTCCCGGGGTTCCCCTGTCAGGAATTCTGGGAGCTGATTTTTGCCAATCTTAAAAATTTATTAGCCTGCTGGCCGGGGAATTCTGGGAGCTGAATTTCCACCCACCTTAAAAGTTCTGGAAGTTGAAGTCCACTCCTCTTAAAATTGCCAAGTTTGAAAAACGTTGGGATCAACGGAAGGCTGCTGCCGACTCGGGATGGGCGTGAGAAAAGGGCCTTTAGCAATCTCGCAAGCGCCAATCTGCCTCTTACCTTCCACTGAAATATCCTGGATGGCAAACCGGAGGATGATGGTCCAAATCATACCCAGGGTCATCTTGGCGTTGCCATCGACAATTTCTGGAAAGAGACAGCAGGAAGAGAATGAGCAAGAACTCTACGCAGAGACATATATACACCCATTTTGTAGAGAGCGAAGATAATAATCCAGATCAGTGATTCTCCACCTGTGGGTCGGGACCCCATTTGGGGTTGAACAACCATTTCACGGGGGTTGCCAAACAGCGCAGTCCGCCATTTTTCCCCCCTTTTCCTTAGCTGTGCTACTCCCTTTTATTCTATTGGCTTTTGAAAGCCAATAGAATAGACTCTCTTGAATAGAGTCTAATTCTATTGCAGCGGTTCTCAACGTTTGTGTGACGGCGACCCCCGTCACACAAACGTTATGCGCATGCGCGACGCGCATGGGGGTGGCCCCCCGCGTGTGGCGCGCATGCGTGGCGCCGCCCCCACGCACGCGGCGTGCATGGGGGCGGGGCCCCCACGCACAGCGCGTATGCGTGGCGCCGCCCCCACCCCCCGGAGGCGCGCCGCCGCCCCCACGCACGGCACACGTGCGTGGCAGCGGCGCGCCCCCGGAGGGGACAAAATGGCGGATCGCCGCCTTTGGTGACCCCCGAAAAGAGGTCGATCGACCCCAAATGGGGTCGCGACCCATAGGTTGAGAACCGCTGTTCTATTGGCTTTCAAAAGCCAATAGGAATTGTCCAGGCTGTCTCTGCCCTGCTGAGCCCGCCAAAAGTCCCCTTCTGCAAACGGTGCTGCACCAGTTGAGTAGTCCTCGACTTACGACCGGTGGAGTAGTCCTCGACTTACGACCGGTTGGGGGGGGGGGTCGCGGCAGTAAAAAGGTTGAGAACCACTGGGTTAAAAAGTTTTACAATTCCCACTTTAGTACAAGTACATAGTAAATTGGGGGCAGATTACCAGTGCAAAAAAACCAAACCAAAACAAAACAAAAAACCCTCTTTACAAAGGCCGGCCATCTTACCTTCAGCCCCTATGGAAACCAACTTGACTCCTTTGCTTGCAATGAAATCCAGCGCTTTGTTCACGTTGTTGATTTTATGTACTCTCATTTTCCCTCTTTCTGGCTTCGGTAACCGTTCTCCTGAAATCCATAAAAGAGAGAAGTTGGGATCTTAAGAGATTCCAAAAAAGGAACCGAACCGAGAATCAGAACGTTGAGGATGGGTAACTCCTTGTCTGACGGACACAATTGGGCCCAAAGTTTCTGTCGCTCAGCGAGACGTTTGTTTAAGTGACTTTTTACCCCATCTTACGACTTTTCTGGCCACAGGCATTAAGCAAATCGCTACGGTTCTTAAGTTAATAACCCGGTTGTTAAGTGAATCTGACTTTTCTCTCTCCCCCCCCCCCAATTGACTTTGCTTGTCAGAAGGCTGCAAAAATGGATCACAGGGCCCAGGATGCTGCGACCGTCATAAAGATGAGTCGGTTGCCCCTGATGTTCGGATAAAATTCAGATCAATTTTAATCACGTGGCCACGGGGATGCTGCAACGGTCGTAAGCGTGAAAAACGGCCGTAAGTTACTTTTTTCAGTGCTGTTGTTAACTTTAGTCACTAAAGGAATTGTCGTGAGTAGAGGACCCCCTGCACAGGTAGTTAGCAACTTGCAGTCATTCGCTTAGCGGCCGTTCAAAATTCCAAGGGCCCTGAAAAAAGTGATTTGCATCTGGTCCTGCACTTACGACCGTCACAACATCGCTACAGTCCCCTGAACAAAACTGGACCCCTTGGCAAACCAGCATATCCTCATGAGGACTGGATCCTGCAACTTGCCATTTGCAAACTTCGCAGCTGGTTCTGACAAGCAAAGTCACCTGGGGGAGAGGGGAGCTGGATTTGCTTAATGACCATGCAATTCACTTCATAACTCATTTAACAACGACCTGGCTTAGCAACGGAAACCCTGGCCCCAACTATAGTCCTAAGTCAAGGAATGCCTTTAGCCCTCCGGGATTGTTATAAATTTGTATCTTGCCATATTGGCCAAACTCTATAAACAATTATTAGCCAGACAAAACTGTCTGTTTCGCTTGTCAACCTTCTGGCTGTAATTTTTTTTTAAAATAAATAAATAAAATTCCATTTCCTCATACCTCTGCGTCAGTTTTTGGAATAGCTCTTTTGCCTAAAGGGTCCCCCAATTCTCTGCATGCCTTTTGGGGCAGACAGGAATCGCAACGAATCGATGAGCAGAATTTTTGGTAGAGACTTTTTTTTTTTTGGCCCCCAAGCTTGTTCCTCTAATTATATTGTTCTCTCTCTTTACAATTGCAATAGAAAAAGAGTATTTGTAGCTTGGGGTGGGGGTTGACATATAATTGTTGATATACAGTGCACAATTCCCCCATCCCTAATTCACATATTTTCCAGCATAATTTGAACAGCAAAGAGAAGAGGCCAAACCTAAAAACAATATTGTTATGTTTCAGTTCATTTATTAATTCCAGAAATGTAAGCCAAATAAATTTCACTCCCACGCTTTCAGTGGCTCCAGAAGAGCAGCGGCAGAAAACTTTTAAACTGAGGATTGTTTTGTATACATTTTTACATCTAAAAAGAATGCACTGGATGTGGTTACATCCTGCTTTGCTGCATTAGCTGATGTAAACACCCGCCAACTTAGCTCACTCTTAATTTAATGTTATACTCTACTGTTTTACTGTTTTAATCTTTTAGAACACTGTTTTTCTTGCGTCGCAGGCCGCACGGAGTCATCTGCCTGCAAGGTGGGTGGTATTTAAATTTAATAAATATAGCATATAAACACAAATCACTGTATTGTTTTATTATTTTCTTCGAAGAAAACAAATCCTGACAGCTAGAACAATCCATCAGTGAAACAACCTGCCTCCAGAAGGTGTGAATGCTCCAACACTGGAGGTTTTTAAGAAGAGACTGGACAGCCCCTTGTCTGAAATGGTATATACTGTTTCCTGCCTGAGCAGGGGGTTGGACTAGATGACCTCCAAGATCCCTTCCGATTCTATTCTATTCTATTCTATTCTATTCTATTCTATTATTCTATTCTGTTCCTTATTCTTTTCTGTTCTATTCTTATTCTATTCTACAATCTATCCTATCCTATCCTTCCCTGACTGATGTTTTGCTTGCTGTTCATCACTGAGAATATATTGTAACCTAGAAACTCAGTAAATATAACACATTCGTGCCCTATAAAGAGTTGTTCTTATGTTCTTATGGGCCTGGGCAACAAAAAATTAGCTACCAGTTCTGCCGAAGTGGTACAAACCGGCTGAATCCCACCACTGGGCAAAACTCACTTGACAAATGTTTCACTTAGCAACATAAATGTTGGGCTCAATTCTGGTCAAAGGTTGAGGAATACTTGTATGCAAAACCTGTGCCGCGCTGTGCCTCCGAAAGGGAATCCACACAAAAGGGCAAAATATGGGCACAAGCAGCCAGGAGACAAGACTACTGACTAGCTCTCATCCGCTTCAAAATGTAATTGAAACTCAAAATTCAAGTTATTCCATTAAAACCGTTTTTGCTTAAATCGGGGCACTGAACTGGGCCAAGAGGAAGTGAGGGGAAAAGATCGAATCTATGTTCAGTTTTACTCGTTTAATTTAAGGGTTTCTTCACCGACTCCTCTCTATGATTTACTGCGGAGGCTTTTTCGCCAGCAGCCAATGAGGAAGCAAAATTTAAGTGCTTTGGGGAAGCTTTTTTTTTTTAAAAAAAGGCTTTGATCAACCCGATGCCCTGAATGTTGTCTGGGCATTCTTGGAATTGAAATTGGGAAGATCCCAATTTGGCGAGGACCACATTAGGAAGACACACGAGCGTCCAGAATCATCTCAAGAAGCTACCTACAGCAGGAGCTCTTAGGAGACCTGAGAAGTCTTTGGTGGCCTGGAAAACACCAGCCCTCTGGAGTCTCACCTGAAATAACTTCCAGCAACAGCATCAGTTTGAGACCGTCGCGGAAGTCTTCGTCGATGTTCTCGATCTGCGTGCCGGCTTTCCGAAGGTGGGAATTGCACCATGCTGTGAAAGTCTAAGAGAGAGAAAAGAGGAAGAGAGATGAGATTTGGGAACCTTTAAAGCCCAAATACGTAGACAGGCACAGCACTGGATTCTCGGGCTCCTTGAAGACCAGAAGTAAACCAACGGAGATATTACTTTGGCCGAGAAGAAGACATCCACAGGAAGTCAATTTTCTGCTCCTCATCCCATCCGCTACGGAGCTGCTCCAAATTCGAGAGGGTGTCAGGCCCAAGATAAGAGATAAGATAACCTTTATTGTTATTTTTTTACTGTGGGCACAACGGCACACATCAAAAATGAAAATTAGTTGCCCGCTCTCAAAGTGAAATACATACATGAGACACTCCTAAACATACTATGTACAACATATGTATAGACCCAGACCCCTACATATACATAACAAATAAATATTAAATACTGTCCATCTTGAATATGTAACGGAAGGAGGAAGCTTGAGAGTTCACAAGGTTAATGCTGTATGGAAGGAAACTATGGCTGAATCTGGATGTTCTGCTACGGATACCACGAAGCCTCCTCCCAGAAGGTAACAAGGAAAACAGGTCGTGAAGAGGATGTGTAGTGTCCCAGATAATTTTTTGGACCCTGCTCAAGCAACGCTTCTATGCTATGTCTTGGATGGGAGGGAGGGAACTGCCAATAACCTTTTCTGCTGTCTTCACCACTCTCTGCACCGCCCTCCTGTCTGAAGCAGTGATGCTTCCAAACCAGACCGTGATGCTGCATGATAGGATGCTCTCGATCCTCCCCCTGTAGAAAGTGGTCAGGACAGGAACAAACCAAGAATGGCAGGATTTACTTCTGAGTAGTTCCTTTATTGTTACTTGCCTACCGTCAGAATCTTGGCAAACTAAAGCAATTACCGTATATGCCGGCGTATAAGACGACTTCCGCAAGCACTAAACTCGGAGCCAAAGACGGGGGTCGTCTTATACACCGCCGGAAATACTGGTAGTTTCCGGCGTATAAGACGACGTTCTAGGAATGCGGCTCGGCGACAAAGACAGGGGTCGTCTTATACGCCGGGTCGCCTTGTACGCCCGCATATACGGTACATCTGAAATAACTATAGATATACTCCGGGAACCGCTAGGGAGGGTCCAACCGTGTTCTCTTCCTGCCCACCAGACATCCTCTGCCTCTTTGGCCCCTGGGAAGGAGCCCCTCCCTCCTGTAACTCTGGATTAATTCCACCACAATTTCAGGGGCTGACGTTTGGCAACTACTGGAAATTCACAAAATTCCCTGGAACGTGGAACCAGCCACCTGAACTCTGAAACTCGCAAGCCTTCTTTTGGCAGCAGACCAGAATTCTGGCTCTCTTGTTCCGCAGCGGTTCCAAACAGTCCCAAGTAAAGCTTAGTTCTAATCCTCTTGTGGAGTCTGTTTCCTGATCTAGGCCACATCAAAGGTCTGACCAAGATCTGCTCTCTGTCATTCCAGATACACATCAAGTGAGTTAAGCTACAGAAAAGCAGGGTTCAACTTAATACTCATTCGTTCCTCATCGGGAGAGTAGCTTGACAGGGTTTTTCAAACTTGATCAGTTTAAGATGTGTGGACTTCAACTCCCAGAATTCCCCAGGCAGCATACTTTAAGACAGGGATCTTCAAACTTGGCAATTTTATGACTTGTGGACTTCAACTCCCAGAATTCCTCAGCCAGGCACGCGTGCCTGGCTGAGGAATTCTGGGAGTTGAAGTCCACAAGTCATAAAGGGGTCAAGTTTGAAGACCCCTGCTTTAAGATGTATAGGACTCCATTTGTAGGCTGGGGGAATCCTGGGAGCTGAAGACCACACATCTTAAAGTTGCCCCTCTTGAAAATGCTTTGGTTTTGTTCTGAAGAATTCATCCCAACAAAACAAAAGCTTACTCAGTCAACATGCAAAGCTCACATGACGTCCAGAGAATCTCTGCAATTGTAAATGCTAGAAATGTTAATTTCCCCCCCCCCCCGATTTTGGTGGGATCCAACCCAAGCTGGGGAAAAGGAGAAGCTACCTTTGGGAGCTATTTTTCTAAGCTGCAAAATCTCGGAACACCGTGGGTAATATGAAAACCTGTGTCACGTACAATGGAATCGCAGGGCTGGTAAGGGACCCTGGAGGTCTTCTAGTCCAACCCCTGCACAAGGCAGGAATCCTTATACCATCCCGGACAAATGGAATCCATAAAAACATCCCAAACAGGGGTACAAACAGTTATGAGTTTCCAGACCAGGATTAGCTCCAAAATTCTTCTAAAATTGAAGCTCTCCTTCCTCCCACAGTTCTGGAGGTAAGTCACTCTTGTGAGGCTGAGACAGCATAATTCACCTTGCTGAAAAAGAGACTGAACTGGCACAGTGGATTTGATGCCCTGCATACGGGCTTCTCTTTGTCCCTTTGCAAACTTCTGCAACTTGCAAACTAGTCCTGGCTTCTCCGAGCAGGGGAAAAAAAAAAAAATTTGAGCCCAGCTTGGATGCAAGAGGCCCGAGCCAAGAGTTAACGGAGCAGTACAGCTGTCCACTGGGTGTGCCAGCAGAATTTTTTTTTTTTCTCTTTCACATCTGGATGAAGCTATTTTTCCCCCCCTTCGGTAGAAATGATGGACTATCTGGCTCGTTTTCTCCTACTACCAGGAGAAAAGTGATCTAGAGCAAAAGATTTGAACCCAAAAAAACCCCCACCTCCCCATCTTTTTTCTGTAGGATAAACAAACAAAAAAAAAGACGACGCACTAGTCTGCTCAACCTGAAGTAAACCTCAGAAGGGAGGAGAAAGAGGATGTTCTATTGACATGTGGCCGAGAAGATGATTCAGGAAAGAGAGCCCCGCTTTTTTGGGGATTAGCAATGGAACTTGTGCAACAGAGAAAACTTTAGGCAGTAAAACATCAGCTGGTTCCAGGTCCTTCTGGCCTTCAAGACCTTGCACATAATTTTGAAACCAGCTTCTTTTTCCACCATCGTCAAAGTCCTAATTCATTTAAGGAACAAAACTCACGGGGTTTACAAGTCTTGCTCTACCTGTGTGTCTGTGAAATGTGTGTAAGTGGGTAATGATGAAACCCAAAGTGACCAAGGGAGTCACAAGGACACAGGGCTTGGCGGGAATTTGGCCTAAGCTTCCTGGAACCGCCTTTCAAAAGCAGGGGAAGAAATTTAGAAAAGTCCCAGTTGCAATTTCTTCTTTTTAGAAAATTGCATAAGCTGACCCAAGTTTACTTAAGCCTTATCTACTGCATCAGGGCTGGCTTGAAGAAGATGACCCCTGTCAGATAGTTTTTGGAGGAAAGGATGAGTAAGGTACACATGTGGAAAGAATGGTCTGGAGGAGGCGGGTTTTCGTCCTCTTTCACCATTACAACGAATCATCCAGAGCAGAAGACCAGAAAGGAAAAATGGAAATGTAATCTATTAAGTGGTATACATGATCACCCTAGCATCTGATGATACCATGAGCATAAGATGCAAACAGATGAGATAACTGGAAAAGGAGATTTTCACCAAAATAGACTGGGTTTATGCGTCACATTTGACATCGTTTGGAAAGGCTAGAACATATAAGGAACGGTTGCTGGAATTGAGTATGTCTAGTTTAATGAAGAGAAGGACGAGGGGGGGCATGATAGCAGCATTCCAATATCTCAAGGGCTGCCCCAAAGAAGAGGGAGTCAAGCTATTCTCCAAAGCGCCTGAAGGGAAAACAAGAAGCAACAGATGGAAACTCATCACGGAAAGAAGCAACCTAGAACTAAAGAGAAACTTCCTGAAAGTGAGAACAATTAACCAGTGGAACAACCTGCCTCCAGAAGCTGTGAATGCTCCAACACTGGAAGTTTTCAAGAAGAGACTGGACAGCCATTTGTCCGAAATGGTGTAGGGTTTCCTGCCTGAGCAGGGGGTTGGACTCGATGACCTCCAAGGTCTCTTCCAACTTTATTACTACTACTACTACTACTACTACAAAACCTGCACCCTCATTTCTTTCCAGGATAAAAACCACCGCAAGTACTATAGTGAGTTTTCCATTATCCAACTGACGCCAATTCTTCAAAAAAATCCATTCTTTGTTCACTTGCAAAGGGATAAAATAATTTTTTTTTTAAAAAAAGATCAGGAGGTATCTGGGTACACCTTTTCTGACTAAGAAAAGCGATTTGTTCTGGATTTATTTGGTTACGCCTAACAACTTAATCATCCCCGTCCCTCTTCCATTTTTGCTTCAGGGTAAAGCTGGTTTTTATGCCTGCGCCGGTAACTTCTCAGCAGATCCATCTGAGCACAATATGAGTCGTTTCTGCTTTTGTATGAAATGCGTTAATCAGAAAAGGGCGACTGAACTCTTTTTGATTTTGGGCTATCCCAGATTAGTAGTAGGATTTTGCCTGCCATAGTGCTGCCTTCCCGAAAAAAGCATGCTCAATGTATATTGTATATCGCCTATTTATGTAACTGTTCATTCAACTGATACGGCCTCCTAGCTCAACAGGACTCTGGTCGGTGAACGGAACTAAACACTAAACTCAAAACTAAACGCTAAACTAAATTAAAACCGAACGATAAACTAAGCGCTCAACCTTAAACTAAACGAAAAGCTAAACACTAAACACAATGACAAGCGTTGCAAAAATTAAAATACGCAGCTCCCATCCAGATCAAGCACACAACCTGTCTGAAACATCCCCTACCCACCCCTGGAAATTCAGTAATTCAATTAGGTCTCTCTTCTACTCCCCCTGCGCATGGGCGAGGCGAGGCGGGTGTCAGAAGAGCAGCCTTTTCAAGTTATTCGGCTCTGGGGCTATGAATAGGTCTTGTCATGCTACATCAGTTGTCACCCGCAACTCCGGACACCTACCTGTGTCTCACACTCACATGCCACGTGCACACATACACACTGGGAGCAGATGGGATGGCCTCTTCAAGCATCCGTCCATCCATCCATCCATCCATCCATCCATCCATCCATCCATCTATCCATTGTATATTCGTCCATCTCCCCA